CCTGTGGGCGCGGAGTGGGCGGGGCGAAGTAGGCCGTCTCGAGGCAGTTTGGACTGGGGCCCGCGTCCGGGCCGCGCCCGGAGAGACGGGCCGGGCCCGGCGGCGAGGAGGATGGGAGGGGCGGGGAGCTGGAGCAGAGGCGCTGTCACTTCAGCACCAGGAAGTAGGTGGTCCAGCCGGCCAGCAGCAGCGCACCGATGAGCACCGTGTAACTGAGGAGCACGAAGGCCAGCAGCTCCCGCAGCAGCTGCAGCACGTGGATGGTGGACGAGGCCGGCATCGCCCTGCGCCCGAGGACCTGCGGGGCAGAGAACGGTTCCCGCGCACGCCCCGCCTCCAGCGCACACAGCAGGGCTGCTGAGCCAGCCCTGCTCTTGGCGTGGTGAAAGCAGGCCCCAGCCTAACCCTAAGCTGGGTTAGGTCCCAGCCCTCTACAAAGTAACACTTTCCTAAGGCTAAGGAAGCCCAAAGTGCTGATTTTCTTCATAACAGCCATCTGGACGCTGTTTGCGTTTTCACTATAGAACTCTTTTAAACCAGAAATCCCCCTCGTTCTTGGGCTGGGATCTGGATCTGGGCTCGGAGGACACCGCCGGCTGCCGCATTAGTCTTCATCCCCAGCCCTCTCCTCCCATCCACCTCCTGCATTTTTAATGCTATGAGTGCTGCTAATGGGCAAGTGGAGTCAAGCTTTCTGTTCCCATCACTAGCCCCAGCCCCAGCCCCAGCCGTCCGCTGCTTGGGAGGGGAAGAGGCGAAAGACCCACTCCAGGAGGGGGAGGCAGCAGGCCCTCACTGCAATTCCCCTGGCCCCAAGGCCTGTCAATAGCAGAGCTTGGGGATCTTCACTTTGTGGTCCGGCATGCCAACCCTTCTGCCCCACCAGGATCGCAGGAGTGCCAGGAGGTGGGTCTCGATTTGATCCTGGGCTTATCTCCTTCCCCATTGCGCTCTTGTTCATCTGCCCCGGCCCTGCTGCGCGTCCACGGACGGTAACCATCACAAACCCGCTCTTTCCCTCGATCCCTGCCCAGCCCAGGAAATAAATCCCCTCAGCGCCAGCTGCCGGCTTCCCTCTCCCCATTTCACTCACTCGGCCAAGTCTCCAAGACTCCTGCTCCACGCCGCTCCCGGCTTCCTCCCAATGGGGCGTCGGAAGGCAGCTTGTGTGCACTCCAGCGATCTGGGCAGAGCTGAGGGATTCTCGGGCAGCAGCTGCACTCATCAACTAGGTGTGGTCTAGAGACCAATCACAATCTCCACGTGGTCCCTGAGCTCCCAGGGAGCTGCGCACAGGCGGTCCCAGGCCAGGCGGGGCATTGGCAGCCCTGCCCACCCTCTCCGCCTGGGTCACCACCCCCGCCTGCGGGCTCCCAGGTTGCCTGCAAAGCCTCTGACGTGGATGGGCTGAGCAGGCGGTACACCAGGGGGTATTTCATGCCCCTTCTTGTCCGCCCTCCTACACGCCGTGGCTGGGATTCCGTCCAAATCCTTTTCTGACACTCACGTTCAGAGCAACCCCGTCCGGCTCTCACACTGGAAGAACCACTGTACACATGACGTTCACCACGACCACCCTACTAAGCAAAAGCTGTTGTCACAAAAAAACACGCAAACGTGAGGGTGCGTGCGTGCGAGGGCCGGGAGCGGAGGACCAGGCGCTCCCGAGCGGCTCCAGTTCACAGACTGAGCAGGTCAGACTCGTCATGCCGCCACCTCCCCGATGTGCCTGCTTCCACTTTCGAGTGCCCTCAGAGAGAGGCGAAAAGAAGCAGCTGGGACTGCAGCAAAGACAGAACGGACCCTTTCCCGGACGTGCTAGTGAAAGAAAACGGGAACCATGCCGCTGCTTCTTTTGCTTTTGTACTAGTTTGTAGTCAGGGGTTTTTTGCGGGTTTTTTTTTTTTTTTGACGTTAAAAAAGCAGCAGGCAGTGTGCGCACCAACCCTTTTATCAACATCATCATCCAGAAGCAAATGGCCCTTTAATTCGATCAGCATCTCTTATTATCAAATCATTGCCCGGCCGCAGCTCAGCTGAAAACCAGAGCAGACCATTATCAAGCTGCTCAGGAAGTCGGTCCGTAATTGCTCCCCGAGAGAATTGGTCAACTTCAGGGCTTCCGTGTCCTGCGCAGCCGCAGGGAAGAAAGTGTGGCTAAGATCAGACCCTCGCCCCACGCCAAAGGAACAGACGAAAAGAGAGGCTTTTAAAACAGGCAGACTCTGCCCCGACTGGTGGTGTTCAGCTGGTCAGGAGCGGTCCCACAAAGTCACCGGTTCGATTCCCGGTGAGGGCACACACCTGGGGCTGCAGGTGCAGGCCCCTCAGCGTGGACACAAGAGGCAACCAATCAATGTTTCTCAGTATCGAGTTTCCTCTCTTCCCCTCTGGCTAAAAAATAAATAAAAGTTTAAAAAGAGAGGCCCATGCCCTTCCCCTCCACCTCCCACACCCTTCAAACGGATGTCTCCAGGCAGCTACGCATTCTAGCCTTTGTGGCCTCTAGTCAGCACCTATTTTTGGATATTTTATGACAGCGGAGGAACAAACTGAGAAACATTATGTGGCTTGGAGTTCGTGTGCATTGATTTAGAAATATGAGGATCTGAGAAATGCTACATTGACTCCCTTTTCTCCGACTGTTTGACAAAAAGGCCGCCCCCCCTCCCCCCCCACCCCACTCCCCGTTTTCTCCAGTTCGCCATCATGTTAAACCACACCCGTTAATGCACCAGGCTCGGAGCACCACTCACAGACCATGTGCCGTCTGCATCCCTGCCTCCCTCGCAGCCCCTCCCCCCGTCTGCACTCGGTTCGCTTGGCTATTTTAAAGCATCTCCTCTTGGACCCGACTCTGCTGAATACAAACGCTCCCATCTGGCGGGCCCGGCCGATTGGAGCCGGTCTCCCCTAAGGGCAGGGCTGGAGCGGACGGGGACTCACTAGGGTCTTCCCTTCCCACTTCTCTCCGCGAACTCCGTGCGTGTGCTGGTGTTAACCCGCCTCCTTTCAACCGTTACGCTCTGGTCCTCAGTTAAACCGCAGTTCAAATTCTTCTTTGTCCGTTGGCTGAAATTCAAGTCCATAGCAAGACACAAAACAGTGCCTATGCAGGCTTCTTTATCTACACAGACTCCTTTTTTAGGGGACGGCCGGTATAGCAGAGCTGTCTACCCAGCAGACAAAAGTCCAGACGCGATGTAAACAATCCGCCCTGCCCAGGAATAAACGCACCATTCACATACGCTTTCTCAGTAAGGCCACACTCCCCGGAGACAAAGACGGCCTCAAGTATTAAATGAACGGACACAAAGGCGTATAATATGTAATTATCCACCACTTTCTATTTGCATACAAATGAAGCAATTGATGTGTCCGAGTCTTCGGAGGGATGCACTTTCAGGTGCTGACTGAATGGTGCTCCGAGCAGGCGAGTGCAGGGCCGCGAGTGAATGCGGACACATGAGACGCAGCCGAGCGTCTGTTCACGGGCGAGAAACCCCAGCCGAGGAGACCCGAGCGGACTTGAGAATGGAATCCCATGAGCCAGAAAGGCAGCGGGACAATGCGCACTTGATTCCGCCCGGCGGCGGGGCGGACAGCGGCCAGGGCTGGGAGGTATAAACTAATCTCCCTGGGATAGCGAGGGTCTGAGAAGGGAGTTTCTAAAACAATTGTTCCCATTAAGACCATTTCCAAATACCACGTGCCAAGGCCAATTAAGGACAAACAGATCTTTTAAATTCTATTACCTCTTCTACCCCCCCTTCTTATACTGAACAGATTTTTAAAAAATATATATGGAATTTTGCCCTGACCATGTGGCTCAGTGGGTTGGGAGTCCTCCTGCTAAGTGAGGGGTCACTGGCTGGATTCTCGGTCGGGGCCCAGGCCTGGGCTGCGGGTTTGGTCCCTGGTTGGGATGCGAGCAAGAGGCAGCTGATCAATGTTTCTCACCCTCCCTTTCTCCCTCCTTTCCCCTCTCTCTAAAAATAAACAAAATCTCTAAAAATATGTACAGCATTTCTCTTTCACTTCATAACATGCAATGTGCCTAAGAGAATGCCACTAAAGGAAAAAAATGAGGGAAAACATTGTGGTTGCTAATTAACGACAGACCCTGGGGAGGATTAACCATGGGGCGGGCACTGACTTGGGTCCCCCAGCAGAGAGGGGGACCAGCTCATTTTGCTGGAGACTTGGGCTGTGCAAATGTCAGTTTGGCGTTAGCTCCCCCAGATGCTGGGACGACGCACCCACACCCCGCCTGTCTCTCCCATGGGCTGGCAGTCCCTGCGGGAGGAGTGGCCGCTGTGGCTGCAGGCCTCCAAAGTCATCCACGAGCTGTGTCAGAGGCAGCCAAGGTCACCGGACAAGGGATTAAAGCGGAACTGGGTGTTTTCAATGAAGGCAAACACCAGCGGCTGAGTGTGAGTGGCCACGGACAGCTACGGACATCCGGGTGGTGGTTACCAGGGAGACGGAGCAGCAAGACACTGAAGCAGCAAGGGTGCTGTCACTCAGGGCAGGGCCAGGTGGACGTTGGGCCCACCATGGGCAGGGAACGGCCACCTCGGCGGAGGCACCCACCACTGCAGGGTCTGGGAGTCAGTGACGTCAGTGACGTGTGCTCTGAGCAAGGGTCCTCGGATGGTCCGCCTCTCAGGAAGCTGCTCCTGAGTAGCGCCCCCCCTCCGTGTAAAAAGCCCCGGGCAAGCACCACAGATGCAGCTGATCGGACCGATCACACACTTGGCTTTGGGGAAAGGAGCTCCCCCAGACCTCTCGCTTCGTAGACTCCAACAAGCCAAAGCACAAGGAATCAGACCTGCCTTACTGATTAGGCGGGGCAGAGAGCCGGGGACGCTGGGCATCCCGTGCCCCACTGAGCGGGCAAAGGAAATCTCACCTCGGTGGCCAAACTGTCCCCAGCTCCCAACGCCTAACCACCGCCCTAGGCCTGTGACTTCAAGAAATCTGGCTCTACTTATCAGGGGTTGGACTTTCCACTTTTATTTCCGTTTTTGACCTGCCTGGACCCTGCCTTCTTGTCTGATGAACGGGCCCCATGTGCGTGGCTGTACAGACGATCCATCCCCACTGTCCTCAGCATGTTTCCAGAGGTCTCTCACGGAGGTCCTGAGCTCAGGACACTCACAACTGTTCTCCCCTGTTCTTCTTTTCTGGAGCAGCTAGGAACCCGGAGGAGGAGGAGGAGGGAGAGACCAGCCTAACCGGAGGGGCCGCCCCGGAGGTGCACGCCGCACTCCCTGCCGGCGGCGTCTTCGGCGGGCGGTGCACCCCGCAGCTCGCCGTCCGGCCCACCCCGAGCGCCCTACAGGGGTCTCTCCATCAGGGACTCTATCCAGGTGGCCCCGTTCATCAGTTTGGTGGTGGCGATGACATACTCGGTGCCTCCGTCCTCCAGCTGGGACAGGAAGCGCAGGGCGGCGATCTCGGCGAAGGTCACGCCCCCGAGGAAAAAGACCAGGGTGACCCGGTTTTCTCCCGGCTGACCTGAAATGGCAACGTTTCAGAACTGAGAGCACTGATGAGCTTCTCTTCCCACCTCCTAAGAAACTGCATCGTTTGTGGGAGGAAACGACGTCACACCTGTCTTGGTCAGACAGGTCACGGGAAACTCAGGCACGCGATGTCGCCCCCAGGCGTCTCCTCTAACCTCCGAGATCTCCGCTCCGAGGCGGGGAACCGCCACCCCCCAGGGAACAGCGGGCTCCCGTGCTTACAGGATACAGGAGCAACGGACCCAAGGGCTAGACCGGGCCCTGACTCCCGGGGACCTGACCAACGTGCTTTCCAAAGCAGCTGCGGAGCACACGAGAGCCGCGCCGCCAGGGCGTGGTGGTCCCAGGGCCCGCTGCAGACTCACGTTTCTTCTGCAGCCCCGTAGGCAGGGGCTGCCGCTCCTCGAAGTGGGGGCCCGGGAGGATGCGGAGCACCTCCTCGATGCTGCGCCAGCCGGGCCGGGAGAGCAGCTGCGCCAGCCGCACGCTGAGAGGGGCGTAGCCGCTGTACACGTAGGAGATGTCCGTGGGGTTCTGCCGGCAATCAGAGGGGGGGAGCCTGTGGGCACACAGCCTCAGGGCCACCTAACCGTGGCCTTTCGGCGACCCCAAATTATCTGTTTGAGGCCAAGCCGCAAGCTGCCCTCCGTGTCGCAGCAGCCAGAGGTTCACATCCTTGAAAGGCCACGCAAAGCACCTCTAGGTGCTGACGATGAACATGTGTTACTCGGTTTGGCAAGAAACTTCCGGGAGGGTGACCTGGCAGTCCCACTTGTGGGCACACCTCCTACAGAGGGGCTGGTGCCCGGGAGACTGGCCCAGAGCCCTGACATTAACCGCCACGTCGTCTGAACCCGTGAAAAGCCGGAAGCAACCTGGACTACGATGGACAGAAATCTGTTAAGTCGTAAAATAAGGTGCATTGGCCAAACCGCTATGTAGCTGGTATAAATAGAACTTTGGAACACGAGGTAAGTCACAGGAGGGTCTGCAGGACACAGCGTCCACGGGGGGTGGGGACGGGAGCAGCAGGCCGGGGCAGCGAGGAGAGCCTGACTAACAGATTACGCACGCCGTGCGACCCAGAAACCGAAGTCTCTGCGTTCCAAGCGGGAAAAAACAATCCAACTTTGCCACCGAGAGAGGAGACAATTTAATTATTGGCCTTCATCGCACGGGGCAGCCCAATAAAGTCCCTTATGGAACACCAGGAGGAAAGAGAAGAAAGAAACCGAGGAAGACCGGGACAGACAGTGACGTAAGGCAAAGTGCACCCCGCTTCGCACACCAACGGTGCAGAACGTGCGCACGCATGTACCAGTGTTGGTGCACGCACAGACTCTTTCCGGAAGGGCGAAAACGGGCCGGGGGTAACGGCAGTTGCCCCCGAGGGGGACTGGGCTCAGACGCGGAGGGAACCTAACTCTTCCCTGCCTGCCTCACTCTTGCACGAGCTGACTTTCCACCCCGCTGTGTCTTCTGGGTCCTCTCTGCCCCTCTCCTCGGCCGGCTGAGCCCGGGGCGGACGTGCAGGCCCTAGACCAACGCGTCCCTCGCCCTCTGCTTGGGTCTGGCCCCTGGGAGGCACCAGACAGAAGCCGGTGGGCGGGCAGCAGTGAGGTCAGGGGTTTCTCGCCCGCCCCCCCCCCGCATCCTCCCTGTCCCTCCGCTGGAGGCTGGTTGTCCCTCGACGGGAGGCCTCTCACCCCTCGTCTTGTCGGACAGCAGCCCCCACAGCTCCTCTGCCCAGGTCCGGGACAGCCCCCTCTCCGTGCCCTCCGGCCTCGGCAGGCCCCCCACCCCCTCTTTATGAAACTCTCCCTCAAACCGCCCAGTGTGAGCGCGCCCTCCTGTTTCTTGCCGGGATTCTGCCGGACGGAACACACGAATGCATCATTTTTCCCTGAACATCAGAAAACTGTTTTCAGGAAGGCAGGCGGCTGCGTGGACCGGGCAGCGCATACTGTCACTGTCACCATCACTACCGACTGCTCCCCGGCAGCTCCCCGGGCCGGCGAGAGGGCGGCGCCCCACCTGCTCGTTGACGTCGTCCATCCAGAGGCGCAGGGTCTTCCGGATGGTCGGGTAGCTGTTCCGGCCGCCCGCCTGCGGCTTCAGCAGGCCGGCCTTCTCCAGGCTGTGCAGGGTCAGGAGGTGCTCGTAGCCGTACGTCTGCAAGAGGGGCCGTCCGCCCGGCGTCAGACCGGGGGAGGGTCTCCGCACCCTTCAGAGTGGAGTGCTGCCCGCCCGGCGGTCTGGGGTGCACCCTGGGCACAGGGACCCGCCTGTTCCTCACAGCCAGCCCAGCTCGCTGCCTCGGGAGGGACTTAGAATGCCCGGGGCCCACATCCGTGGGCCCCACCCGAGGGAGCAGCGAGTCAGCCAGCACCGGGCGGCCGACAACACGGCTCTGCACTGCGGAGTCCGCTCCCGCCGGCCCCGCTCTCGCCGCAGGCGCGCGGTGCTGCTGCAGGAGCCCGTGCTCCTCCCCCCGGCTCTAACGATGCTGTGTTCTCTCCGGTTTAGTTTACTGTGAGAACACAGCTCGCGGTACACAGGGCACCCGGGACGTGTCAGCTGACTGTCACGGCATCGGTGGGGCGTCCAGTCTACAGCGGGCTGTAGTGGTCGGGCTCCGGGGGGCGGGCATCCAAAGTTACACGTGAATTTTCAACGCCCGCGCTGCTCGAGGCTGGGCCGTGCGTGTGCGTGTGCGTGTGTGTGTGGGGGGGCACAGTCAGCTCCGGAAAGGAATGAGGCAGGTTTCTACATCCTGATAAGCAAGATCGTGGAGGGGGGAGGGGAAGCAGGGGAGGGTCAAGGGGCGATCGACAGTGATGGGAGGAGACTGGACTCGGGCTGGCGAACACACAGCAATACATGGATCGTGTGTCACAGATCTGTACCCCGAAACCTACGCAGCTGTGTTAACCAGTGTTAGCCCAATAGAGACAACCGAAAAATATCTCGGATATATTCTCAAGGGCAAAAAAATACAGTAATAAAATATTGTGTATATGGTAGAATCGCATTTCTGTGAAAAAACCGTCAGTAAACCACAGGCAACACTCCCACCACGTCTTCCGTGGGGGGGCACCGTTCTGTTCCAGGAGCTCCCCACGCATGGACTCGGTCTTCCTCGTCACAGCCCCACGACGTCGGTGTCCTCATCGCCTCTGCTTCACAGAGAGGAGGTGTACGTAAGTCGCCCGAGGTCACACCGCTACCACCACCACGGGGGCGGGGGGTGCTCGGATCCAGCCAGTCTCGGCCCCCAGACCGCACGTGTAAATGTTTTTTACGTAAAGGAAGAAGGCGATCGCAAGCAGACAAAGCCCACGCTGACCTTGGTCCTAGCTGGGCGGGGAGTGGGGTGCAGGGAGGGTCACATTTTGCTCCGTGTACTTCTGCCTTACACAACAAGGACGTGTGTGGTATTTGTGTAATTTTTTAAAGGGACAACCACCCCCCCCCTCAAAACTGAGCAAACATTTAGCTTTAACAGTAATGTATGTAACTGTGACTGGTAACAGCAGATAAACACTGCCTGAGAGTCTGCAAAGGGAGGGGAGCGGGCAGTTTTACAAGTAAATACTGCGGGGCTCTTCCTTGTTACAAAGTAACACAGGCTCGAGTTCAGTGAGCCTGCTGAGGAATCACGAGAATTGTTACAAAGTAACATGGGCCTGATTTCAGCGAGTCTGCTGAGGAATCAGGAGAACCGCAGGGCTCCCTCCCTCCTTCCAACGCCACCTGGTGCGGCGCGTGGGCCCCGGGCCCCGGTGCCCGACTGCCGAGCTGCGTGGCCTCGGGGGAGGCGCGTGGCCTCGGGGGAGGCGCGCAGCCACCCTGTGCCCCAGCTGTACCACCCAGAGAGCGGGGCGGCTCGGGGGCTGTTGTGGGCATCGGACGGATGACCGCCGGCAGAGCTCTCCCCTGGCGCCCGGTCCCGCTCCACAGACTGGACGACAACGATGGTGATGACGGTGATGACGCAAACACAGCACACGGTGACTGACACCACGGACAACCCCTCCGGGTGTTCAACAGTGTAAAGGACAGCGGAAAGTGTACCGAAACGGCAGATCTGGGAAGTCTTAAAAAAAAATTTTTCTCCCTCGGCAAATCCGTCATTTAACACCACACTGACCTGGAGAACCTCTCGTTTGTAATGATCCAGAACTTTCTGTTTGAGCCCGCTGTTGCACACAGACTGGAGGCAAATCAGTCTCAGCACCTTGATCAGAGGGTGCTTCTGGGCGATGCAGTCCTCGATGTAGCTGTTGACCTGCCGGCGGAGCACAGACAGATGCGCGCCGGCCCCGATCCGGGGCCCTCACGGACTCGGCGCGCGCGACTCTTCTTCAAAACCAGACACAGGAGCTCCGTGGGGGGGCGGCTCCCCTCCCCACATTCCCGAGGCCCCTCCAGGGGCCCTGCTGCCCGCCCCCAGGCACCAGGAGCACCAGGTCCCGAGGCCACGCTCGGCCCCTGGACGCGCGTCTGGACTCCCCTGCCCCTGCGCACCGCCTCCCGGGAGGTGTGTGTGGCCTGGCCCACCCCCACACAGCAGCGAGTTACTGGTAACGGGACTATTTCTAGACAGCAGGCATTTTCAAAGGCTAGATAATTTTAGGTTTAGTAATAGAGACGAATATGTGAAGAAAGTCTTAGACCACGTCTCTCTGAAAGCAAATATCCTCGGCCGCCTACCGCCGCCCTCACAGCCCCGCGGCCTCAGGGGCTGGCCCGGCCTCTCTGCGTCGCAGCGTCACCTGATAAAACGTGCGTGTTCACACTTTGCATTTGCTCTTAAAAAAAGCAACACACTGGAGCCAAAACGGCTGCTTTCCTAGCCATAAATAACCCCGTGCCTGTAAGCAGTCAGTACTCGCTCGACAGCGCCACCCCTCACGCACCTTATCCGTGTCTATTCCAGACATAAACTCCTGCTCCACCGTCAGCTTCTCGAAGAAGTCCTCGGAAGCTGAAACGTGATCAGGAAATGTACAACTCGGAAGTTAAACAAACGCCCATTTATTTGAGCGGAGTGCTTTCACGGACGGCGCGCAGTGAAAGGAGTAAGACACGCCAAAGAGCAAGCAAGCAAAAGGCGGAACCCCCCCCCCCCCCGCCCACCCCATGGGAATCCTGGAAAAGCACGGCCACCCTGCAGCCTGTGCTCCCGCCACACGGAGACGCAGTCGGCCCCGCCCCCCACCTCCATCCCCCACCCCCCGTGCCACCCCCACAGCTCAGAGACCGGTCTGAACAACTTTGCCTCGGTGTCAGTGCAAGCTCTTTCCCCCAGACAGAGTACTTCATCATCAGAGTCCACCCGGTTTCGACTGGTTTCCATCAACAAGGGGAGACCCGACTGGCCGGCACTGCACTGTATTTAAGAGTCGGACTGTGCTTCACAATGCAGGGCCCCGACCGGTCTCCGACCAGCTGTTACAGCCCGAGTTGTAATGAACACACTTGCCTTCGGCCTAACACACACCATCCGCACTCTTTCAAAACACTCACCGCATGCTAGCTACCGATTCTGCAGAAAGTTCAAGCGAAAAACAGCAACAGAAACATCACCCTGCTCTAATTAAATAATCCTCAACAACATGGGATTGCATCGTAGGATTACCTCACTGCAATAGTGAAAAGAAACGTGTTACCCACGAACGGCACACGTTTAACTGGGACCCTCTGTGCACGTGATGGACAAGGAGGACCAGAGTGGTGGTGCCAGGGGCCAGACCGACCCCGCGACCCCGCGACCCCGCGGACACTCACTCGTGACGTCTTTGATCAGCTCCGCGATCGAGGTGTGGTTGGCCAGCGAGCCCCTGGCCGCCTGCATGTGGGGCAGCTGGGACACGAACTGCTTGATCTCCCCCACCGTCTTGGCGTGGTGCCTCTCCTGCAGCGGGCGGAGCCACGGAGAAGGGGGGACGCTTTGGGAGCTCTGTTCTCCGCAGAGCTCAGTGACGTTTAGTTCATTTTCACGTGACAGAATCCCAAATGAGCCCGGGCCTGACCCAGCTCCCACGTCACGCGGAGAAGCAGAGGAGGGGCGTTCGCCGGGCCGGGCCGCAGCGTTAGTGCGCCGGCAGAGAGCAACCGCCGGTGGCGTTCCCTCCCGAGGCACCGGCCCCCTCTGGGAACAGGCTTTGTGGGCATCTGAGTGTGCGTGGTGGTGGGGGGGGGTCCTGGGGAAACCACAGACATTTCGGAGGAAAACACCAAACTGAAAACAGTGTGTTAAGAGGGGAACATAAACGCCAGAAAGTTCCCTCTATAACAGGAAGAAAAAATCCATGCTTCCTACGGAACCTCAAACTTGAATCGTCCATGAACAAAGTGAACCTTGCTTAGTGACAAAGTGTTTTCCCCCCACAAAACGGAATCATTTAGACCAAAATAATTTGAGAAATGTGAAAATCAATTAATGAATATAATGTCTAAGAAAGAAGAAATCTACAAATACAGACTCGGGGGGGGAAACTAGTTTTCAAAAACTCTCCAAGTTTCCGTCTGTAAAGTCCAAGTACTCAGCCCACCAGCTGGCCGACCTCCCGCCTCCCACACGGGCCGAACCCGGGACCCGAACCCGGGACGGGGCGGGAGGCAGCGCGGGGGCGACAACGAAGCCGCTAAGGAAAAAGCCCCAGGCCCTGGGGCCCTCGCTGTCATTATCGCCCAGCTCGTCCTCCGCAGGGTCCCCCTCGAGGGCCTGTCGGCCAGACTTGGGGTTCTCACCCCCGACTGCAAGTCCTATCACGAGGATCTTCTATTCGCAGCGCGGCTGGCCTCCTCTCGAGGAAGGCAGGGGAGAACGAAAAAGAAGGGAAACGAATGTTTCTGACACAAGGTGGTGAAGTGCAGACACTGTCCCGAGCCCCAAAGAGGGTGGGGTCGGTGGGGGTGGAGAATATAACAAAAGCCCTTTTCTCACGGGCCTGGGACACAGCTGGAAGGAAGCCCGTGTGGCCCAACAGGGCGGTGGGCAGTTTCCGAGGACACGAGGTGGCCACCGCGCTGAGGCTCTGCCCTGCCTGGATCTGTGGGCGGCCCCCACCGCCCGGGTGATGGGCAGTCCAGCCTGGGACGAGCGCGGCAGCAGGACCAGGGAGCCGGCTCACCTCGAACGCCGCCGAGATCACCTTGGCTTTCTTGCTCAGCACGGAGCCCACGGCGTTGAAGTTCTTGTCCCGGATCTCGGCGTACAGCTCCTCTGCGGAATTCAGCTGCAGCTTCTTGGCCTCCGTGGGAAGATCCTTCCCGCCGTCGCCCTGCTTCTTGGGCGCGAATTTCTCCGGCGGTAACTTCACGTAACCTGGGCGACAGGGGCCGTTACCAAAACACGGTGCCCAGTGCTCTGGAGGCTTTGATTTTCCCACAAAGCACACTCTGACCGTAAACAAGAAAGTCAGGACTCTTATTAAAATTTTCTCCAGTTCTAAACGCTGCCAGCAACCAGCAAACATCGTGTGGGCCCAAACCAAACCGCCCGCGTCTGGGACCCCTGACTGACAGTCTGGGGAGCCTGAACCCCCGCAGGCGTCCATCGAGGGTCCCCGACCTCCGTGCCAGTCTCGCCCCTGGATTCCCGTCCCCCCTGCCACGTTCTCTGCTTTGGCCGGCCGGTCACCCCCACCCCTGCTCTGCCCGGCTGCCTGCCCGTCGCCAGCAGCCCTCTCTCCAACCCCTCCCCAAGGCCACCTCGCCCACGGCTCTCCCGCAGGACTGCCGGCCGCGAGGCCCTGTCCTCTCCAAACTGCAGTGTCTCTGGTAGCCAACCCGGGGCGTCTGCTCACAGGGGACAAGCACAGTCCTCCCCTGCACGGCCTGCCAGCCCCCGTGTGACCGACAGCTCGCCCGGACGCTGCCTACCTCTAGTGTCTAAGAGTCAAAAACAGTATTTTTGTATTTTCAGTTATTGTCATTTATATGCAAAGAAAGCACCTTAAAAAAATGACCTTCTGGATGTTTTTATCAGGCGACCTATTGGTAAAAACAGACGGCAGCTGACTCACTGTTCTGGATGCCGTAAATCTCATCGATGAGCCCTTCGTACGTAAGCTGAGTGGCGAGAGGTGTCAACAAATCCACGTTTCGGTCGAGCAGCAAGAGGTTATCGAAAACGGGGAATATTGCATTCTGGCTCCCTGTAAACTCTCTCTTCATCCTGATCATCATATTGGCCACTTGCTGGAAACAAAACATTGGATCAGGCGGGACCCTCCTGGGAATTGGCCGGTTTTGAAATTCAGCTAAAAACAGGAAGACAGTCAAAGAAGTAAAGAAAGAGAAAACCCGCGGACCGGCGAGGCCGGTGAGAAACGCGCAGCCGCAGACACGCGTGCTCTGCCCGCCGGGCGTCCCAGCGCTCGGGCCGCTGCTCCTGCGCTTCCGTTCCCGCCCGCTGCCGCCATTCTGGCCGCCCGTCCCGGAATGCCGCCGTGGACATGCACTAGGGAGCACCCAGCCCCGCTCCCACGGGAATCACGGGGCGAGGTGCCTGCGCGCTCTGGGCAGACGGGACCTCGTTTCGCGTGTTTCCGTTTGAAGACGCTTTGTAAGAGCAGGTGCTGGTGGTGCACTGTCGTCACTCATGCCCGAGTGCAGCTAACCTAACACTCCGGGGCGCTAGACAGCACGTTGGCCCTGCGCTCGGGAGCTGTTTTAACAGCAAAATCACCAATGACGGGCACAAAGATGCAAAAAAAAGTGTGGCATTAAGTAGTGCACGGCCCCATTTAGCGGCAGAAAGGATGCTGTTTACAGTAGGAGCCGAAACGAGGGCAGAGCATTGCTTTGCTCAGCTCCGGCTGCCCACGAGCACGCTGGGCACCTCAGAGTCTTTGCTGCTCTGGGCAAGTCCACAGAACACGCATGCGATTGGGGTTATGAATACACTGTAATGAGTAGGCGAGTTCCCAAATAGAAAGGATCGACCAGGCTTGCTTGTAAATGGCTTCCCGCTCCTGCCCCCCCCAGGGTGCCGGGGGGCCCCCCTTCAGCACCGGACGGGCAAGTCTCTCACCCTCGCGCACTCTCCTTTCCCGAAGATCTGGGGGATGGTCCCGTACAGGGCCTGCAGGGTCATCAGCCCCTTGGCTGCGTGGTACAGGCTGGTCTGGTCGCTCTCCAGGTAGCACTCCTGCGGGGAGGAAGGGCCGGTCACCGTCAGACCCCGGTCATCCAGGCGCCTGCCTCCGTCTGGCACTGGGCCTTGGCAGTGGGCAAGACCGTTTCCACCCTGCTGGGGACGCAGGAGGCGGGACCCAAGTCCCTTGTAGAAAGCTGCTGTTTGGCACTTCAGGCCACGAGGCCAACAGCTCGGCAATCAGGGTGCAGCCGTGGAAGCAACTCTCCCGGGGCAGAACCTTCTGGAAGAAAAGTGTTCACCAGGCACGCCAGCTCTCAGTTGACCAGCTCTTGCACAAATTACTGATGAACAGAGACTCACACGGTTCTCTCAGTGGCCGTGGTGAGTGTAAACTTTGGGGGGACATTTGGGGACGGCCACAGGCTAATGTGCACAAACGCATGAATTCTCTGACCCCCCGAGTCCCAGACGACCACACAGAAGGACACTTCACATTCTCACAGGCACTCGGCAGGTCTGCACACGCACCAACAGCCGTAACAGCGTGAGAGAGGGGAAAGGACGGTTGAACAACTTTTAAAGCATGATCTTGTTTTTGGAAACTGTGTTTCACTTTATAAAATACACAAAGTGTATTTTGGTAAGTATACAAAAATGCACCTTTTTCCGCATTGTAAAATAGCTAAAAAGAGATGCAGAACCAGCTGAGAAGGGAGAGAGGGAAGCGATCAGCTCGGACACGAGAGGGTGAGGGCGCGGGTTCTGGGCGCGGGGGCCCTGATGCGACCCCACGACCCCACCCCGCCGCTGTCACTTCCCAGCCGGCCCCGAGGCAGCGAGGCAACCTCTCTGTGCCTCGGTGATTCCTCTGCAGAAGGGAGCATACTGCACACACCGTAAGGGCTAAATGGGAAAAACGCTTATCAGCGTAGCTTGAGGTTTAGCACCTGAAACGTGTTCAGTGCTTAATAAATGTTAGCTTTGGTTGGAAGTTAGATGCGTATTTTACAACCTCCATCCACTCACTAACACTCTCTAGTCTCCAGAGCCAGAGGGGGAGGGGACAGGGACGGCCGAGGGGTCAAGGAAGAGAGGGCGGCTGGCTCTTCCCAGTCTGCATGTGCCTTACTGTTCTGCTGAGCACAACAGGCCAAAACCAGGAATGGCTACAGACGTACTTTCTGCCAAAACTACCTCACACTCCTCCCGGGAGCAGAGATACGAAAAAGTTCAAGAAAAATTACCAGGGAACATATCTCAAAAGAGCATTCATGTTTGTTTGTTTTTTAACTTAAAAGTTCTATTAACACCAACACATTTTTTACGTCTGTTTTTTTAAAGAGATATAAACGTTACTTCTAACTTTGCTCTAATGTGATTGGCAGTGGGGTGATTGTTTGTATCAATATCTTAACTCTATTTGGCTCGTGCAAACTTCCACGTGGTGTTTCAAGCCAAGAGTATCTTGGGAGGGCCAAAAGCTAATGCCTATCAACATTTAAATAAACATAATTTGCCCTGGCTAGAATAGCTCAGTGGATTGAGCATGGGCCTGTGAACTAAAGGGTCACTGGTTCAATTCTCAGTCAGGGCACATGCCTGGGTTGCAGGCCAGGTCCCCAGTACAGCGCGCGTGGGAGGCAACCACACACTGATGTTTCTTTCCCTCTCTTTCTCCTTCCCCTCCCCTCTCTCTAAAACCAAACAAAGTCTTTAAAAACAAATACATACACATAATTTTTGACCTTGCAAAGTTCTTTTTTGAATTGTCTTTACAAAGGCCACAGATTTTGTATGTACTGGTTTTCACACGTACACACTGAAGTCACACCACGCTTAGCACCGTCACCGAGCATCGGACAAGGCAGCATTCTAGCCCCCGAGTCCCGCTTGGTGCACCGACGGAGACGGCCCTCACCGCGTCCTGAAAGCGCGGGCAGGTCCCGAGTGCCTCCGGCCCCAGGCACGCTCGCTGTTTAAAAAGCTCGCGACCAAGCGAAACGCGGCTCCTCCAGAAACCAGGTTTGAAGGGAGCGCAAGCCAGAACTCGTCGTGTTACCATCCAGGCAACAAGCTGGATCTCTAGACGGGATCCCTCAGTGGACATACAAAGCCCAGGGCTCCACGACCTGCGCCGAAAATAGCTCTGCGCTTCCTTGCCAGCCCCCGATTCAATAAACAGGAGCCAGTCCCGGACGGCCCTGGTCGTGCCGGGGCTCGCCCTCCACAGCTGCGGCTGATTCACACTCACTACGCGGACGGGAGTTAATTATACGTGAGGACATCGTTAGAGACGCGTGTGAAGTGAACGTGGCAACACGTGCACCCCAGCATCTGGGCGCTGGGTATGTGGGCGCTCCCGGCACGGTTCTTCCAACCGCTCCGTATGTTTGCGGTTTCTCAGGAAAAACGCGGAGGAGAAACCCGCGCCGTCGCCGGAGGAGACTCAGTGCGGGCAAACCCGCGGGGAGCAAGCGCGGCGGGACAGAAGGGACCGGAAACTCCGCGTTACCAGACGAGCCCCTCACGCCGCCGCCGAGGGCTGCCCAGGTTACCTCGCACGGTGGTGACCATTGTGACAACCTGCCGGGGGACAAAACGTTTCACACGATGTCCTGCAGGACACCAGTGCTTCTCAAGAGTTCTGGTCTCCAGCCCTGGCTGCTGTGGTTCAGTTGGTTGGGCACGGTCCCACGGACGGAGGGGTCACGGGTTCGATTCCCCGTCAGGGCACATGCCTAGGTTGCAGGCCAGGTCCCCAGTGGGGGACATTCGAGAGGCAACCAATCAATGTTTCTCTCCCTCTTTCTCCCTCCCTTCCCCCTCTCTGAAAATAAATGTAACACATCTTTTTTTTTTTAAAGTGGGAGGGGATGAGCTGCAGCTGCATAAACTATTTACGGGGTGTTAGTCTCAGTTTCTGTCTCCGTAAGTTCTCAGTCTCCGGAACACAGGCTGGCCGTTCCTCGCAGTGCTCAGCACGGAGTTCAGCCACGGAGCCCGGCCGTTCCCCTCGCAGGTGCGTCTACGAGAAATGAAAACACACACGCACAAAGCCCCGCGTGACTGTCCACGGCGTCACCGTGGACGAAAGGTCGCCAGCTGTCCACCACAGATGAACGACAAACAAAATGTTGGACGCCATCACGATGGAATGCTATCTGGCAACAAAAATCAGTGAGGCAGTGATACATGCTGTAACACGCTATAACACACTGTAACACAGGGGAACCTGGAAAACGTGATGCTAAAAAAAAAAAATAGCCAGACACAAAAGACCACATATGCTAAGGTTCGCTGCTAACAAATTTCTAGAATCGGCAGGTCCACACAGGCTGCAATACACGAGTGTTGCCAGACGCTGGGGTGGGGGGGTGGGAAGTGGCTGCTAATGGCAGTGGGTTTCTCTGGGGACGACAGAAATGTCCCCGAATCAGACAGCGGCGAGAGCGGCACAACTCCGTGAGGACACTGAGGACGCTGCTGAACAGCACATTGAACAAGGGGGAATCTCTGCTATGTGAGCTGTGCCTTAATAAAGCGATTACTAAAAGATTTAACTCCCTTGGAAACGTCCACATGATAAAAGGTATCACAATGTAAGTTAAAAGACAAGCCACACACTGCAGAAGATACTTGCAGCTTTTGTTTTAAAGATTTTTATTTACTAATTTATTTTTAAAGAGAGGGGAAGGGAAGGAGGGAGGGAAACATCCATGTGTGGTTACCTCTCGTGCGCCCCCTACTGGGGACCTGGCCCGTACCCCAAGCACATGCCCTGACTGAGGGTGGAAATGGTGACCCTTTGGTTTGCAGGCCCGGGCTCAATCCACTGAGCTATGCCAAACAGGGCTACACTTGCAGCTTTTAAAATCCACAATGGTTAAGTATCTAGAATATAGGAGTATAAAGAATTCCTCAAACAGGAAAAATGAGCAAAGAAAATGAACAAAGCACTTTGCAATTCTCTGAAAAGAAAAACCTTAAACGTTAGTACACCTATGAAAAGTCTCAGCTTCCCAGTAACCAAGGAAATGCACATGAAAACAACAGCCTTGACGCTGTCACCCTCATAAGCTTAGCCCAAGTTCAAGTCCGACGATAAAAAAGAAAGCGCCAAACTTACTCTGAAGGCGCCCTCCGACTCCATGGACAAGAGGTCCCCGTCAAAGGGGATGAGGTCCAGGCCGTACTCCTCCCTGTGGATGAAGGAGCCCAGGACGCCCAGGTCCTTCAGCCGCTGCTCGCACAGCAGGCTGCGCCGGGGCACGAACAGGATGTGGAAATCCCTCGCCGGGCCCCGCCTGTCTTCGCTGCAAAGGAAGTGCCGTCTGTCAGCTCGGACGCTCTCCGGGGTCACAGGCCATGCTGCATCTGTTACCCCGAGCCCAGTCCTACGCCAGGTACGCAGCAGGCGCTAAATAAATGCTGTCTGCTTCAAGACACCAGTATTGACTTTCCGACCCCCGCTGCTGCAGTCGCTCTGTTTTTTTTCCTCCCTGACGGGAAAGCGGCATCGATCCCCAGACGACTTCGTAATGCATTTTCTAGCTTCCTCTTAAACTATTTATGGGGCATTAAAGCTCTCAGGTTTATTGACCCAGGATATCTGTGTCCTCCTGACAACAAACCAATGCAGCGATACAGAGCCTTAAATTAAAGCGGAAGATCACGCCTGACTCCCACCTCTGCTCTCCTGATCGGTGAACCTCCCAAAATAGCGCATTTGCTTTTAAGGTTTCCGGGGCCACATCGACCAACCGCACCGCAGAGCGCAGGCCGGGCCGGGACAACTTCCTCCGCAGAGGGATGCGGCATTAAACTGTACTCAGCTCTGACCTACTCTGCTTATGAGATTCAAGCACAGTGTGTTCAGTGTATCGAAAAAATAATCATTAAAGGCTTTTCTGTTTAATGAGGGTCCCTGCACTGATACAGGTCCAAACAGTCTGCTGTCCTATAAACAGCAGGGTTACTCGATGACCCCGCTCTCCAGCTGTTTGAACAGTTTCAGGTTTTGCATCCCCCCCCTTATCCTTTCCCGCCTGCCCCGGTTTCCCGAAGACCACCTTCCCACCCACTGGCCAGAGAAGGGAGTTGCAATGAGGGGGCCTGGCACCTTAACACCAGCGGAAGGGCCAACCTCTGGTGGACCCACCACAAGCTCTGGGAAATACCTGAGCACGTTTTCAGCGATAATGTCCATCAGTTCTAGCCTGGGTCTGACAAAAAAAATAATATTCTTCACGTCAGCTGCCGGCAAACGGCTTCCTTTCAGGGTGAACATTTTTTCCACTTCGTGCTCCTGGGAAAACACACACACGAGAGGTCAACAAGGAGCCCGTCTCCGCCGATCGCACCCAGACTCAGTGGTTACCCACTCCCGGTCAAATGCACTTGATGCTGAGTTTTCCAAACTTGGATTCTCCAAAGCCAGATGTGCAAAGCCCCACGTTTCAGGATGACGCCACTGCTCACTGCATCGGAATTCACATGACCCTCACACGATGAACTATCAGAGACACCAGGTCACGGTCACCTAAAGCAATGCTAGTAATTTCCCTGAGATGAGAGTCGGTATAGCATCGCAGGCCAAAGGACCACTGTACACAAAATGTTAGTCACAGTGAATGCCAGTGTTCAGAAAGGCCAAACAAGAGAAAATGTAAAAATCCTCCTGTTACTGCTAAAAGTGCAGAATCCTCAATCCCCGAATAAAACCCGAACAGCTCGTTTACCTTCAGCAGGGAGTACTGCGCGATCAGCCCAAACGGCCCTGTGAGGTATTCATCCCACACTATTGCCTGTAAGAGGAGAGAAGCATTCTCTTACTACAGTTAATTTCAAGAATCTCGACAATAGCAGCAGCAAACAGCAGTTACACAGAGTAGGGCCATCTGCTTCCAACTCCGAATTAAGCAGGCTCCAAATTTAACAGGCTCCGACCACACTCATACCCTGCGGGCCTAAAGAGAAATGGCAAGGGCGAGCGAAGCTCCTGCTGGGTCCGGGGGGAGTTCGGACTTCACCCCTGCCCCCAGCGGAGAGAAGGACCTGAGCTTCACTGCGTGTCTGTGATTCGACTGAACCACTCGTTAACTGCCAATGGCAACAGATCCATCTGGCATTGCATGTGTAAGCATCATATCATCATCCAGTGACATAAAATTAAAACCTCCAAGGCAGGTATTACAAATCTTACTTTGACAAAAGAAGAAACTGTAAAAGGCTCACGAAACGTTAAGTAACACGTCCAAGGACAGCATAAGGAGTCAGGCCTCCAACTCAAGGACGTAACACCTCGAGGGCCACTGCTCTGAGCTTCTGGGGAGCCTGTGTCCTGCTCCAGTCCGGGGTCATTGCTCTTTCCTTGAACAGGTACTTGTACTGAGATCACTGCAGGGGACGTTTCGTTGTGAGAAATACTGCAGAGAGATCCCTGGGGCACTGTCCCCACTTTCCCAACGGTCAGGTTTTACAAAACGGTCAGGTTTTACAAAACGGTCACTACAATATCGCGGCCAGGATGCTGACGTGGGTCCAACCCAGCATCCTGTGCCGACTTCAGCATCATTTCCCGAGCTCGAACTGGGGTTGGCCTGCTTTCTTCTTACCTCGCTGGCTGCTAGCGCCCACGCTACCTCTCTCGGGGTTCCTACTCTTTCCAAGACTGACTCCCGAGCTTCCTCCGTTCTCCTCTTCTGTTCAGAGTGTGCTGCCAGTTATTTAGGGAGACTAAGAAATCCTAAGGGGAGAGGTAATATCGCTCAAAAGAAATTCTACCAAGTCCCCGACCTGCCGTGTCTGATTCCGTGGTGAGCTGGATGCTAGTAAAGGTCTAACAGGAGACCCCGTGTTATTTTTGAAGGTAACTACAACTTCTCTCATAATCCCTGCAAGCAGCAGGGTAAGGGGTTGGTGCTTCAGAGACTCTCCAAGGTGTGAGTTGTAAGGACCCGGGTGATCGCTGCAATGAATGACACCGTCCCCCTTCCGGGCCGGCGTCCCAGGGGGCGCCGTCCTGCCCCTGGGGACCTGAAGAGCACCCGACATATAAGCTGGTTCACGGGGGCTGAGACACCACGGTGGCTCACTCGGCTGCCACGCAGACTCCGGGCTGTCGGCCCCAGGTCCCACCAGAGGGCCCCTCTCGCCGCCCCACCGGTCCCGCCTGGACCAGGAACCTCAGACGCCTGGAGCTCTGGCGGTCGCACCGGATGAGGCCAGGCCGGACCGGGTTCCAGGGCGCTGTCCCCGCCGCCGTCCCTCACCTTGCTTCCCGCGCACTTGTCCAGGAATTCGCGCAGCTCCCGGCGCACCGCCTCGCGCAGCACGTTCAGGTTCACTCGGCCGTAGGACAGGTGCGCCGCCATCTTGCCCCGCCGCCCACCAATGCCCCCCACCAGTGCCCCCCAACCCAGACGCGTCTGTTCTGCTTCTAAGCGAGGCCAATAGTCGCGGTCACGTGACAGCAGGTTCACGTGACCCCGGCTGCTCGCAAACCCGGAAGCCTGAACGGGGGACGGGCAGGCGTCCGCGACTCGAAGCCGCCCTAGCGCCACCTTTTTTTTCCCCACTGAAGCTGCCTCAGTCCCGGCGGAATCTTTGGGCGCTGAGAATTGAGTTTAGTTTAAAAGCGGGGACAGGATCTTGCTAGCCCCGTTTAAACTCTAGAAATCGCCCTTTCTTCTTAGTAGCAAGCCTACCCGCTGTAGGTAATTGGAAGGTAAAGGTGAATGGGAACGTTTAAATTATAGCCATCCAAAAGGTCCTTAGCTTTGCTCTTGTGGGTTGTGGGCTAGGATTTACAAAAATAGCTAGGGTCTGAAGGAACCTTGAGTGACTGAACTCTTCCTAGTAGACTTTTAATGTATTTCACGCAAATGCTATCCGATGTGGACTCCGGGTCTCCCCACTTGCATCATCAATAAAATTCGCGTGTTACCTTGTGAGTTGTGGCTGTCGTAAGGTAGTGTAATTCACATAAAGAGCTTTTCAATGTGCCTGGGACTTAATTGCTCAGTAAACACTGTTTTAGGACGATCTATGCGTTTCAGTACTTGGGGGTAGAAATCGGCTATTCGGGATCTGGTGAGAGGATTGAAAACATTTGTCTTGGAGTGCAAGGTCTTTTGTGCTCTTTGTTAATAAGACTCGCTTAGCAATTACCGTGGAGTCTGAGGAAGCAAAGAGCAGACTTGGGGGATTGTTAGAAAGACCATCGTACGTATACACATGCTTCCACTCTCAATTGCATGATCCACCCAAGACACTTAGGTTTTAAAATAACTTGTTTCCACTCACGCAGACTGTTGCACGCCCTGCTGTTCAACCTATCACCAATTCTTTTCACCGGTGCGAGTTTTTGCTCAACAGAGAATGTGTCTGTTTTTAGCACCGTCTGAAAGAACAAATGCTGAGCTAAACAGGCCTTGTCAGGAGCAGTTGAATGAGGGCACCACTAACTGGGAGAGGAAAAACGCCCCAGGCTGGCCACATTGCAGCAGCCAGAGCGGAAACAAGCAAGACCAGGGGGATCCGCTATCGCCCTCAGACAGGAGCAGGGAGCCAGATGGTCAACAGAGGGGTGTTACTTGGAAGCAATGTGTGGAGAGTTTGCCGTCCTGATGTATTTGCCCCCAAAATATTGCAGTTGTTTCGTGCTGAGTCTTTTTACTTTTTTGAGCTGTAACTGACATGTAACATTGCATTAGCTTTCCGTGTATACATATGCAATGTGCAATGACCACAGTAAGTTTAATTAGTAATGCGAGTCCTTCAGTCCCCTGTGGTCAATGCTACAGGCAAATACTAAATGTCAGGGCGTCGTTTCGGTAAAAGCAACATTCTTATTCAACTAACCGGTGACTCTGCTTTGGAAACATCTACCTCCGGGCAAGCCCGTGCCCGTCAAACAGATGTTCGGGTTCCTCATTCACCGCAGCAGCACGTGAACGCTGCAGCAACTTTCAGAGCTGCCCTCTCAAAGACTTAGTGGGTTGGTAATTGGCCCTGTACGGTGCCACCCGTTTCTGTCTGGTAATACGGGGTGGCATAGCAACGGATAACTACGGTAGGTATTTATTTTGTTTTTCACTTTATAAACACTATCGGTATTTACAGACTGCTTTGATAAGGATATACCCAATTTCTTCAAGTTGTTTATCAGCAAGGCTGCAGTAGAAATTACATTTGGATCTATAGAGCTGGCTCATTTGAAGAAAAACCATCATGACAAATAAACCTGAGAAGAATATCAGTTACTACCACTGGGCAAAAGAGAAGAACCATTTATTAAAGTAGGTACAGAACATCTGTTTGCTCAAATTTTAATACTGATTTACATATTGTTTGTGAAACAATTCCTATTATGTTTATAACCAGAAAATTTCAACTGATTACAGATTTTTCACTTGCCAAACACACTTAATAATCTTGAGGGGAAAATACATCAAAGGCATATATACAATTATAGAAGTTTTTATTATACATGTAACATGGAAGGTACATTTATTACTTTTTACATCTTCTAGAAGACATTCAAATCGAGATAAATAGATCCAAACTGGTTGATAAACTTCTGGAGGCTGAGGTCCTTCATTCAATTTTTTTGTGATAAGAAAATCCAAAATTATTCATGTTGAATTTCTCATCATACATTCATCTAAAGACAGTAAAAACAACTTGTAGATTGTAGACTAATTAATGTAGGTGTTGTGTGGTGGTTTATTGCCTAATTGACTGACTGGGGGAGATATCTGTGGGAGAAGGAAGAAATTTGTATTTATTTCTATCTGACGAAGAAACAGAACGAAAACCAAAGAAAAGATGCTTCCAACTCCGTGTGATGCTCTTTCTGGCCCTGCCCATTATGTCCTGATGAATACTCTTGTTTTCTTTTTCATTAAGGTAAAAGTCTGAAAAGAAAGACACATTGTGTATGCTTTTTCCCAAAATAGAGATTTTTAAAAAATATATACATATAATATATAGAGGCTGAAATTATGTAAAACCAATAAAACGCCACAGTGAGGAAGTGGGTGCAGCATATGGGTTACAGACCGGCCCCCCCGGCAGCTCGGGGGCTCGGCCCGCCCCTCCCTGGCCCGTGATTGCGTGACCGCACCCAAGCGCCACCAAGCCGAGTGAAGGCACCACTGACCGCAGGTAGTGCAAAGAGCTCAGGTACTTCTTCGACTAAGAGTAGAATACTTTATAAACGAGTAGATGAAAATGCGAAATGGCACATTTTTCCAACTCATTCCAGTGTCAAAGCTTAACCAAAAGGTCTAAATATACAAACGCAGCCTGGAGAGATTTTAGTGCAAATATGAAAAGTAACGGCATAACTTACTTAAATAAGGTGTTGGGGGGAGGGGACTGTTCTACGAGGTCTCCCTCGGGGACGACACGCGTAACGGCCTCTGGTGCAACGTCTCGCTCGGACTTCAGGGTCAGGGGGACGACATTAGAGGTGATAACTCACCTACTAAGTGTTCTGTTATTTATTACTCTAACTTGTAAGGGGAAACTAAACGAGCGATTTGCTGACGATCAAAATAATCTCTTAGATTTGTCGACGGGGGTCAAAAATAACGTGCGTTCTCCTGAAGTCCGCACGTGTGCGATGCTGGTGTTCGGCCGCCCGCGGGAGCCGGGCCCGCGGCCCACGGCCCCGTCAGAAGGTTTCATCGTCGTGACAGTTGGTGGCCCAGTGCCCGAACACCTCGCAGATGTCGCAGTACGGGCGCTCCTCGCCGCGGCTGCCGTGGTGCGTGGAGTGGGGCGGGTCCTCGGACATCTGCGCCTGGGTGGGGCAGTCCTCCGTGTCGTGGAGGTCGAAGCAGTCGCAGATGTCGCAGAAGAGGCGAGGCGGCTTCCGGGGCTGCCTCTCCTGGTCGTCGCTGTGGGGATTAACGTGCGCAGTCAGAGACTCACCGCAACCCTCGGACACTCGGGGGGCGGGGTGTCACGTGCACAGAATAAAAAGCGAGCGAGAGTCATGGCCACGTTGGGGAGCCTCGGGTGCAGCTACCCCCATTAACGTGAGCATTTCCAGGTCTCGCCCCTGGGAGTGCGTGTCACTCTCTTTCTTGCCCGACTCATGGGGACGGGTTTATGCCCATTACCCACCAAGCACCTGCCCCTCCCACCCGCTGGAGGACCTGACTGCATTCAGGTTTACGCGGACACGGCCTATCTGACCACAGTCTGTGACCACAGAGCGGACAGAGTGAAGGCTCCGGTCAGCACAGCTGCGCGGGAAGTACCTGTCGTAATTGTTCAGGTCGTCGCCGTTCCCATTAAGGGCTGCCTCTGACATCATCTCCACCTTCGTCTTGAGGTCTTGGTTCTTCCTCTGAAGGTCCACTATTACCGAGTTCAGGAAGTCAATCTAGCGTGTTAGAGAAAGGAAAGAACCAGCTGTGTGAGCCGTCTGAAGCGTGTGCGGCGCACTGTCTGCTCTGGCTGCAGAGCGCGCTGGCCGTCACTGAACCTGCGTTTTACACACACACAGAAAACTTTACAGAAACCTGCTGGACTGGCCCATGACTTAGGGTCCGCAGACTGGTCAGAGGGCAGGGAACTTCTCCTCACACCAGTCGGACTGCTCACGGCGGGACGGTAAGTGAGCCTCCCGGAGAGAAAAGGGGGCGTTTGAGAGAGGAGGCCGGAGCTCCCTTTCAGCCGAGGCGGCGCCCTGGCCACACCCAGGGCTGGGCGGCGCTCAGAGGCCACAGCGGGGTAGGGTGACGGGCCCAAGTCCCCGGCAGCGGGATGGCGGAGGACCGGAGGGAGGAAAGGTTCTTGTCCATTTGCTTTCAAACCAAGGGCAATTTCATTTAAAGACAAAACGTTCCTTCCCTTCTACCAATAATAAAAAGGTCTCATTCCTCTAAGCAGCCGATGAAAACACCCCACTTCACAGCATTAAAAAAAAATGTGTATGAGGGGACACACGTCCTCAGACAGTGCGATTTTAAAGAAGCGGTCGGCCTCTTCCGCTGGCCGGGGCACCCCGGGGAACACAGCCAGCGAGCGACCGCAGCCTCGCGGCTCTCTGCGGACCACGTGCTCTCGCTTCCTACGCTGCACCTGCTGAGACCGTATCTTGTCAGGAGCTCCATTTCGGGGGGAAGAAAAAGGCACAAAACGGACGTAGGTCGAGTGGGAGACCACATGTACACTCGCACGCACGCACGCACACCACACGCTCGCAAATTAGGAAACATAAAACAAACCATTTGCTGGTTGGAAGAAAAGCGTTGGCAGCAGCAGATGAAGCAAACGGAAGCAGAAAGGAAACGGGGGAGAAAGAGAAAACACTGTTAATGAGGCTGAAGTTGAAGTTGATCAGACACACACACACACCGAGCAGGCGGGGCTGACCGGGTACATTAGTGTGCCTGCTGAACCCTTTCACGCCTTTCGGAGGAGCCGGCACACAAACCGCCACCCCCGAGCCTTCACTCACAAGCGAAGCGTGGCTCTCGTGCCTGTGACTTCCCACTGGGATAAACCGATCCGAATTATCATTACAACTGAAGACAGGTGCTTGTTGCCCCTGAGCTGTTGTATTTCCAAAGAGAGAATACTTCGTCTCCATATGACCTCATTTTAGAACTAAGGCTGTTGTTACTTTGGGCTTTAGGGAAGTTTTCCAGAACCCTGTGTTTTTAAGGTAGAGCAATTCTACTTCTAGGAATTTGTTCCAAAGAGATACTACTGCATTTGCAAAGTGACAGATGTCCAAGGTAAGCCACCTCTGCATTGTTTACAATACCCCTAGAAGATCAGAAACACCCCAAGTGTCCTGTCAGCGATAGGGAACCAAGTACATTGAGGTGGTCTGCAAAATGGAACACTATACAGCCATGAAAAAGAACCGTGCACACCATTTTATGTAATGCGCCGCCAGGTACGTACAGAAAGGGGGATGACTGTGTTAGTCTCGGCTTCCATTTAAAAAAATCCCTGAAAATATTGTTCTAAAGAGACACTAATAGCAGTGATGACGTGTTTGGAGGGCTGGGAACTGACTGGAAGAGAAAGGTGTGGACGGAGATTTACTTTAACTGTTGACACCTTTCACACTGTTTAGTATTTAGACCATACTACCTGTTCAAAAGGTTAAGTGAGTTTTTAAAAAACACGAGCAAGCGAAGCGACAGGGGGCGTCTCACCTGGCTCTCCTGGGCCCGCTCGTCCTCCTCCGCCTGGGCGTCAGTGTTGCCTTGGATTAAAACACGAGAGAAAGGGGGGGACTTTTGAAAACCTGCAGTCTCTTTCCTTGTTGTCACAATGAAAGGGCCAGCGCCGGAAACTCATTTTCGGTGGGAGTGTGAGCTGTCCCCTAACCCAGATGCCCGAGGGACCCACCCGGCGCTGGCGTGAGCCCCGAGGGGGTTCTCTCCTGGGGGGGCTCTCTGCTGTGTAAGGATAGCCACTCTCTCCACCCAAATTTAAAGGGGCGGGACCACCTCTGTTCTCCTTCTCCCGTGCACCCCTGGAACCCGCAACCACACCGAGGCGGCAGCCGCCTCTGCTGTCTCCTGTTTCTGCCGACACCCTAGGCCACGGGGAGGCCCAGACTGGGGTACCAGGTGCGCCCTGTGCATCGTGCCCAGCCCCTGTCGGGGTCGGCAGTGGGAGAGCCCCGGATGGAAGGGCCGGGCAGGGCAGCGTGGCAGCCACCTTCAGTCTCGGCCAGAGCCGGCCCCTCTGCAGGGAGCAGCGCCGGGGGGCCGGGCAGGAGTGCCAGGCGGGTAGCGTCTTACCTGACGAGCTGCTGAGCTGCCTCCTGTTCTCCTTGAGTTGCAGCTCCAAGTTCTTGACCTTGAGCTCAAGCTTCACCTTGTCGGACTCCAGAGACTGCACGACGGAATGCAGGGACTTGGCGGAGGCGTTCTCCCCCCTGAGCGCCGTCACCTGAAACACAGCGGGTGGGCTCAGGCTGTGGGCGGGCCTGGAGGGGGCCGTGCGCGCGGGCGGGCGGGCGCCGCGGAAGGCACTCTACCTCATTCCGCAGTCTTTCCAGCTCCGCGTCCTTCTCCGTGAGTAAGGCACTAGTAATACTGATGGACTTCTGCAAGGAAGCTTTTTCTTCATCGGTGTCTTTTAATAACTTGGATTCTCTAAAAGACCAAAGAGTTAAACATTCCAGGAATCAACCGAGAGGGACCAGTATATACAACCGTCGTAGAACAAACACGCAATTAACTTGAGTTAATGGAAAGAAAAAGAGTCTAGCGCAGGGGAGTTGTATAGGGGGCTAAAGCTATTATGTGTCTAAATTTGACTTGGAATTTTACTTACTGTGAAGGCAGAGTAAGTTTACTATGCATAGACATGCCAGAATCTGCATATCATTGTGTCCATTTGAATTTAAAGAAACAAGTTAATAACTTTGGAAGATGTACAATAAAAAAAAAAAAAAGACTGTTGCACCCCCAGAGAATTCTTTTAAATCATCTACTCAGCTGAACTCCATTACTTCTTGAATAAACCAGTGCCAAGCAGCAACAACAATTAGAATACACACATGCAAAGCGATTATACAGGTGTCATGCAGAGCGGGTTTATGCTGGAAATATCCATTGGTTCTCACTAAGTTCAGTGGCTTTCAGCAAGTTCCAAGAATTTGACTTTGAGATCTCATGGGCCAGAAGAGCAGCGAACACGACTACTATCCAGACGGAAGGACTCTTATTTTCCGTCCGTGGGACCTGAGGAGGGCGTGGAATTGCTCACAGAGGGGAAAGGCTGGAACGGAGATGTCAAAGCGGATTTCCGGGTACAGAGTGGAAGCGTGGGGTGTCTGCAGGGAGAAGGTCTGAGCTCTGGGTTCCTGTTCTCAGCTTGGTTGCCAGCAGAGGGAGGGGCCAGGCCTTTGACGAGAGGGAAACACTTCTCTTGGGGGCGAGGGAGCGGGAAAAGAAAGGGAGGGCGAGGGAAGTCGGGGATCGGGGCGAGGAGACACGGCAGGTACAGCCCGACAGGGCCGGCGACTGAGTGTTGCTGTGCGTGCGCATTTACGTAAAGTTTTGCTATAAGGATCACGTGCTCGTGCATGTGAGCGTGCCATGGCCGCGGTCACCAGTGAGGGGAGGGGCCGGCCACCGCCGCAGATGGGAAGAGACTAAGGGGCGTGACGTCCGTGCGATGCGGTGTCCTGGCCTGGACCCCGGAAGAGGAAAAGTGCGTCAGCGGGAGAACTGGGGCACCCGCACAGCGTCCGGGGTTGGGGCTTACAGAGCATGGACCGGGGTCCCTCTCTGAGCTCTGACCAAGGCACCAGGGAACGCCAGGTGTCCGCAGTAAGGGGGCTCTGGGGGAGGGGCACGAGGGGCCACTCTCAACTGCCTTTGCAATTTTCTGTGAATCTGTGATTTTAAAATAGTGCTTTTTATTTTTAAAAAATTACATTTTAAAATGCAGTGTGAAATAAGAGGAAAAAGACCTTGTATCACAAAAATATTTGGGGGAAAAACAAAGCTGGGGCAAATTTTCCCAGCCGGCCCTCAGGCCACACAACCTGAACACTTCCCTGAGGTGGCTGGTCATCAGTGAGGATTCGTAACCTGAACGACAAGCCAGGTCGCTCCCGGCCCTGTGAGGGGTGGGTGCGGGACACGCTGTGGTCTGGTCTGTTCCAGGACCAACGGGGAGGGCCGGAAACTGAGGCCCAGGTTAGAAATGGCAGAATGGACGTCTGGTTAGTGAGACCCAAGGTACCCGGCACACGATTACAGAATTCTCGTGGTTCGTGGCGAATCGGAGTTCTACGCAAAGGTAAACTCTAAGTGTTGTATTTGTCTCATTGTGTGGCTTACACTCACACTCCAGAATGCTAAGTAGTAAGAAAAGAATCCAAGACTTACAGAAATCTCTTGAACTCAACACCCACGCATTATCTGTGCCCTGAACAGGGGGCGGGTGTTGGTGATGCTGAACCCCTGAGCACCACCCTGCTAAGAAACGGGGTCTTGCTCGGGTTGAAACAAAACAGAGACTCTAACGGAAGAAATATCTGAACGCTTCGTCCACCTGGAAAGGAAGCATCCGATGTCACCCAGAATCCAGAAAAGCTGGGGCTCCTTAAGCTCCTCCTGAGCTTCCTTGGTAGTTTGTTGTAAAGCCTCTTTCGAGAGCTTCAACTGTGATAAACGCAACTCAGTTTGAATGTTATCCTGAATGTTTTTGCTGAAAAATACCAGGATCTGGGGGTCGTTGAAGAGCCTTGGACTCCTTGCATCGCCAGGACTCGAGGTGGCCACGGTGTCACGGAGACCCGGTGTTAGGGCCCCCCCGCCGGCAGGAGGCGGGCGGGAGGTCTGGGCATCGTGACCTGCTCATCGTCACGCACACGCCACCTCCCAGCAAGGCCGCTTTCCGAGGACAGGGCCAGCGTCTCGTACAAGTTACCAGAAGATATGCGGTTAGGAAAAGGCCGTAACCGGGGACAACCACCAGGACACACAGACACTGGCGGCTCACCTCTGGGACCAATCGTCACTGCTGGCTCCCGAGGCTCTTTCCAGGCCCTGACCCCACTGTGCGGGCCCAGAGGGGCTGCGTTAAACTGCGTGTGGCCACGTCACTGGTGTCGGAGTCACACACCACGCTGAGGGGGGGCCGTGTTACGTGGCAGCCACGCTGACCGGAGCAATCGGTGTCACTCAAAATACCAAAAAGGGAAGGTGGACACCCCACGAAAGAAGGGCCAGAGGGGCCACAACCTTCCGCCCGAGGAAGCGCATCGCCCAGATTCCTTCCTTACTACTTACGCACGAGAGATTCTAGTAATGAAGCAAATACCGTCCAGTGTGACTGGGCGAGCTCAGGAATGCGAGGGAACAGGGACCGAGTGTCAGAAACCCGGGAGGGAGGCAGCTCTGCCCGCAGAACCAAGTGGGCCCTGAAGACCCGTGTTGTAGAAGGACAACGTGAGCGTGCGTGTGCGTGCATGTGGACACTGCTGAGAAGGTGCCACAAAGCAAAAGCAAGACACGGAGGGACAGAGGCAGCCAAAAAATATATGCAGCAACTTGGTTGACTAAAAAATATACGAAATTTATTTATTATATTGCGGATAGACTTTCTTTAGCCTTACCATGAAAGACACACAGATATAGCAAAGGAAGCAAGAGCAGGAAGGGAAAAGAGAGGGTGAGGTGAGCATCAGTCGCGGCGAGAGCTCGGAGACAGTCAGACGGGGGCCTCTGTGGGGGTGGGGTCGCCACCCCGTTTTGTCTTCAGTGGGACGGCAACCTCGCGCTTACACTGGCAGAACTAACTCTAAGATCTTTCACTCTGGAGCCCCTTCTCTGATGTGGGAGAGCCTGGGGCAGGAGGGGAGCCGAGGGAGCCCCCGATCTGCCACAGGCCCGGGGTCAGAGGGACCCGCCCCCCCCATGGTGAGGCTGCAGCCGCTCCGGGCAGGCTCTGCCCGACCCGATGTCTTGGACCCTGCTCTGGAGGGGGCCTGTCTGCCTGGGAGACCAGCTTCCCAAAGAAGTGACTGTGCTTTTAAGAGAAAAGCCCTTACTAGCGATTGCTTGCAACCCAATGTTTCAATACCAAAAAAACCACACAGCAGCACAGGGGACGTTGCTAAGAAGCAGCTTCAACCCATCGTGAGGAGTAAGTTCTGCACTTCAGTATAATGACTGTTGGGATAAGCAATTATATGCTTTCTTGATCATGTATGTTCAATTATCGCTTTTAAATTAAACTGTCAACTGAGATCTCAGTTCTTTACGATTTAAACACTTTCTAGACTTTTACACTAAGAGCGTGTAAAATTCTTTCTAGTTCTCTGTGCTCAATTACCTTAACTACTGCACACACAGACCTCCACACCCACCCTCTACCAGACTGACTCTGGAAGGCACTGAAGGGCCCAGATTATTAGCTCAAATATACACTTTCATTCAGATTTCTGAAACAGACACAGCTTCCCATAAGGATTAATGAACAATTAGACAAAAAAAAAAAAAAAAGCTGTAAATATGAGAAACTAGATTTAAAAAATTTTCCCTCCCAGAAAAAACCACCATCTTTATCTGCACTCACTGACAAAGAGTGGTTTTCCCAGGGGCACTGCCCTAAACACACCCAGCGCCTAAAACCGGGGCGCAGAGGCGGCGTCACACGGGGACCTGCCACCTGTCGGCACCAGACCTGTCCCTCCTTCCGAAGCCGGGGAGAGAGTCACGCGCCCTGTTGCAGCGTGAAAGGCGTGTGATTTCGTTACGGCCGCACATGGGAGGGACCGACGAAGTGTGGCGTCTATCTTTCTTTTTTAAAGTAGTAACACTGAACGAGCGCAGAGCAAGACAGGAACCCACGTAGAGCTCTGGGGACCGGGCTCTCACACCCGCCCCAGATCCTTGGACGGGCCACCTGGCCTTTCGGGGCGTCCGTTTCGCCACGTTGAAGGGCACGTCCCACCACGCACTTCCCTGGGCTGCTCTGGGATGAAGCCCGTGATTACGGAACGCCGCCCCAGTGCCAGTGGCCGAGCCGGCGCTCACACCGGCCCGTGTCCGCACGCCCCCTGGCCAGAAGGCCACGGGAACAGCGCTGGGAGCTTTCCCCATATCCTGGGTGACTGCGCCCACATCAGGTTCTTTTTTGAAGGAACGGAGCCTCGGCGATGCGGAAAGAAACGCCCGAGGCCCATGCGGGCAGGGCCGGGCCGCGGCAGGTGCCCAGCCACCTGGGGGACGCCTGGCTGGACCGGGGCCGACACCCGTGCATTCAGGGGTGAGGCTTCACAGGAGGGCGAATCTCGGTGCCCCTCAGTGGAAGGAGGGATGGAGGGACCCCTAGACCAAGGCCCACTGTCCCTCAGGGTGTAGCTGGTGGAACCCAAACAGCCGGGTGGGCTCAGTCAAGCCCTCGGTGGCTGGCCGGCCGCCCTGCTGGCCGGAGGGGGCACTGCAGCGTAGGGCACGTGCGTCCTTGGTCTGCCCGGGCAGTGGCTCTGAGGACCGCTCGCTGGGCCTGGGGGGGGTGGGGGGGTACTTTTTTTTTGACTGCCCTGTCTTGTTACTACTTTCTACTTCTCTGCAGGCGGAGCGCACATTTTCCAAGAGCAGACGGGCGGTCAGCCTGTACGGGCACTGAGCTTCTCAACAGCTGTCTCTGTGGGGCTGTTTGTCCTCGCTCAGAAGTACTGGGAGGCTTCCGTTTCAGCCTGTTTGGTCGTCATGAAAAAGCGCCCGAGCTCTTCTTCAGACAGTAAGTAGAAACATCTATAGTGGGGTTACCCATTCGTGTTGAAAAGTTAAAATCTTTACACACTGGCAATCAGTGTTCACAGGCAGATCAGTCACTCCCTGTAAAACGGCAGCACTTTCAGTTACTGACCCGAGGAGGGAGCAGCGATGCCCTGCGAGGCCGCCTGATTTCAGAGCATTTTCTGAGCACACTAAACAGGGCGCGGCCTACAGACGCAACTCCTTTTGGTTTGGGAACGCAGGCCGAAACGCTTGCGAGTGAACGTCCGTAACCGGTCAGTCGTGAGCACGGAAGCGGCGGAGGGCGACTTTCTGAACAGGGGGGTCGAGGGCTTCCTGCCGGTCCCCGCACACACGGTGCCCTAAGGTCTCCCTGGTGAAACACACTCACGCACGCACGCACGCGCCCCCGATAAACAGAAGGAGGAGACCACCTACCTCTTTTTCATTTCTAACAACTGGTTGTTGAGCACAGATCTCTCCTCCTCCACCTGGAAAACAAGCAAACGCGAACACGTTCAGCTCCTCACAGGCCCCCGGAGAGGCCTGCTTCTCGCGCCGCGGGTTGCGCCCAGGCTCCAGGGCCGCGCAGGCAGCTGGCCCCGCCCCACAGGATGAACAGTGAGCAGTCCACAGATCATCTGTGACCCGAGTGGCTCCCCGTCCTCGAGGACTCGAGAGCGAAGATACTAAACAACAGTCCCGACCAGTGTGGCTCAGTGGGTTGGGCACTGTCCTGCAAAGCAAAAGGTCGCCGGTTCGATTCCCGGCCAGGGCACGTGCCTGGGTTGTAAGTTTGGTCCCTGATCGGGGTGCATACGAGAGGCGGCTGATCGATGTTTCTCTCTCTCTCCCTCCTCCCCTTCCCCACCTCTCTAAAAATAAGTAAATGTAAGCGAGGAGTGAAAGCTTCACTACAAACATTCTGGCCCCTCCACTGAGAACCAGAGGTCAAGTGTCACCGACTTAAGAAGAGCCAGAGGCCGGCCACGTGCTCTCTGGGGGCCTCGTCTTGGGCCACATTCCAAATGTTTGTTTCTCACCCATAAAATACAGAGGTTACAAAAGAAGTCCCAGTGGCCTTTTATTTCCAAAACTCTATTCCCGCACACAGTGTGGAAAGACAGAAGCTGCAGTTAGTAAGACCTGAGAGAAGCTCCGCCTCCACCCCCTGACCTGCACCGGAGGTCAGCTGATGCCCGATTTCCACTCGGACTGTCCTCGAACAACTTGGGGGAAAAGCTCCCAAGTGGGTGGTTGTTTTTTTTTAAAGGATAGCACCAGAGACTGTGTAATTATGTTTCCAGCAGTCTGGAATTTAAGCTGCCTGTCCTGTAGTCAAGGACTTATTTCTGCTCATGTACCTGTTATGCACCTGCTTTGCCATGAGGTCTTCCAACCTGAGAAGTGCTCACACCCACCGCAGGCTCGTACGGTCTGAGCACTACCCTGCACTCACCACGCCCGTCGAGGCTGACACATGGCGTTTCGCCTCTGGGGAGGGGGGTGTGGCGCGGAGAGGGGCTCTCGCTTCTTCCCCTTCGTACCCTTTCATAGAGCTTTTATTTGTTGTTTTAAACAAGGAAGCTGCTTCACTTTTTAAGTAAAAAGTCACTGGTATGCAAGGAAGTGACTGACTTTTGAATACGAAACCTCGCTCCCTGAAACCTTGCTGTCCTCGTGTTTTAGCTCCAGGAGGTTTGTGTCATTCCTTTGGACTTTCCACATCGTGCCGTCGGCAACCGAAAACAGTTTTATTCGTTTCTTTCACCTGCATTTCCTCCTCCTGTCTCGTTACTACGACGAGAGGGGCCGCCCTCGCCCTGGCGCGGCTCTTCTTGAGGGGAAGCTCTGCGTTTCTCGCCATCAGGCGTGATGCCGGCTGGGGGTTTTACGGACCGCCTTCTCCAGGGGAGCAGGGTCCCCCCCCCATGCCTAGTTTGCCGAGAGACTTTGTCGTAGTGGGTATTAGGTTTTCTTCAAATGCCTTTTCTGCACCTGTTGACATCACTGTGGTTTTTTCTTCCTCGGTCTGTTGATGGGACTGGATTACGCGGACTGATTTTTGACGCCGAGTTAGCCTTGCACACCTGGGGTAAACCCCTCGTGGTCGTGGTCCCTAATTCTTTTTATCCGTTGCTGGATTCGGTTTGCTGATGCTTCGTTGGCGCACACTATTTTGAATCCATTCGCGTTACCTACCAGAAAAGGCGAAACTGTGGGGCCGTGAAGGAGATACATAAACGGGTTTTAGGGACTGAAAGCGACTGCAAGGAACAGGAGAAAGCTTTCTGGGGAGAAGGAAACCTTGACCGTGAAGCCAGCTGTGGCTGTGCCGCTGTCAAAACTCACCGAACCGCACACCCACGAGGGTGAATTTTATGTGATTCCCACCTTCGTACAGATGACCGTGGGGGAAAAGGGAAGTGTGAGCTATAATCTACACGACGCAGCGTCGGTCAGAAACACAGCTGTGCGTGTGAATGCGTCTGCACTCGCTGGGACCCCCGGGAAGGGCAGCCTGGAAAGACGCTCCAGACCACCGGGGACATGGCCTCCCCGTGGGAACAGCAGGGGCGGGAGCAATGCCTTCGGAATGACGTGCGTCTGCATCGCTTCCTGTTGCAGACACGGATGTCTTTCCCATTCCAAAACAACACTGTAACTTTAAAGGAGTAAACAATTCTCATTTTTCAGAGACACAAAAATATTTACAGACGAAGTGACAGGAAACCTAGGGTGTGCTTCCAAGTCGCCCGCGGCAGGGTGAAGGGTGCGTGGGAGCGTGGTGGGAGTGAGAGCGGCCCCACGGTGCTGCCCTGCTTGCCCGGCTTCTGTGTGGGGCTAGAGCTCTTCCTAACCCCAGTTTCACTAAAAGGGAACCTTACTTTAAAAAACATATTAAGCCCTGGCTGGCGTAGCTCAGTGGATTGAGCGCGGGCTGCGAACCAAAGCATCGCAGGTTCGATTCCCAGTCAGGGCACATGGCTGGGTTGCAGGCCACGGCCCCCAGCAACTGCACATTGATGTTTCTCTCTCTCTCTTTCTCCCTCCCTTCCCTCTCTAAAAATAAGTAAGTAAAATCTTAAAAAAATATATTAAGAAAAGAGTATAGGAACACCCATAGTCTCAAAGAGTTTGTCCACAAAACTGCTTTATAAATGAAGATGGTGGGTGATTTCCTTTTCGTCTGTCACTGAGGCCGTGGAAAACACCAGGCCGTGTGGCGGGAAGGACGTGCTGGAGCTCAGAGCACCACGGACGCAGCAGCCCCCGGCGTCGCGGGCCCAGCAAAGCCACTGGGGCGCAAACGTCCCGGGAGGCGCAGCGGTGTCCGTTTCTGCTCGGCTGACCCCTGTCCCCGCCGCGTCCGGAGCACGGGCAGGCGCGCAGTCAGCGCTCACTGACTTCTCTCAACACTGGGGACGCACTGACGCCGCTGAACTGCGCACTGTGAGACGGTTAAAGCGGCAAGTGTCACGTCCTGCCTGTTTTAACACACGCGCCAGCCACCGGCGCAGCAGGAACCAAGGCAGCCGGTGGCAGGAGCCCCTGGGGGAGTGCGGAGCCCTCGGCAGCGGCCCCGACGGCCTTCCCGGAGGGCTGTGCTGTGCTGACTGGCAGCTGAGTGGCGTGCCAGTGCAGGACAAAGGCACGGTCACACGGTCCAACCTGATGAAAGGCCCGGGGCTCCAGGTGACACCGTGAAGGTCCCTTCCACTGTCGGCACCTGAGAAATGAGGCTCAGCTGCCTCTCCCGGTCCTGGCCGTCGCTCCTCACCCCCCTGCCCGGCCCCAAAATGAAAGTCCCACTTGGGAAAAGGAGTCGAAGGTGTGTTGGAGAGTGCCATTGACCCCACCGCCCCAGACCCAGCTCACGGGTATTTTTTTAAATCTTAACAGCAGTGACGATGGAGTAGAGATGAATTTCCTGCCCAGGACAGGGGGCTGGGGGGAACAGACTTCTGAGCTAGTCAGAGGCGAGCTCGGATCTCGGCCTGGGTGCTCCGCTGGGGGTTCACTGCACTCGTGAGCCCCCGCGGCGTGCGGCCAGGACGCCGGGAGACGCGCCGGAGCCAGTGCTGCCGCGTGGGGCGCCGGTCCTACCCCATGTCGGTCTGGTCTCTGCTGCTCTGGCGTTTAGGAGGGACCCCTGACTAAATCTATTAGTACTGCAATTAAAAGTCTGTTTAAAAAAAAAATAGGGTTTCTGCTGAGCACTGGCTCCGTACCTTTCCGAACACAGCCATCAGCAGTCCGGCTGGGACGTGGAGAAGTAACAAGGTAGACATTCGGACTCTCAGGCAAGGAGGCAGTGCTCCCGAGCCCTGGGGGTCACCCAGGCGATACAGCCAAGGGGCCGGCCAGCCGTCCTTACGCTGCGGCCCCTTCCGAGGCACTTTAAGTGGGTGTTTTCCCGCACTTCGAGTCACACGCGTGCCTACGCACAGACACAGACGCACATCAGCGGGAGAGGGACCTGGGACCTCCCCGGGTGGTCGATGTGGTCGGCGACCTCCAGCACCGAGGCCGCACACGCTGTAGGTCACACCGGCCTGTCACCCCCGAGCGAGACGCAGGAAACTGCAGGGGCGCCACAGTTCCCCTCCTTAAGGACTGGGATTACTAATCGAGGTTGTTCCTTTGCAGGCGCTATTTCCTAACACCCTTCCAAGTCACGGGTTTTCACATTTTTCATCACAAAGCCTTTTCCAAAGGAAGGTCCCTCAGGTCCAATACTCAAAAGACGGGGGCGCTGGGGGCTGCAGAGGGGCCGAGACCCGTTGCCCAGGCGCCGCCCCGCCCCTGCCCGAGCCCGTCTGCCTCTGGGGACGGAAGCGAAGACGGAACCGACGGGGTCGGGTGACGGCCACAATGTGGGGTGCCGGGGTGACCTCTGTGTGCCCCTCCCATGGGTAGAACCCACTCTCCACCGGAAAGTCAACAAAACGAGAGAGGAGGAGCCAGGACCCCCCTAGAGAGTCCTCACGGACACAGAACGTCAGGGCCACCCCGCATGTCGGACACGCTGGCCCGTGCCCAGGGCGGCAGCCTCGTGTGGTTGAAGGGCGGCTGCTCGTCCTGAACCCCGTCTCTCACACACTGACCACGGGGTGCGCAGCCACCCTGGTCCCTTTCCCGGCCCGCACTGGAAGGTGGCACCCAGTTCCTGGCTCTGGGAGCCGACCGAGGCTGAGCAGGGAGGGACTGCCTTCTCCGGCCCCTGTCCCCTTTCGCACTCGGGGATGGAGGCGGGCCATCTCCTGCAGGTACTGCAGAGGTGGGCGAGATGGGGCTGTCACTCGTCTGTGCCCGTCACACAGCAGGACGCCGCAGTGCAGAGAGACTGGCAGCGGAGATAGATGAGCCCCTCCTCCGTGAAGTCACACGCTTGTGGGAAGTCTGAGGCTGACGCCCTGGAAAGTGCTCTCGCGGCGGACGGCGCCGTGTCCACGGGAGACTCCGAGCGATCGCCCCGACTCCTCCGTCCCACGTGGGAGCGAACGCTGGCAAAGTGGGCCGGGGGCGGGCTTTCCCCCCGACACGCAGCGCAGGAACGACGCGGCGTCCGGCAGACCCAGTTCCGAGTCGGTGCCCAACGACTTGCGCCCGAAACCTCCGTGGTTCAAATACGGGCGTGAGCCGGCCGGGCAGCGTGCCCCCCCACCCCGCCGAGACACAGGCTCCCGTGTGCCACTGCACGCGAGCGCCCGTCCACACACGGCTCCACGGGGACACGTCTGTCACGTCGTTCTCTCTCTCTCTTTTTTTTTTGTAACTCAAAGAAAAGCAGAGTTCCATCTACAAACAGCTGCCAACCCTCACACTGACCCCACGCTTGGAATCTGCTCCCTTAAAACCAGCTCCGACGAAAGGAAACGAAAACCCGAGCAGCGGGAGGAAGGAGCTACCGTCCCTTCGCGTGTGAAACGCTCTGCTGTCACGTCAGCCAATCAAGACCTCGGCTGCCACTTGCTCGCAAGTTCCCAGCCTTCCACGGGCTCGGACCCGAGCCCTGCAGCTGCAGCACGCGGGCAAAGAGGGGGCACGTGACACAGCCGAGGGGACGTCCCACCCGGCACACCCGACCCCCGGAGCTCAGGCTGGAGCTGTCTCCTCACGGCCCCCCGCCAGCCACCCCCCGGCCCACCAGCCACGCAGACGGCACACGGCACCGCCGCCAGCGCCCACCCCGGCGGCCCCCTGACCTTCTGGTGGGTCGAGACTTCGTCCCTCCGCCTCCCCAGCTCCTCGGCAAGTTTCACGTTCTCCTCCTCCAGCGCCGAGAGCTGCTGGGACTTCTGCGCCGCTGCCTGCTTCAGCGTCTCTCTGCAAGGACAGTGGGTGCGCGGTTACCATAGAAACAAGACAGGCAAAGAAGCTGTGGGAGACGAGCGGCCCCGCAGCGCCCGCCGGGGAAAATGTATCTGGGCCACGTGCCCGGCAGGGTCTGTAATGACGGGAGGCAGCGAGGCCGCCCGGCGGGAAGGGCCGGGCGGCGCTGACCTCGCTGACCTCTCGGGAGGAGGGCTGCCGCCCGCGGTGCCTGCACGTTTCAGAGAAGGACGCCGAGTACACGCTGCGTGCAGCCTCTGGCCACCCACGCTCCCCTCACTCCTGGGCCCTCCCCACACAGAGCGCAGCGCTCCTCGGAGATAAGGGACAGGGGACACGGCCGGCGCCCCTCCTGTCTCTCGGACTGTGCCCGTCAGGAGATCGAGCTAAACCCGCGGTGAGGACAGGGGGGCTCGCGCCGCCACCGGGCACTCTGTTCTGACTGCACACGTCTGCACCCCGCTTTTCCCGGCAGGAACCAGCATCTACGGGTCTCGCTGGCTGGTGTCAGTCACTGCTGAGTGCCGGCGCGAATCTCAGCGTGTCTGGGGGCCAGCTGGGGGTGGGGTCCCGAGGGGAAGGCAGCTGTCTAGTTACAGGACGGGGGTTTCATCTGGACCGTACTCTTTCCATGACGCTCACGTGTAATTAAAAGAAGTAAAGACAAAGAGAGCCTGCTCACCCGTCTCATCAATATCAGCACCTACACAGGAGCAGGTTTAAGTCCCCTTACTAAGCATCTTTGCAAGATTTTTGAGATTGATCCAAGATACACATCCCAAATCATCCTTTACACGGGGGCTCTCAAAATATTTCATCTGATCACTGGGTTTCAGCTCCGTGCCAGGCGGGCCCTGATGCAATGACGGTTTTAAGTCTGTGCTGGCCGCGCTCCATCGAGTGAGCTGTCAGGCGTGGCTGAGCTCCGAGTCCACTCATCTGGGTACGGAGCCGTCTGCTGACGCACGGGCGCGTCTATTTTTAACTCCGAGTGTCTGAGGGGTGGCGGCGCTCGGCACCGTGGCCTGCGTGGTCGTTAATTCTCCGTCCACCGGTCACGTGTGCACAGGGACGGGCGCGTGAAGGTCTGGGGGAGTGCATCTTCTACAGAGCAATTCTCTTTGCGCATTAAATCTGGCGTTTCACAGAGGTGTTTATTTAGCAAGGGAAGGAAAACTGGGATGGGGGACTTTTAGCCTCAGGTGATCAGCCATTCCAAACCCGGAAGGCTTGATTTCAGCTATGGATCAACACACACACACGCACACGCACACACACACACGCATGCGCGCGACAGCTGAAGTCCATCCTTGTCTAAAATCAATGAACTCCTAGTCTTGGCTGGCGTAGCTCAGTGGATTGAGCTCGGGCTGTGAACCAAAGCATCGCAGGTTCGATTCCCAGTCAGGGCACATGCCTGGGTTGCAGGCCATGACCCCCAGCAACCGCACATTGATGTTTCTCTCTTTCTCCCTCCCTTCCCTCTCTACAAATAAGAGTCTTTAAAAAAGAAAAAGAAAGCATTTGTCCTCTTGAGCCGTTACTTTAAAAAGACAAATAAAACAAAATCAATGAACTCCTGATAAAACGCCAGATTTTGCTTATGGCGAAGCCGCCAGGAGCCAAACCTCCCGCGCCCAGGTGGACGGACAACGCCCTCGTCGGGGGCAGGTGGTCTCTGAGCCGTCTGTGCGGCCCGGGGGCGAGGCCTGTGACCCTGTGCTCTCCATTCGAGACTTTCATCTCGTACGGTTGGGTAGGTCCCTGGTGGTGTCTCCTGAGAGCCCACCACAAGGAGAATTAACACAAGGAGTCTAAGAAATATCCTACAGTCCTAAGGGTCGGTTTAACGTTTTAAAATCTACAAATCGCCTCCGTGTGCATTTTCTCCTTCAACCTTCCAACCCTGAGAAGGCTCACTGCATCATCTGTGTTTTAAAAACGAGACCCCGGAGGCCCCGGGCGCTGAAGAGACTCGCCCCAAATCGCCGAGTCGAGAAGCTGTGGCAGCGAGAACCAGGGACCCGACCCCGGCCGAGGGCCCGCCTCCAACACAGAAGCTCCTTCTTTCTTCCGGGCGTCGTGGGCGCCCGGCTTCATGGAGTGGGTAGGCTCTGGCAGCCCGGCTCCTGGGGATACGCTAAGGAGTGATTCTGGAAGTACCTACAGCTAGACTTCTAAATGTTCTTAAGGCTACTGTTCTTTCTACACGCCAAGAGATCATGAAACAGAAAAGAAGGATGCCACGTTTTAAAACCGGGGCAAAATAAGCATGATTAACGTTGACTCGCAAACACGAGACTTACGAACTGATCACGGATCTATTAACGGCCATGCCGGACCTATCCCAGATTTACCACCGTGGCACGAGGTGAGCAAGGACGGAAATCAGATCGCTCATTAGGTCTCTGCCAGGACTCAACATCACGCAGCAGGGAGAAGCCGTTTCACTCTTCTCCTCCGTCTGCAAAGAGGAGCCAGCTGTCCCCCGTTTCCCCAGCACCAGCCTGGTTGGCACGCAGAGGGGCGGGGACACGCGGGGCCCCCTGCGTCGAGGGCAGTGTCCCATGGGGGGCAGTGTCCCGTGGGGGGCAGTCCCCAGCAGACCTCCCGTGTCTCTGGGGCTGTCCCTTTCCCCCGAGGAACTGTGGTCCTGGCGGGGGACGCCAGGAGCCACGTGCCGGCCGAGACGGGATGCCCGCAGCCCTGAGGACCCTGAGGAACGGCGGGGCAGTCACGGGGCTGGGCTTTCGGTCTGTTCTCTGAGAAGCACTGTTCCCATCCCACGGGACATTTCTGTCGGCGGGTCCTTGAAGTGTGGCCGGGTCCAGGGCGGGGACAATGAGACTCTGGGGCCAGGGCCTCCCTCCACCTACTCTTCACACCTCCCCCCAGCAGCGCCTGGCCTACGTCGCCAGGGTGTCCCCCCCATACCCCCCTCCCGCTAATGGAAGACACGGCCCCCTCAGGCCTGGTGGGCTAGGAAGAAGGCTGAGAATCCGAAGCAGCCTGGCTCCTCACATGGGCCACCCCCTCCCGTCGGAGGAGGGCTGGGGAGCGTGGCTGCGGGAGGAAGGCAGGCGGGGGCCGGGGCCAGGGGGGCGGGCAGCAGCGGCCCGGTCTCCTGCGGCCACCCCTCTGCTGCCACAGGCAGGGGGCTGTGCTCTCATTATTCAAGGGGACCGTGCAGAAGGGGATGCAGAAACAATATGTCTCCTAGGAGACGTGATGCCACCCCACACTCTGGGGGCAGCGGCATGACGACGGCTCTGTGAGGACGTTAAACACTGACGTACCACACGGACGGAGCGACCCCGAGAGACTCTGAAGTCTGGTGGCAGGAAAGGGGAGTTTCACCTATCGCAGAGCGCTCCGGGCTGGACCTGCCCCAGCCCTGCCCTTCCGTCTCCGGGCTCAGAGGTGGGGGGGCCAGGCAGGGGGCTGGGCAGGGAACCTTCTCCCCTGGCTCAGAGCCTCGCTCGCCAGCTGCCCCTGGGACGCAGTGAGCTACAGTGAACTCAGGGCCCCAGGGCCCCGGGTGGGCGTGACCACGGTGTCAGGGGGCGGGGGTGGGGGTGGGCTGGGTGGGGGAGGTCCTGAGCTGTGCTGATCCCACCAGCCCCCGTCCTGCAGGCCTCGTCCCGTCCCTGCTACTGGGCTCCGCCAGGTCAAGGAAGTGGAAGCGTCCGCACACGACCACGCTCTCGGTCGGTCGTCAATGCACCACTCCGGGCCCTGGGGCTGCCGGGACTATCTGACCGGCATCTGCGGAGCCTCGCGGAGGAGACCAGGGAAGAGGGAGGGGTCCGCGGTCGGCGTCCCGAGCTGCTCCGGCGGGGCTGTCTCCAGCAGGGTTTTGAGAACTCTCAGGGGAGCTAGACGCAGACTCGTTCAATGCAAGCCTGACCAGCAAACAGTGTTGGGGACAGTAACCCAGAACAGCGGTTTGGACGTGGCGCTTTAGCTTTTGTCCGAACCCCACCTGCTGGATTGGAACTCCAAATAAACGATATGAACCCCGGGGGGGGGCAGGGGCCACAGGGGGTTCGTCTCGGTCCCCTCCCAGCTTCACTGTACGGCGCCCGACGGACACGCTCGAGCGCTCACCAGGCTCAGCGGCCCCCCAGTTTCAGTCTCACACACCTGGCGCAGCGCGGCTCTCCGAACAGAGGGGCACGGTGCTGTCGTCTGCACCCTGCCTGTCACTGGCAGTGCCGGCGGAACCGCCGTGGGCACGGTCAGAAAGACCGACCTTGAGCGGCAGCGCCGGCCAGGGAAGCGCGGCCGGCCTGCGTGCGTGCTGCCGTCAGGGCGGCCGTCTGGTGGGCGAGTCTCGACACGGAGAAGCCTTGCAAAACTCCGCTTGTTTAATTTCTATGCCAGAGATCTGGCTAGTCTTAAAGATCAGGATTGTTGGGAATCTCAGTAATGCTGTTTTGTTTTGTTTTGTTTGCTCCTACAGAAAGGGGCTGGAGGGATTTACCACTAAAGGGTCTGACGTGGCCAGGCGTCAAGACGGGCCATCGGGTAACGGCCTGCAAAGCCCCGAGTCCGCCTTTCGTGAGGTCTCACAACGTCCCGCCCGAACCCCAGGCGTCCTAACCGTCGGCCTGCACATGCACGGCATCGGGATCTTTCCTGTGGTGCCGCTCGTGGCCGCGGGCGCAAGGGCTGCCTCACGGGGGCCAGAGCGTCCGTGGGGTGTCTGTGGGGTGTCTGTGGGGTGGGAGGGCAGCGGCTCTCGCTTTGCGCGTTTGTCGAGTGCTTTCAGCAATAACTGGCATTGTTCTCCCGTTTGCGGTTTTAAGGAAGCGCCGGGACTCCTCCCCAAGGGGATGAACTCACATTTCCTTCCTGAATTCCTCCATCTTCTGGTTCTCCGCGGTCAGGAGTTCCTTGGATTTGTTCAGCTCCTCCACGTTCTTCAGGTTGTTTTCCTTGAGCGTGTCCAACTTGAAGACCAAGAGAAAAGAGCCTGGTGAGTGGTCACTCCACATTCCAAGGACACGGCTGAATTATGACATGATTCACGAAGATGCGCGTTAAAAAACAGGCGAAACGAGTCACTTGTTTAAAAAAAAAAGGGGGGGGCACCTGGGTGAGGAGAGGACAAACACACAGTCTCTGTAAAGCGCGAACCTCTCCTCACGCTCAGTCGGGCACTGCCTGCACGCCTCGCCAAAATGCCAAATTAAACCGCTTTGTAAGACACAACAAAAGTTTCCTTTCGTCCTGTGTACCACTACCGGCGTTTATCACTGAACTTGCTATTCGAGTCTGAGCCATCTTAAAGAATAAAAAAACAAGGAATAAACTGTAAAGGCATGGCCATCAGAAGGGGTTATTCTTTGTCATGAAAACAGACCCCTTTCCCTCCCCATCGATTAGTGAGTTAGGATATGACATTTTCAACACCAGCACCAAATTTACATAGCCCTCATTTAAAAAAATTATTTGAAGCCCTGGTTCGGGTGGCTCAGAGGACTGAGCGCTGGCCTGCGAACCAAAGGGTCGCCGGTTCGATTCCCAGTCAGGGCACATGCCTGGGTTATGGGCCAGATCCCCAGGAGGGGGCACATGAGAGGCAACCACACATTGATGTTTCTCTCCCTCTCTTTCTCCTTCCCTTCCCCTTTCTCTGAAAATAAATAAAATTGTTTTTCTAGTTATTAAATTACTTGAATCAAAATATTTGTAAATGGGAAAAAATCAGTCATCCATCTGCACTTCAATCTGAAAAGGGAAACGTCATGCAGTAACGTTGAAAAGCACCCTGACTGGTGTGGCTCAGTGGATTGGGTGTCGTCACACAAACCAAAAGGTCGCCGGATCAATTCCCAGTCAGGGCACATGCCTGGGTTGCGGGGTAGGTCCCTGGGTTGGGAACAAGCCAGAGGCAACTGATCAGTGTTTCTCTTGCACATCGACGTTTCTCTCCCTTTTTCCCTCCCTTCCCCTCTCTCTAAAAATAAATAAATAAAACCTTAAAGAAAAGAAAAGAGTGACCGAAAGGCCCTCACACACACTGGGCCCCATCACCTGGCTGCGGGGGGACGCAGACAGCTCGGGGTGGGTTACGGCAACGAGCGAGGATGTGAGCAGCTGCAGGCTCCGGCAGGGGCTGGAGTTCTGGGTGTGGAGCCCTCACCGAGGATGGGGAGCTCGCCACGGGCTCCCCATGACCACCCATCACATGGTCGGGGCGGGGCGGGGGGTGGTTCTGGTGCTGCGCTGGCTTTCTGGGGCTTGGGCAGTTATCCCCCACAGCCAGGGACACTTTTCTACGTCATGTGTCACCGGTCAGGAGTCCTAAAAAGTGTCCTTTTAGTTTTTACACCGCCATCTTCCTTGTAATGCCCTCTACCATTTCAGGTTCACAGAAATAAAAAATCACAGCGGGCCCGAAAAAAACGACTCCTCCGGCCTCGTACTCCGGCCGTCACAGAGGCACCGGGGCATGCGACGGAGTCACGGTTCTCCCCGCGTCTCTCCGCCGAGGCTAGAGACTCTCGCTGGAACCTCCTCATTTACCTCGGCTTCTAATTTTGATGATCATCAATGATTTTCTAATGCTTTTGTATTTTTAGCTTCCGTCTTCTCCAAGGACTGTCAGTTCTATCAATATACTGCCTTCCACATCAAGTTTTATTTACCCTGTAATTCTCTCAAAACATTCTTGTCCTTGAAAGATTCCCATCTCGGACTCCCCCCACCCCTGCCCCGCCCATAATGAAGAGGCCTCGTCCTCGGAGCAGCTGTTCAATGAGGCCGTCCCTTCCCTTGCTTTGATTCCTTAATAGCTTACTTGCTTATCACTTTAAAAAGCACCCCAAATTCTACCAAATGTTATATAACTATTTCGGCAAATCAATCTGCCTAGGATTTAGGCGACATCTTTCCAAAGACAGAAAGGACTGCTATGAGTTGGGAGGAAAGGTAGAGGAAGGAAGTTAAAAAAAAAAAAAAAAAAAAGGTGTAAGAATAAGAATGCTACTCTTGGACAGAATCAAAATGATCTGGACACCATAAAGTTGCCCAGCACCCAGGAGTGACTAAGTCAAGATGACACAATTGGGAACCGGTACTGAGTTAGGCCAAGGAAAGGCCTTCGTCAAACTCAGTGCTGAGGAATGAAATTGAGTGGCTCAGCGTTGGGGGAAGGCGAGGGGAAAGAGGATCTGCTCTAAGAAAAAAAGATACTCCCTGGCTGGCGTAGCTCAGTGGATTGAGCGCGGGCTGGGAACCAAAGTGTCCCAGGTTTGATTCCTAGCCAGGGTACATTTCTGGGTTGCAGGCCATAACCCCCAGCAACTGCACATTGATGTTTCTCTCTCATCTCTATCTCCCTCCCTTCCCTCTCTAAAAATAAATAACATTTTTAAAAAAAGGGAAAAAAAAGATATGAACACTAGAGAAGGTCATCAGTACCTCCTCTCGTCAGTTCTATCACTGACCAATGGATCACCATAGAGGGCCATGCTGCTGGGGTTTCCCCCTCAGTTTTAAAAGGCTGATCCTACTAAGTAGTAAGTAATAAAGTAATATGCTTTATTCAATAGTCTCATGGTTCTGGTGGGCACTCGCCTCCATAACAGAGGTCCGACCCGAGCGAGGCCACACTTCAGAAATACAGGACCCCGGGCCAGTCAGTGGTCGGACACCCCACGAGGCCCGCGAGCGGCCCTCTGTACAAAAAGCCACTCAAGCCTGATTACTTCGCTCTGCAGCTTCTCGTTGGTCTGCTTGGTGTCCTCCAGGGAGGCCAGCGTGGCGGTCTTCTCCTTGGTCATCTGCTCCACGATCTGCATGGCGTCGTCCGCCGTCTGCGCAGCCTGGACACAGGAGGGCACAGTGAGAGGGGCGGCCGCCCGGCCTGTGCGCCGCAGGGACCGCACAGACAGGGGGGGCCGGCCTCTCGGGGACGCAGGAGCCTGGGACCGGAAGGGTCTCTGCTCCCGACCCCCACACGCTCTTCAGGCCGCGGGGAGACAGGCCGATTGTCATGTGCCGTCTGCACGGACCTCGAACCCCAGCACCAGGCCCACGTCACAACAACAGCCCTGCCCGTCCTCCGGCTCACGGGCGGGAGAAACCGTTCAGTGGTGACCGGGGGCAGTGCCCTCGTACGGCTGAGTTTTTCTCTCCCTCCCACTCACTGCTAGGGGTTGCTAAAACACTACCACTGCTCTTTTCGAATCTGGGGCTTTGTAAAACGCTCAGAATTCAGGCTGGAAATTTTTCCAAAATAAAAATAAAAATTATTTGGGCAATTAGAACATGAGGGTCACGTGTTGAATGAGAAGCACTGAACGGCAAAGTCTGGGAGACGCTGTGGGTAATGAACGTAAACACGGCTGTGAATAAAAAAGATAGTATGAATACGGAAACAAGTCCCTGGCTGACAACGTCTTAAAAACAGCCATAAAACGAATGAACGTCTCTGCAGGCACCGGCTTGCACCTCCCGTGGCCCAACCGGGCTCACGGGACTTCTGCGCTACGCCGTCCCGGTGACCAGCCATGGGTGGCGTCTCCCCACGCCCAGTGGGCGCACGCCATGTGACGGGTGGAAGCCAAATGGAAGGTAGCACATACTGCAGCGTGTGCCTCTTTTACGATGGTCCGTAAGCCTCCGAGGGCCACGTGTCACTTTACCGTGAGAATCCCCCCTAAGTTAAATATATATCCTTGTTATTCACAGTTGGCGTTTCGGCCTAATGGAGACAGGCTACAGCAGTTAGACATTTAGTAGAGATCTGCCCTTGCAGGCGGCAACAGACAGCGTGAGACACAGGAGCGCCTGCCTCGGCGGGGTGGGCGGGCGGCTGCGCACGGGGGCAGGCGCGGGCCCCCAGGCCACCGAGGAGTGAGTGAGTTAGTGCACGGGGTTAGTGGTCCGGGCTTGGCGCTGGAACCTCCTCCCCCTTTACCGTCAGCGAGCGCAGCGTCTCGAGCTCTCTAATTCTAAGAGTGAGCTTGCTCTTGTCTTTCCTCAAAATACGGTTTTCGTTCTGAGACTCCAGGAGGTTGGCCGAGATGTGGCTGTTGGTCTTGGCCAGCTGGCTGATCTCCTTCTGCAGGACGAAGTAGCTCTCGGCCAGCTTCTCCTTCTCCTTCAGGAGCTCGTCCCTCTTCAGCACCACCTCCCGCTTCTCGGCCAGCAGGCTCTGGCTGTCCTGCAGCGCCTTGGCCCGGTCGGCCAGGGCCGCCTCGTGGTCCAGCCGCAGGTCGTCCAAGATCGCCGTGAGGCAGGCATGCAGCTCCTGCAGCTCCACCTTGGACTTGGACAGGGAGGCGAAGTCGCCCTTCAGGGTCTCGATGTTGGCGGCGAGCCGCGCCGTCTCCGCGGCCAGCAGCTCCTTCTCCTTGAGTATCTCCGCCACCTTCTGCTCCGAGGTGGCCTTCTCTTGGACCAGCGCGCAGTTCTCGGACTGCAGCGTCTCGGCGCACGCCCTGGCCTCGTCCAGCTCCTGCTGCAGGTGCGCCATGCGCCCGCGGAGCTTGCTGTGCTCGTGCAGGGAGGACTCGCTGTCCTTGGCTCTGGCTTCCTTCTCCAGCAGCAGGGACTGCTGCGCCGCCTGCGTCTCTTGGCTCAGCTTCTGGCACTCCTCCTGCAGCATGCCCTTCTCGGACCAGCAGGTCTTGAGCTCAGCGTTCAGGCTCTCCCTGGCTTGCTGGATGCTCGTGTGCTCTTTCTCCAGATGCCTCTTGGCGTTCTGAGCCTCCTTCAGCAGCAGGGAGAGCTCGCGCTGGGTGGCGGCCAGCTCCTGGTTTTCCTTCCTTCTCTCCTGCAGCTCCTTCTTCAGCACGTCGAGATTGCCCAGCAGCTTCATCTTCTCCTGCACAGCGACCCTCCTGCTCGCGCACTCCTCGTCGTACTTCCGTTTGAGCTCTCCCATGGCGTTGATGGAGTTCTCTCTTTCGGCAAGCAGGTCTCCGTTTTGCATTTCCAGCACGGATTTTTCTTTCAAGACGCTATCGAGCTGCTTCTTGACCTTGCAGATTTTCTGACAGACCATGTCCCTCTCAGAAGTCAGGTAGGCGAGCTGCTCGTTCAGGCTCACCTGAGCGCGGGCGGCCTCGTCCGAGCACTTGCTGAGCTTGTCGGCCAGCAACCTGTTCTCACGCATGAGGTCTTCTTTCTCGGCCAGGTGCCTCCTCTCCGACGTGGCCAGGGTCTCCTTCTCGTGCAGGAGCTGGAGGCACTCGGAGTCCGTGACCGCCCGGCTGGCCTGAATCTCTTCCAGGAGCTTCGCGAGGCTGCCCTTGGCGGCCTGGAGCTGCAAGGTCTCCAGCTCGGCCTTCCTCAGCGCTTTGCTGGCACCGTCCAGCTGCGCGCGCAGCCCGCTGGCCTCAGTGCTGAGTAGTTGTTTAACTTGCAGGGCGGCTGCCAGGCTGACGTTCAGCGTCTCCTGCTCTTGCTGCAGCGCGTCTTTCTCGAGCTGCAGGTCCCTGCTGCTCTGGAGGAGAGCGTCTCTTTCCGCCTTTAAGGCTGCGCACATGTTTTCAAGGCCTGCCTGCCTCTCGGATGCTGCCTTTTTCTGGGCTGTGAGGTCTGTGATCTCCTGCAGCAAGGCTCTCTGGTCTTCGGTCAGCTCCTCGTAAGAGCTCCGGAGCTTCTGAATCGTCTCATCTTTCTCTTTCGCCAAGGCCAGGTGCTCGGCCACAAGCTTCTGGGCGTGACTGTCCAGGCGGTCTTTCTCCTCCCGGCCCTTCTGGCACTCGGCGATCAGGCTGTCTTTGCTGAACTGGAGCTCTTCTACGAGAGCCTGCAGGGTCACTTTGGAGGCCCGCAAGGAGTCGTTCTCCGTGTGGATCTTCAGGAGTTCTTCCTGCGCGGTGTCGACCTCTTGGAGCAGTTTCTCCCTCTCGGCAGCCAGGGCTTCGCCGCGGCGCTGTTCCTGCTGGCGCAGCTTCTCGGCGTCCTGCTTTTCCTCCAGGACTTTCTCCTTCTCTAGAGTGAGAGTGTCGTTTATTGACCACAGTTTCTGCTGGTCTTCCTGCAGCAAGGTTATTTTGGCCTCCACCTCGACCAGCTTGGACAAAAGCGAACCTTTCTCTAACTTTAAAGCGTTCCCCTCCTGCGCGAGAAGCTGCTTCTCGGACCTCAGACCCCTCAGCTCTTCTGACATGAGCTCGATCTCTTTTCTGGCTGATGTGAACAAATAGGTTAGCGACTACAGGAACAAAAGGTGGAAAGAATGGAAACAAAATGAAATCAAGCAGACAAATGCAAGCCCAAATAACTTAACGTAACCTAAGAATCACGGAAGCTAAAACTCTTTCCTACGGGAAGGGTCACGGGCGTTGCCTGGGGAACCAGGGGAAGCGCCTAGGCGAACAAGCCCGTGGAAGGGGCGACAGGGCAGAGCGGCTCTGTCTGCGGAGTCTGCCGCAGCGGGCGGCTCACTCGGTCTTGGCGAGGACCTTTTCAGGTGGTCCCTGACAGCTGCCTAGGAGGCAAAAAAAAACAGGAGCGTGGTTCTGACATCAGGGCGTCCTGCCGTTCTAGTTATCCAATAATTCCTAGAAAGGGATTACTTCATTCTTTCATAGAAAGAATGCACAGAAGTTCTTTAAAAACACAATCCAACGAACTATAAAAAGTGTGTTAAAGCCCTGGCTGGCGTAGCTCAGTGGATTGAGCATGGGCTGCGAACCAAAGTGTCGCAGGTTTGATTCCCAGTCAGGGCACATGCCTGGGTTGCAGGCCATGACCCCCAGCAACCGCACATTGATGTTTCTCTCTGTCTCTATCTCCCTCCCTTCCCTCTCTAAAAATAAATAAATAAAATCTTAAAAAAAAGTAAGTGTGTTTAAAAAAAGGTGGGGGGAGGGAGAGATGACACTGTGGCTCTCGGGGTCACTGCGGGACCTCACTTCCTGAAGGACACCACGGGCCTGACACGGATGTGGCCCCGTGTGGCACAGAGGATTTCAAGGGAAACACTGAAAAACGGGAGCCTGTCCGGATAAAGGGAACTGCAAAGACAAAAGGCCTGGAAATCACCGCCAGTGTCTGACGGCTCGTAGAATTTAAAGTGTCTCGCGCGGTGACGAGAAAACCCCGATGGCCAGCGTGCGGGAGAGGGACGTTCACGCATGACACGTGTCACGTCACGGGCCCCTCAGCCCACGGCCGCAAGTGGGGTCTGTTTCCGATCCTACACGGGCTCTTTCTGCACCTTCTCCCAGCTGAACGCCGCCTCTGCTGACGTTTCTCTGACACACTAAACATAATTAAAGGGAGGCATTCACTTTTCTTGGAGCAAGTTAAATGGTAACAGGAGAAACTTAAATGCTAGTGGGAGGGTTGAACTTCCTAAAGTTACCAGGGTCAAAAAAGACCTCCGGGGGAGGGGGGTGGTGCAGAGGTCTGGCCCCGACACCAGGAAGCAGGGCAGTGCACCGCGCCCCACGCTACAGGGTGACGGGCGCTTCCTCGCAGCCCCGGACCCGGCTTCCTGGTCCCTGAGCTCACGGTGTCTCCCTGGGGACACAGCACAGTGCCCGCCGGAGTCCCTGCTCGTGAACTTTCCCCTGAGGGCTCTGTGCCTCCAGCCGGGCTCCACTCCCTGCTCACCTCCTCACCTGGCCTGGCCTCTGGCTTTTCTGCAACGGGTCCCTCCTCACCCTAGCGCAAGCTGGCAGCGAGAGGGCCAAGATTAGAGGAACGCAGGCCTTCCTCTAATCTTGGAGCAACAGAGATCTGTTACAAGCAAGCCACGTGAGACGCTGTGACAGCCGGGATGAGTAGGGGTGGGGGCCACATGGGACGTTCAGGGGAGAGGCCTGCAGCCGTCACTGTCCCCGAGCAGGACAGCGGCTGGCACGGACCACCTGAAGCCACAGGCATGCGACTCCCCTCTGGGTCGCGTGCCCTCGGAGGGCCACAGTTTGCAAAGGCCCCCTGGGCTCATCCCATCAGCTGCCATGAGCTGAGAGCCCTTCCGGCCTCCGCCCGCGGCCGCCCGAGTGAGCGCGGTTCTCTCCGCCGCCACGTACTCTGGCTTTGTCGGCCTGCTTCCTCAGCTCCCCCATCTCCTGCAGCAGGTCCCGGTGCTGCTCCTGCGCCGCCGCCAGCTGCTGCTCCGCGTCCTGCAGCCGCTGCCGCAGCTCCCGCACCGCCTCCTCGTGCTTCGCCCGGGCCTCGGCGCTGGCTCCCTCGTACCTGGCTTTCAGGTCCTGGTACTGGTTGTGGCTCACTTCCGCCTTCTTCTCCTGCGGAACCCCGAGAGAGAGAGACGGAGGGAGTCGCCCGGCCCCGCGGGGACCCACCCCCCCCCCCCGTGCCCGCCAGCAGACGGGCCCACCGGCCGCCTCCTTACCAGGTCCAGCAGCTTTCCCAGCAGCTCTTGCTTTTCCTCCTCGTGCTTTCCAGCCGCTTCTCGCTGGCTCTGCTCGGCCTTGAGCGTCGCTTCCGCAAGGCTTCTCTGCAGAAGGCCTGCGCTCTCGTTGGCCTTGGTAAGTTTCAGCTGCAGTTCTTCTATGTTTCTAGAACAAGTTCGAGACCGGGTGTCAAGTTTCCCAAAAGAATGCTTTGGATTCTGGAGTTCTACTGAAAAGACACTATGTTAACAAGTGTATTAATGATCATGATGACGAAGAGTGAAGAGTAATTAATAACGTCTGAAATAAGCAGCAACAAAAAAGTGTCTGACTTGCCCTGAAGAATAATTTTCACAACTGTCATAAACACGTGATCTAGAGCAGCAGCTACTGTAACTGTTAGGGTTATTTGATGTCAACAGATCTACGAGGAAATAGGAGTAAAAAGCAAACATGTTGAGAGTATTTACCAAGTTTCAAAAGTTATCAGACCAGGTTATCAAAAACTCATCCCTAGTGATGATGCCCAAGAACATGAGACAGAAAAACGACAAGTAACTGGAGGTTCCCGGCTCACGGACAGCCAGGCGGTAGAACAAAGGCGTTCAGCCACCACGGGGCACCAACCTAGAGGACGGCGGCGGAGGGAACCTGGGCGGCAGGCGCCCTGGGTGTTACACCTATAAACTTCCCCGAGATGCGAGCCCCCGCCGCCAGCCGCACCCGCCCACATCAAGGCTGGGCAGAGCTGGCCCAGGGAGGCCGACCATGTGTGGTGCGTGGCTGGGTGGAAACGGGAGTTTGCCAAGTGGTAACGCGTTCCAAACTGGATGCCTCATGGTCCTAAAACGTCCTCTGAAAGATTCTGCCTCATGAAAACGTTTGGTTTTTACATGGCAGCTACCAAAAGGAGGAAGAACATCCAGGTGACACGGCTGCAGGAGGAGGAGGAGGAGCGGAGAGGAAGGTACCAGAAGCTCGAGCGCTGAGGACGCACGACGGAGCGGGTCTCGCAGCACGGGCCGGGGGGCCAGGCCGCCCTGGAGCGGATGGACACCTTGGCCAGGGCCCAAACCTCACCCAGCCTCCGTTTCTCTTCCTTTGGCACGGGAGCAGCCATGTGCTCGCCTCACAGGGTGATTACACACTCCGTACACACAGCTGCCAGCACAGCCCACGGCGCACAGGCAGCCCGTACGAAGGGTTACCTGTCACCACATTGAATCGGGTGAAGATACTTCTAACTGCCTGTAAAAGATGCTGCTACTGCGGTTGGTAAACTACTACCCTCTCTCAGCAAGTCAACGAAAGGCTACAATGTTGCATTCGCAAGAAGTTCCATGGCAGAGGACTGGAGCACACACCCACGTGGGGAGAAGGAAGCAGCAGGAAGCAGAACGTGAGAACGCAGCCGCCCGCCTGGAAGACCCAGGCTCCCCCGCCCGGACCCGCGCCGGAGCTGGGCTGTGCAGGCTCTCGCTGACGTCCGTCCGCACGTACCTCTCCTTCAGACGCAGCTCGTCATTCATCCTGGTCAGCTGAGAGGAGTTGTCGCCTGACATTCTCATGATTTCCGCGATGTCGTTCTCGAGTTTTCCTTTCGCCTTTATCAGCTGCTCTTCTCTCTCGTCTCGCTCCCTGAACTTCGCCTCCATGTCTGGACACACACAGAAGAAAACAGTGCTGTGGTGTTACCATCAACAAAAACGTACCGCTTGTGTCCTGCACGCCACGCCTTGCCCTGGGAATACATGCCTACAGCAATCCCTGAGGACATCACATCCCAGCAAAGACCACGAACACTGAACACGATCGATCAAGAAAACAAACAGTATAATGACGGTGCTCAGAAGAAAACAACACAAGCAGAGACAGGAGCCTGAAAGAAGTTGTGGGGGGTGAATCTGAGACCGGCCCTGTGAGCTGTGACACTTCGGCAAAGGCCGGAAGGCAGCGAGGGAACAGGCCTGCCGGCAGAGGGGAGAGCGAGTGCAAAGGCCCCGGGGCAGGAGCAAGCTTGGCACGCGGCATCGCCAGGGAGGCTGCCAGGGCCGGAGCAGGAAGAACAGAGGGAGAGGCAGGGCCCGGCGCCCGTCGGGACCACAGCTGCTTCCCTCTGTGTGAGACGGAGCCACCGGCGACCCTGAGCAGGAAGGGACATCAGCCGGCTGGGTGCTGAAGGGTCGCTCTCGCCGCTGTGCTCAGAACAGAATGAAGGGGACAAGGGCAGAAGCGGGCGGACCAGGAGGCCCGCAGTCACAGCAGCTCAGACGGGAGAGGGCTGGCCGGGATCCAGGGCGACAGTGGGAGCGGAGGGACGGGCCGACACTGTCCCGTCTGAGCACAGGGCAGAGGGATTCACCGGAGGCGGCGACGGCCCTCGACCAGCACCCGATCCCACTGGGTCGGCGTAAAGGGGGAAGCGGGTGAGCCTGGACAGGCAGCGTGTCACTGTGCCACGCTGTGGCCACCTTGACTCCCGGGAGCCTGCTGCGTTCCACGGCTGGGGGCCGGAGACCCCTTCTTACCTGTCAAGTTGTCTCTCAGCTTCTCCAGTTCGGAAGACAGCGCGTTGAACTGCTCCTCTTTTTGGTGTAGTTTATTTACAGTTTCTGTGCAGGATAAAGTTAGAAGTTTAAACCTATTTCGTATTTCACAAGCCATCGAGGACGTGGCTGCCTTACAATCGAGTCAACCACACGCTTGCGATCTGCGGTCTCAGGGGTGCTACGAAGTCCCCCTGCCACTCAGACGCCGGGCGGGGAACCCGCCGGAGCAATGGGCAACAATGGGCATGCGTCTCCTCCATCGCCCGGGGCTGCGGGTGCGGCAGGGGCCCGGCAGCACCTCCCCCTCCCACTTCCCTCAACGGAGCCATCGACGACGACAGCTCAGGCAAGATAACGCTCTGCCCCAGTATGCTTGCATTTTAACACGAAACACACTTTATATCGAGAGAAGGAAAACGTGCGTGGGAGTGGGAGGCCTGGGGAAGCCGGGGGTGCGGTGCTGCTGGGCGCTGCAGGGGCCCCCGGGAGAGCGCGGCCTGACTCTGGGTGGCATGGGCCCCGCGCCCCATGGAAGAGCCGTCCGCAACGGCGTCAGAGACGCATACCTTGCATGCTCCTCTGCACAGAGACCGCCTCCTCTGAAGCATTGGCAAACTTCTCTCTCTAGAGGAAAAGAATTGATACTCAGAATAGAGATATTTCAGAATATAAAAACTAAAGGTTTCAGTCAAGTGTAACTGTGCTATCTGCGTTTGGCGGCTACTCTTGTCTCATTAAAACTGACTCACACTTAAGACGTGTCGGCATCAACCACGACCGTGTGCACTGTGCACGCACACGCCCCAGTGAATGAGGTCAGCATGGGTGCGTGCCTGGGTGTGCACACACATCTGTACACGTGTGAGCATGCTTATTTCGGTGTGTGCATTCGTGTGTGTGTGTGTGTGTGCGCGCCTGTGGTACATGTTCCTCTTACCTGGCTTCTTGTAAACCTACAACTTTCCTTCCCCAACACATATGAGCACCCCTGGCAGTGCTCATGGTCATTGGCCTCGACTAAGCTCAAGTTTGTGACGCAGGAGACAGGGGAGAAGGGAGAAGAGTTGAGAAAAGCTAAGAAAAACATGTCTTACAGCCTGGGGTGAAAGATCGAGGACACGTGGAAGGGAACGTGACGTCCTGACGTGGACGGGCTGGGCTGTGAGAGGGGGTTAACTCGCTGGGTCTGCTGCCCAGCACCCACCCTGCCCCCGCCTTGCTAAGGGTGGGTGCTGGTGGTCCGGGACAGCCGGCAGGCTCACTGCCACCAGGCTGGAGGCGGAGGCGGCACTGTGCACGGCCTCACTGCGCACGGGCCCAAGGGCCCTAGTGTGCTGGTGTATAACGTGGAAGGCCCCCGTGTCTGTAAAACTAAGCAGCCTGCACCGTGCCAGACACAAAGGCCAGACTACCTGCGTGAAGCACGGAAGTCCCCTGTATTCGCAGTCTCACTCCCAGGGTCCCCGTCACCCACGGTCAGACATGGTCTGAAAGTACTAAATGGGAAATCCCAGAAGTGCACAGTTCGTAGGTTTTAAACCGTGTGCGCTGCTGGGACTGGCCGGACGACGCCTCGTGTGACCCCGTTCCGCCCTGCCCAGAGGTGACCCGCCCCTTGTGCCCTCCGCACTGTGCACTGCACCCGCCCGGCAGGCGCCCGGCCGCTGTGGGTCATCAGATCCGCTGTCAGGGCACCACGGGGCTCGGGGCCGCGTCACCCTCACTTCACTTCACAACGGGCGCAGGGGCGGCGACGCTGGCGACGCAGACGTGACAAGGTGAGCGTGCGGTGCTTCATTTACGTAAAAAGGTGAAAGCTCTCGACTTAATGGGAAAGAAGCTATATGCTGAGGCAAGGGTGGACCTTCTGTCCGTGAGGCTGTGAGGGACCTCCTGCCAGTCCTGCTGTTGCGGCTCAGACCCCGAAAGAGCACTCAGCGCAGATGGAGACGGCGCTGCCCGTGCGGGCGGGAGGCGGGAGCAGAAAGCACGTCTCGCCGACGGGCCGCGTCCCGCACCAGAAGGCACCGGGCCTGTCCGAGGGCTTCCGCGAGGCCACGTGACATTGGTCACGGCGTGCTGTCACAACTGTTTCACCATCAGCGACTGTGCAGCCCCTCGCTGCGCCTGGCAAGGGCACCGCAGGTGTGCGTGGACGGGGAAAAAAGCAGGGCAGGTGCAGTCCTAGCCGCAGTCTCGGGCGTCCACTGGGGGCTGGGAACGTGTCCCCGCAGACCGGGGTGGGGGGCAGGGGGCGACCGTAAGACCTACTGTTATTCCTGGTTTGGGTCTGATCTGAGTCCCCTCGGGGTGTTTATCAGCCGGTGACTGACACACTCAACTCAAACCCACACTCGGAAAGAGGAAATAAAAAACAGGTTCGATGCTGCTTCTGTACGGAGAGTTTGGTTTCTAAACGAGCGCAACTCGCACGGCCGGCAATGCTGGGGCTCGGACGCACGACGGGCACTCACCAGAGTCTGGAGCTCCTTCTCCAAAGCCTCCTTCGCTCGACTGACCGCGCTCGAACGCTCCTGGAGCTCACTGAGCGTGAGCTCCCTCCCCTGCAGCTCTTTGGCGATGCTACTAGCCTACCGTGCGGCGAGGTGGCGGAGGAGCAAATGAACCAACGCAAAAAAAAAGAATGGGAAACGGAAAGCAAACACAAAAATGATGAGAAACAGACACAACCAAACGCAGCCGAGAGGGATAAAGGCACGGAGAAGGCATCGTTTTCTCTTTCTAACTCCGGGAAACCAGCGGCTTTGCACGCAGCCAGCTCCGCGTGGGGATGCTCGGGGCTGTTGTAAGGTAATCAGAACAGAGTCGTTTCCCGCACCCAGATCTGGGACATCAGCGTGATTTACAGCAGAAAGCACAGCTGCTTACTTTCTACACGAGTCAGCTGAGCAATTTCATTTCCCGGACTTTAAAAACCTTAAGATAGGAATGATGGGTACACGTGGTCTATGTTACCACTTTCCGTATTTTTATATGCCCACAGTTATTTGGACACTTAGCATAAAAGTGAAATTCTGCCCTGGCTGGTGTAGCTCAGTGGACTGAGCTCGGGCTGCAAACCAAAGCGTCTCAGGTTCGATTCCCAGTCAGGGCACATGCCTGGGTTGCGGGTCACGTGAGAGGCAACCACACATTAATGTTTCTCTTTCTTTCTCCCTCCCTTTCCCTCTCTAGAAATAAATAAATAAATCTTAAAAAAAAATGTGAACGTCTAAAAATGCACTCGATGCATCATCAGAAACGGGCTCTCATTAAAATCTTGATGTGAAAAGCGGACCCACCAGGAGGCTCCATATTCTCCACTGATCACTTTTTGTATTTTGGTTGGTATTTGGAACCAACTGAGGAGATTTGAGAAAAATTTCCCGTAAACAGTTTATCGCCTTCAGCTGACGCTACTTAGCAGTTTCCGCTGTCTGCCCGTCCTCCCTTCCCATTCGACCCTCACCCCGCTCCTCTGCCGCCAACAGAGCGGCTTCTCCCTCAACAAGCTCGGAACGTTGGGCCCCAGCGCCAGCACCCCAACTGTGGGGGCAATGGGAAAGGCCACGACCCGCAGCTGTAAGAAATGCGGCTGGCGAACGTTCCAGATCGGCTCCTCCGCCTTGACCAGAAGCGTACTCCTCTGGCCTCTCCCCAGGCAGCAGGAAGCAGACTGCGTTCCTGGGGAGAGGCCAGAGGAGTACGCTTCCGGAGAAACCCCGGAGAGAGGAGCACGGCAGCGCAGAGGGCCCCGGGCCCCCCACCTCGCCGTCACTCTGCCGGGACCATCACTCATCAGAGTGCGCTCACGGGGGACAGCGGAGCGGCACGCAGAGTCCGTGCTCTGCTGCCACGGCTGACCTCACGGGTGAGGCAATCACGGAGCTGGGAAAGGGGGTGACCTTCCCAGTGTCTGCCTCATTCATTCCTTCCTTCACCTGAACACCATCAACTCAACTCGGGTGGGGGGGTCCTCTCTTTTTTAAAAAGAGATTCTAGGCTGGAACCACGCTTTCACAGCGGATCACAGAACTGCAGAGATAACGTAACAGTATCTAGGATATAAGAAACCAAAACAGACTCACACAGCTAAGCAATTATTTTCCCAAATCTCCTCAGATGAATCCATGCCCAAGACACTCAGAAGATACCCTATGCAACTGGGAACGGCACTAGCACCGAGCAATTTGTTTTAATTAAATCGGGAATCTGGATGAGGAGTTGTCTCAACTCAAAAATAACGTGCGATGCAACAGAAGAGCAACACATGGGAAAGAAAAAGGTGGAGGATGTCGATACGCACCTTGCCACTTTCGGCCTCCTTTGCAACCTCTAAACTTTTAATCTGTTTCTCAGCCGCCTCCAGCTGCTGTCTAAGTGTCTCGATTTCCGCTTTACCTTCGGAACTGGCTTTCTGAAGCGCATCAAGGTCCAAGAGCTTCTCCTCGGCGGCCTCGAGCCGTGATGTAAAATCATCAATGACCTTGGTCTGTTCACCGCATTTGGCTCGTAGCGCCTCTAGCTCCTTTACCTTGATTTCTGCTTCCTGCAACTTGCTCAGCGTGTCCTCCATCTCCACCAGGTGCTGCTCCTCGGCCCTGTCCAGCTTCGACTGGACGGCTTCCAGGCTGCTCTCCTTCTCGCTGATGACCTCCATCAGCTTCGCCTGGACGGCCTCCATCTCTTTGGCGTGGGCCGACCGCTCCGAGTCCTGCTTGTTCTGCAAACTCTCTATCTCGTGCTGGTAATCCAGCCGCGCCTTCTCGATCTGCGTTTTCAGCTCGGCCAGCGCCGCCGTCTCCGCCCCGACGCCCTTGCTGAAGGACGCCTTCAGCTCCTCCATCGCCTGCTGGTGGGACGCGATGGCCGACTCCAGCCGGGACTTCCACAGCGCGATCACGTCCGCGTTCTCCTTGTCGGCGTGCTCCAGCTTGCTCCTCAGCGACTCGTTCTCTTTGGAGAGCTTCTCCGCGGAGGCCTGGAGGGCCTTCACCTCCTTCCGCTGGGCTTCCTCCCGGGCCCCGTACTGCTCCTTCAGAGACGCCACTTCTCGCTGGTGGTCGGTGCGGGTGGCTTCCAGCTTTTCCTGCAAAGCGCTTATCTCTTGCAGAAGGGACAGCGACGTGTCAACGTCCCCGGCGGGTTTGCTGGACTCGAGCCTCCTCCGCAGCTCAGCTACTTCCTGCGCCCGCAGGGCCAGGTCTTTCTCCAGCTCCATGATACGAGACTTTTCTGACACTGTGGCCACCTGTCGACAGCAGTCCAAAGAAAGAGAGATCATTCAAGTGACGGATCACCGAGGGTTTCCTTTCACTCTGAACACCTTAAACCTCTACCCCACCCTAAGGCAGCAGCCGGACCACCCCGAACACCCAGGTGTTAATCCACCCCTCGCTACAGTCACGGCTGGGGCCCCAGTCTGGCAGCTCGCGTGCAAAGCTAGAATCTTTGGCGGACTCCCACCATGGTGAGGGACTGAGAGAAACTGAACTTGGTGTTGAGTTTAACTCCAAAAAAATTTCTCTTTTCCTCCAGAGAAGCTTCAATCTGGGAAATACCCGTGAACTGATACGAGGTTAACGGAAGCAGTAACTTTCAAAGTTCTCAAGTGTCTCTGCCCGCCGGAAGAGAGAGTCTTCCTCCTGCTGCCCGTTTTCCCCACCCCGCTGCACTCGGGATGAACCAATGCTCCTCGCCCTGACGGAGAGGACGGTCCAGCCCAAGCCGTGCGGTGCGGCGGCCAGGAGCCACAGCGGGCTGCCGAGCACTCGGACGGGGCTCGCCCGAAGTGACTGGGGCCGTGCGTGTGAGACACACATCGGACTCCACAGAAGGGGGGAGAGACACGAACACCAACTGTCGGGTGAAGGGCTTTGTACTGACTACATGATGGAATGATAGTATTTTGGATGTATTTGTTTTACGTAAACTATATTATTACTCTCACCCGTTTCTTTTTATCTTTTAAAACAGTATGTTCATGGGAGTAGCAGCGCATGTTCAATCATATGTTTACATACGGGGCTCGTTTTACACGTGCACGGAGCTGCACTGGTACCAGAGGTGTGAGACTGCCTAGCGAGTGTTTCGGGGACTATCCCATCGACTGCAGGACAAAAGCCTCAAGTGGATGACGAGTCAGTTTACCGGCCTTCGAGAAAAAACGACAGTGAAAGAACGATCACTTACCTGCAACGACACATAAGCATCCTACACCGCACCCCCTGTGGGGTTTTCTAATTCTGTCCGCACGCCGACGCGCACCTCTGGTTCCCCTAACCCAGTGGTTCTCGGGCTGCAGGTGCACACATGTCACCTGGAGGCAGGTCTGCAGTGCAGGTCCCTGTCACCCCCTCGTGTTTTGATTCTATTTCGGCTCTGGGATAGGACCTAGGAAGCTGCTTCTTATAAACAAACATCCCAGGGCTAAGAAAAACACTTTCCTAACCTGTGCCCCCCTTTTTTTTTTTTAAAGGAAATTCTCTCCCTCCGCTGCCTGTGGGCAGCCAGACTACCACACAAAACGTGCAGGAAACGGCGGCCTCTGGAATAAAGTCTCCTCACCTGACCCGGGAAACAGAAGGGAACTGAGGGACCCGCTCCCACCAGGGAGCCCCAGACTTCGAGGATCCAATCTCCCGGAGAGGATGGCTCCCTCCCTCGCTGCGGGGACAGAAAGCCCTCTGTCCACCCTCGGGCTGTGACGGCGATAAGGACTGACGTGCCCACGGAGAGAGGGGACAAGGACACACTCCGGCGCCAGCTCCGCGGAACGAAGCCACTGGGTGTTTCGGCGCGGACTGTGGCTGCCGTGTTTCCGGGCCATCGCTGCTAAAGACGTTAACCCACCAACATGCCTCTTCTGGGGCGCGGGGCGGGCAGTTCGAGAGCTTGCCGTGGCTCAATAAGGTGCGAGGCCTCCACACACCCTATGGCTACAAGGTCTGTAACGTCCATAAACCCAGCAGGGCAACGGCTTGGCAGCAGAGCAGGCAAACTGAGGCGGTAAGAACTAGCATGCTTTCGCTCTGCCTGGCATTTCCCAGCAGCCGTGTTGTCCTTTATTTCCCACAATCCTCCCCTGCCGGTCTGAGGCCAGGAGGGTCAGCCCCGGGCCTCACTGGGGCTGACGCCGCCACAGCCAGGAGCACGCCGCTCACAGACTGGACTCGGGGGCCAGGAGGGACCCAAGTGCCTCCTGAAAGGAGTCTTGGGGGAGGGCGTGAAACCTGCCGGGGTCCCTGGGTGGCCTCACACCTGCCGGACCCTGAGTGAGGACAGACAGAGGGCAAGCCACTTGCAGGAAAATGACGGCTCAGATGTGAGATACGTGACCGACCCTGCTGTGAACGGATGCCGTCTTATCCACAGCAGAAAATAATATTAATAATAATAATAGTAAGTATCAAAGCTGTTCGCTGACAAAGCAGTTTGGGAGGGGCATTCAGAAGCAAAAAAACATCCTCCTCCAATAACCTCACTCTCAGCCCCTTCTGTCCCCCAGGTCAAGGCCGGCTCTCAGGTAACACAGGAAGAGCACCAAATACCAGCACATTCTTCTTACCAAATACACAGGAGATAGCTTTAGTTTTGAGGCTGACTGAGACCATTTCCTTTTTTCTTAAAATAAATAAATAAATAAAAGCATGATTTAGAGAAGAAAAAAATCACTCAATTATCTAGATTTTTAGATCAGTCCATGATTTCCCAAGAGGAGAAATTTCTAAAAATACTAATAATTCAAAAGAAAAAAAATCAGAGTGCTAATTAATATTTGATCAGAGAGAGAATAATTTTTGATATTTTAAATTTAAGGATCAAGGCAATTCAGCCATCGACAGTCAAATGCATGATCTGAGAGGTATCTATACACATGTGTGTGTGTCTTCTTCTGTGTAAGTGACTCGGCTCACTCCTTACACGTTTCAGCCCAAAACTGCTCCCGTTACACACAGACTGCATGTAGTGAAGGGCACGGACTCCGGACCAAACGGCCAAGACATGGACCTTGGCTCCACCTTCCTACTAGCTGTGTGACCTCGGGCAAATCACCTAACCTCTCTGTACCTCAGCGCCCTCACCTGTAAAACGGGGACACCACCACCAGCTCCCGCCTGGGGTTGCGGCGGGACTAAAGTGCACGCTCGCTCGGGCCTCGGCGCACGGGGCAGCGCCTGGTGCGCCGCGAGCGCCACGTGGCACTCCATGCGCGGGCGGAAACACGGCGAGGGCAATGGCTCCAGGGGGGCGAGGGCAGTAAGAAGCCATTCTGTTCCTGACTCCCTCTCCCTTCCTGACAGCTGAGACTTGAACCTCCCGGGTCACAGCACGGAGGGAAACTCAAAAGACAGACCTGGCGTCAGTCGAGGGAGAAGAAAGAGGATGGGGGTCAGCCCTCAACTCCTGCTAGTGGGGGCTCAGTGTTTCCGCGCCCTTCCCCCGCCCCGGGGCCGGGGAAGAAGGCAGAAGACAGCTCGAGTGAAACAATGACCAACAACGAGCCAGAAAGCCCAGTAGCCAGGACGTGAGGAGGAGAGGACGATGGGCTGCTGGCGGCCAGCTGCAGAAAGGTGCTTCGAGGCACCGGCCCGGAGAGCCCCCGCCCCAGGCAGCTGCGGACGCCCCGCCCCCCACGGCGTGCGCGGGGGCGGGGCGTGCGCAGGGGCGGGGCGTGCCCGGCTTGCGCAGCAGCGGGGTTCCGCGCTCTCTCCAGGCTGAGTCTAGCAAAGGAACAAGTCTGTACCTTCGACAAAAGGTTTGACATGAACCTCCTGGGCCTGCCCATCCGCCTAAGCTCACGGGGGCCTCGAGACCGAACTCGGGCTGAACCACTGGGTCAGGGCTGGGGGGGGGTTGCCCCCGGCCGGGGCGCCGCCCGGGGCGCCCACCACGCGCACACGCGGCTCGGCTTCGTCAGACAGCGGGAACCATTACCCTAGTGTCTTCTAACTCCCTCTGGAGTTTGTCAGCTTTGGTCTTTTCAAAGAGCAGGCTCTGTTCAAGCTCCTTAATGCGGGCATGCTCCAGTTTGGTCTGCGTCTGTTAGTGAAAAGGAAGAGGAAGAGAACACAACAGTGCCACCGTGACATGCCAGCACGAGAGGGGGGCAGCGCATGCAGGCTGGGCCGCCGGGCGGACACGACGGGCAGCGGGGGGGCGGGCAGGGCAGAGGGCGGCGGCAGTGAGGCGGGGAGTCGGGGTGAGGACGGACGCCACCCGCGCTCGGGGGCGGCGGGCGGGGGGCATGGCAAGGATACTAGTCTACTGGAGAGGAAAGATGGAGCACACACGAGGCAAGACGGAGGAGAGTCAGAGGCATGCAGCAAATATCAGTTACATCGATAAGTGAAGTTTATCAGCACACATTAGAATCGTTAATACTCCTCTAAGCTGTCACTTCCCCCTCCTCCCCACAGCAGCTCTTCGACGCTGATGTGCGTGTCACCGACTTGGGAACTTGAACAAGGAGGCCGATCCTCAGAAGGCGCACGAGCCCCCCGAGCAGGGGAGAGGTAAGGGGCTCCATCCTGTCGGTGCCCAATAAAGCCCTGAGCGGATCCTGGCACTTCGGCGTAAGCTTGACGTGACCGAGGGTCACGCGTGACACCTCACAAGGGGCACCCAGAAACCCAAGCTGTGGCCACCCCAGCGGCCTCCGCTGAGGCGCATGAGAAGGACCCCAGGAGCCGGGCAACGTCTCACAGCTGACAGGCGAGAGCCGTTAAGGCTCCGCTGTCTTTCCAACAGTGGCCTTTCTTAAGGCTATCTGTCTGTCACCGGTGGGGGCTGGAAGAAATTTTATTTACAAAGAGCAAGTTCAATACTAATTGCGTTCCACGGCCTCCGTCCCTGAGGCACAGAGCTGGAGAAAAATCTGGCCGGAACTGGACTCCTGGTCTGGCTAAGACGTAGTGACCATCAGCTCCAAAGTGAGAAGTGGGGACCCCACATAAAGGCATGAGTCGGAACTCGAGTTTCAAACCCTCGGAGACTCCCCATCACCACGCCCTCCGACAAATCCTCGGGGAGAACCCAGCTGATGTTTGTAACAGGTTCAAGTGCAGCAGGATCTTAATCAGATGAACTGGGTGCCCCTGTGAAGGCACCGCTCTCCCCCTCACCTCTCCTGGGCGAGGGGTTTAGCACAATCAGCTGATAAAAACGACTGAGCGCGCTATTCCCAGAAGCTTCTAGTCACTTGTATTAACATAAACACTGTGTGGCCCTAATGGGTCGGGTCTATCGGTCTGGGCCATCGTGGGCAACGAAAAAGCAACAGACTCCAAATAAAGTAACAGACAGTCGTGCAGAGACTCAGCAGAAGGTGGAATGCGTTACGTGATGAGCCTCTCTGCTCTGAGGATGCGATGCGCTCCAGAGCTCCCTCTGCCTGTGAGGCAGGGAACGTCCTCGTGGGACAGTCCCACGAAGCCCTCCCCTGCTTCCCCTCTGGCACCCCACAGAAAGAGCAGCACTGAAAACCACGCTGTCTGGCTCTGTGTGCATGTCCCTGGTCCCCGTGGGCCTTGGACAGAAGCTGTTCCGTTTACCCGCTGTCACAAGGAGAGACCTAATCCGGACCTACGTCACCGGGGTCCCAGCCTGGGACAGGGAAATTCAAAGAGCAAATAGCACAAAGCCTTGCCCCTCCTCTGGACGCTGAGCTCGGTGGGCCGTGGGGGGAAGGTCACCACGTCAGGACAAAAAGCCAGCGTCCACCGAATGGGGTCCTGTCCCCCTTCCGAGCCTGTGCAGGCCGCCCCGAGATGGGACGGCAGCCGGCTCTGCACAGCCACCAGCGCGGGGACGCGGGACGCACTTCCATGCTGCGTGCGCAGGGAAGCTGCGACAGTGAACAGGACAGCCCCCCCTTGCTCGGCGGGGGCCGTCTCGGAGGGAGAAGCGCCCCGCCAGGGCGGCCCTGGGGCCGGGCTGAGAGGGAAGCGAGGCTCTGCCAGAAGCGCAGGGCGGCGAGGCGGGAGGGGCCCCATGCAGGCGACAGCGGGGACGAGGACAGCGAGACCCAGATCACGGAAGGAGCTGCACAGAAAGGAGCCCTCGGAACCGAGGCCGTGTGTGCGAGGGTTCGGCTTTAGCCGTCTGTGCCGCGGCCAGCCGGCCGGCAGTGGGCAGAAACATCCTGTTTTAATGTAATTGTGTTCCCTCGTGGTGACCAAGCCAAGTGCAAAGTCGCCAGGGTTGGGAGCTCACTCTGTAAGGTCTGCATGGGGTGCCTGGGCTCACGCAGAGGGCGGGAAGGAGAGAAAAACACCTACGTGCCGAGTAGTACTGCCCCCGAAAAACCTCACTCCATTGAGATGACAAATTTAAAACACACTCAGTCTTCTCACGGAAGAAGGCTCGCCTCGAGTTTCAAAAACCAGGGGAAAAAACCTCCACGAAAGCCTAGCTTGAACGTCTAGTCAGCTGCAAGGACAGGCACTGGCCAGCAGGGGGCACTCACACCAAAGGCAATCAGCTTGGGATTCCCAAGGCCCTTTAAGTCTCAGGGGAATGAAATTAGGCAGCTTGGGAAAACTTCCCCCTCGCCCCCGAATTTCTGTAACTCCTTCATTTAATATGTCTTATGCCTCCGCTGGCTAGCATCTCTTTGGGAATAACCCTATTACGACCAGAAGACATCGTGAGTTCAGGGAAGGCCAGGCCCCCAGACAAAACTCTCTTCTTCCCCCCTTTTCGGCAAAGCTCTCTCTAACGTAGCGTGTGCCCACGGGTCAGAGGCATGGGTGTGCGGGGCTCAGCCGTTACATACAGTGTCCTCGGGACACAAATGCAACCGCCCTGAAAGCCGCATGCACAGGAGCACTAGGGCCGACGTCTCGAGGTCAGAGCCGCGGTTAGTATTCGAGTAGATCAATAAGCATTTTAATCTGTAATCAATCTGTGTTAACAAGGGGGGATGCCCACACGGTGGAGGTGCCCTCTTACATTCTCAGGATCTTCAGAAATCTGGCTCTTTTGCTATCAGTAAAAAAATAAAACATTAAACAACGAAAAAAAAAGAGATTCGACTAACGTTATCAATATGTTAGGGTTTCAAAAAAACACTGACTGGTTCTAAGTAAGTTTACAGACAGACTACGTGACTGGCCTAGAGCTGATGTGAGCATTTCTATCTGTGCCTCCCCCAGACACCCTCCGCTACATCTCAAAGGGATCAGATGGAGACAGGAAGCTTCTCGTGAGGCTCGGGGGGGGGGGGGGGTTATTTCTAAATGGATGAGAGTAACACAAAACAAGTAAATGAAAAATGTCTAACTGCATATGAAATGAGTGAAGAAGTTCCCTTATTAATAATCCCTTAGACCCTGGGCCTTCTAAAACTAAAACTCAGGAAATGGTTTTTTTATTTTTTTGCTAAGATACATTTATTTCCCAAGAAACCAGAGCTGCTGCTATTCAGAAGGGCCTTTGGAGTGTGAGCCTGGTGTGGGCAGGCGGTGAGCTCCAAACTGTAATGTGAGCAAAAGTGTGTGTGAGAGAACTGCACAGAAAAGTGCAATTTTCACTAAAATGTTACAGATTAAAGTACCCAAAATCTGCGAAATTTGGGAATTTTGATAATTTCTACTCGTCATATATCTAGCAGTGGTCTGAAAAGCATCAAAACCATTGTGACGAGATGAGAACTTGATGGTAAAGAAAAACCTCTGTTCATTAAATGAACAAGATGCCAGGGAAGTAAAAGCAGCCAAAATATGAACTGCTCATTTTTTTAGGTAATTTGTTTCTTAAAAATTCAACTACTAGAGCGCACGGCTGCTCCTTTTCCGGGGCTAGAAAGGGCTTGTGCTGCTCAGCTGAAAAGCAAGGCTGAGAGGAAGCTGGAAGCTTCGCTTTGGGCTGTTGCGACGAAGCAAAAAAGAGCTCCCTCTAGGGCCTGCCACTTGCGGTCATCAGAGGGACACGCAAAGTCTCCCTTGGGACACACTGCCAGATGCATGACTCGACTGACTCCAATTAAAGGCTCTGAATTTCAAAGCACGAGCGGAGAGTGGCGGCAATCCTCTGCAGCCGCAGGCCGGGGCGAGAGCTCGGCCGGCCCCCGCCACTCCCTCCCTCCGCAGCCTGCTCTGGCCACATATCAGTGGGCGCAGTGACCTCATCCACGTTTCTGAGCACTGGGACCCTCGAACACCTCGTAGAGCTGGAGGAGTTTTACCTCAAGGTCGCCTTTAGTGATGGATTCCTCCTCGACCCGGAACTGAAGGTCCTCAACCTTCCTGTGGGACAAGACGGGAACACAGCACTTCAGAGAGTAACCGAGGAGCACGGCTCCATACCGCGGAGAGCGTGAGAGTGTGTGAGAGTGTGAGTGTGTGTGCGCATGTCTACAACCCCCACCCTGCAGAGGAACAGGAGCAGCCTCGTCAGGGGGCCTCTGGTCCTCCACCCAAGCGCTCTGCTCCACCCGGCGAGCGCCGAGCCGTCCCCAGGGGCGTGTTCCAGAAGGCGGGAGGTGAGGGTGCACCTCCTGCCTTGGGTCACAGCCAGCCGAATGGACCTCATCCGAACCAGCTCTGCCCAGTGGGAAGAGAGGCCTGATCTCCACAGAAGGGGGTCTGGGGACGCAAGCCTGTCGTTTCTGCCTTCCGGGAGCAGAACTTGGGGAAAGCGGCAAAGAAAACAAGTCTCTCTTCTCGCCGCCCCAGGTCAGCTGCTCGAGGGCGAGGTGGGCCGGCAGCCCACACAGAGCACGCTGGGGCAGCGCTAGTGTCGGCCCCAAGGCCGCGAGAACAAGGCTGTGCACTCTCTGGGGGGAGAAGTGGTCGAGAATTCTATCTGTGCCCTGGCTGGTGTGGCTCAGTGGACTGAGTGCCTGCCTGTGAACCAAAGGGTCGCCGGTTCGATTCCCAGTCAGGGCACGTGCCTGGGTAGCGGCCAGGTCCCCAGAAGGGGGCGTGGGAGATGCAATCACACATTGGTATTTCCCTCTCTCCTTCCCTTCTTCTCTAAAAATAAATAAATAAGCTTAAAAGAAGAATTCCATTTGCTTCCAAAATGCACACCTTTTCACATTTTAAAATCTGGGAGACTGCGTGTGGGTTTCAGTTAATGCCGTTAGAAAGCCAGTGCAATACGGTACTTGGAAGACAGAAAATCTGGGTAACTCTCACACCGTGAATCTTTACAAAACTGGCTGTTCAGAGAAGGAAGAAAAGGGGGACCAAGTTCATAACCTACACACAAAACAAACCTTTCGAGCTCACTAGCATTTCTAAAAACTCTACTTGGTCAAACAGGAAGCAAACGTAAGCCCTCAAGCGGGGGACACGGCAGAGTCAGAGCGGGTCTGAGGACGGAGCGAACGGCGGACGAGCACCGTCGCCCTCTCTCCTGTGCCCGCGGCCACGGCCAGATGCGAGGAGAGAGCCGTTTCCTGGTGAGACACTGCGGTCCACCTCCGGGGTGCGGTCCCCGTGCCACAGCGGCAAATGCAACCGTCCGGCGCTCCGTCACGCTGGACTGCTAGAGAATTGAGTTGCTGCCATCGGACGTGACAGGCGACGGCAGTGAGTGCAGCAACAGAGGACAAACACCCCGGAGCCAGAGACGTCCCCGTGGTTTCCGCGATGACACTGTTCTCGGAGATGTCGCTTGTTAACGGTCTCTGAAGACCTTCTTTCTCCAAGAACCAAACTGGCGCTCGCTCGCTCGATCGCTCTCTCTCTCTCTCCCCCCCTTGATCTCACCCCGACCTGGATAATCCCTAACCGCTTCCCGCGAGAGCCTTGTTTTCCCATGAGGCGCTGACTGCGTCTCTCGAGGACCGGGACCTTCCATCGCCCGCCAGACACGAGGCGCTGTCCTCAGCCGCACGGGAGGGGCTCCCTGAACCCCGGGGAACTCGGACCCAGCACACCCTCCACCAGCAAAGTCTCCGGGGGGAAGTTGGGTGTGGATGACTCCACCACACTGACTGAGGTTGTCCCTCAAGAGGGTGTTTGGCACGCAGTAGGTGCTCAATAAACATTAGTTCAGTCAATCGGGCCACGTCTAGGTGACTCGAAAGGACTCAAAAGAGGTCAAATCAAAGCGAATCCTCCTCACACAGAACGGAGACTTCCGTTTCCACTGGACACGGCCACACCTTTGGCTCTGAGGGTGGACCCCCACGTGGCTGCTAACGGGAAGGGGGGTGTGGAAGGAAGAGGCCGCGCGGGCACCAGGGAACGGGTCCGGGTCACCTTTTCTCCTCCTCCAGCTGGTTGAGAAGCTCCACCTTCTCCCTGTCGGCAGCTTCCACCATGGCCCGCAGCTGGTCCATCTTGGCCTCCAGCTCCAGGACGTGCTGGGGAGACAAGGGTGTCGGTGAGCGGCCCGCTCTGCCCCACACGGGCCCGGGGGCGCCTGCAAAGGGCTGCAGCTAGGTGGCACCCCTGTGGGCTGGGCTTAGTTCCTGTGACTCCTTCTCACGCGAAAGTGCACTCTACGACCTTCGACAGGTCGCTCCCGGCAGCACTCCCGGGAGGTGGCGATGGAAACCCCACCAGGAAGGCGCGGAGGGCAACGTTAACACAGCTCCCCCCTTCCTGGATGCTGAAACTCACACAAAGGTCAGTCTACAAACCAGATGTTGTCACACAGGTGAAGTCCTGGTCAACGAGCTCACCTAACGCAGACAGGCCGGAAGACCCGGACACGGGGACCACAGGCTAAGGGAGACGCCAGGGGGACAGAACGCCATCCGTACGACACTGCACACTCGCGCCCCAGGCCACGGCCCTCAAACAAACCCAGAAGAACCGCGGCGCCGGCTCCCAACACTAGCTCCAGGCGCCAGGCAGGCGGCCCGGCCTCCGGCCTCGATCTAGAACCTGCCGCCGTCTCTGCCACGACGGGGTCCGCCTGGAACCCGTCACCATCTCCACAGCAAGGCCAGCGCCAGACTTCACCTGGTCGTGTCCGTCCCGGGCCAGCGCTAGCTCCTGCTCTATCTCCCCCACGTGGCTCGTGGCCTTGGCCACCTCCGCCCTCTCCAGATCCCGTTCGGCCAGCAGCTGCTCAATGTGCTGCTGCTTCTCCTTCAGGGCCTCCTGGAGGGCGGTGGTGCCGGAGATCTTCCGGGCGTAGCGGGAGGAGGTCTCGGTCAGCTGCAAAGGAAGGCAGACATGTGAAGGGCAAGGGGGCCACGGGGGGTGGGTGGGGGGAAGCGAGGCATGCAGGCAGCAGCTTCTCCGCGGAGCCAAAGCGCTTTGGCCCGGCTCACAGGCCAGCCAGCGACCGGGGGACAAGGCAGCGGGGGCCTCCCGTCTGCGGGCCTCACAGAGCGCACACCCACGGAAGGAGGTCACAGCCCCTTTGGGGGGCGGGGGGAGATGTCTGCGAGAATAACGGCTCCAATCGACCAGAGGGGCCCTGAGGTCGGCTGACGGGGCCCCGCGGGAATCTAGAAAACGTCCCCAGGACGCAGTTCCAGCGTTTCTCGCGACCCCTTTTCGACCTCAGCCTCGCGCACAGCTGTCCTCCTCACGGCATCGGGGGCAACCTTCTGACCTTCAGATCTGAGGTTGAGACTTTTCCCATCTTAAGCTTCTAGACACGGTTCGCTCACCCCCAGGTCACCCCGGCCTCAGGAACCTTCCTTCACCTGACCCAACAGCCGGGGGGGCCGGACCTCTGTCGGGGCTTCCCTCACCCACCCCTGCTCGAGGTGAAGGCAGAGGGGTCTCACCGGGCGGGCCAGAGAGACGTGCACAGACAAGACAGAGAGGAAGACCGCCCGCCTCCAGGCGCGTGGGAGCGGGTGCGCGTGCGTGCACGTGTCTGGGCACGCACACGCGTAAGATGGACAGGGAAGAAAGAACATCAGAGAGAAGAAGGAGGGGGAGAAATTCACGCACACAGAACAGCAGGGAGGGAAGGACGGAGGGAAAACAGGGATGGAGGACGGAGAGGGAGGGGGGATGGGGGCGGGAGCTGGTCTGAGCCCTGTCCTCTGTGTCCATCTGCAGGCTGCGCGTCACGTGAACACACAGGGGAGAGCAGCCCCTGCTGAGCGTTCGCAGGTGACCGCCCGGGTGGGTGCTGCTCCCCCGAGCTGGGCTTCAGAGGCGTCTCCCTCGGCGAGCCCGTGTCCAAGGCCATTTCCTGGGCCCTCGCGGGCGCTCGCCCTGCGGCCTCGACTCCGTGACCCCGTCCTCTGCGAGCGGAGCCTCATGTGCGGCCCGAACGCTCTTCCCGTCCTTCGGTCTGTCTGTGCCGTCGTCCGAGAACGGACTAAGGACGAGGGCCTGCCGTCAGTCCGCAGGGGGGCCAGTCCGCTGGGTCACGGTGAGAGTGAAGGAATCCAATCGAGCCCGAGTCATCCTCTGCGGCTTCTATTTAGTGTGAAATTTCTCGGATGTTTAAACGCATTGGGGGAGGGGGAATTCCTGGTTTTTTACCACCTGGCCTTGACTTCCCAACTTCATTCCGCGTGCGGTGAAATCACACTCTCCCACGCTAACCTTCCTCCCTGCACGCACTGAATCGGGGGTCCCCAAACCCCACGCAGAGATCTCCCAGGGCGCTGCCGCAAACTCACTGGGCAACGTTTTTAAACTTCGAGGGAGCCGCAGCGACACCTGCTGGACACCACACAAACTACCAGCGTGAGGCAACTTGGTTTCAACGGGCTTTGGCCAGGAATGAACACGTAAGACCCCTTTTTTCAAGGGTCTCAGGGTTTACAAGCTGGAAACACAAGTAGGAAACACCCAGAGCGTCCTTCTGAAGAAGAAATAAAATCTAAGAGTCCTTGTAGTAGAAAGAACCTTTCGAGAAGACTCAGTCCTGCATTCTTAGCCTCTGGACTGGTCCGAGATGATAATATTCTGGACGTCCGGTGGTCTGGAACATTCTTCCCGAAGTCCTTCGGGGGGTTATCACAGGATTATCTACAGGAGACACACCATCTGTATCTATAGATGTGTGTATTCTCCAGGCGTAACTGGAAATTTCAGAAGTTTACGTTCCCAGGCTAATTAAAAAAATAAACTGTTTCCTCATGCCTCAGCCTGTATTTTAGTTCTTCATTTTTAAATATTTTGTTTATTTTTAGAGAGAGCGGAGGAAGGGAGAAACAGAGGGTGAGAGACATCGATGCAAGAGAGGAACATCCATCGGCCGCCTCTCCTGTGCTCCCCGACGGGGGGGGCGGGGGGGGGAGGGCAAACCCTCGACTCAGGCCTGCGCCCCGGCCGGGATTCGAACCAGGGAGCCTTGGCTTCACGAGGTCCGGGCCGCCTGTGAGATGCCGGTCACCTGGCAGCTTGACCACAGTGACTCCATTTTCTTTCTTCGCTCCTGGAACAGCCATCGTTCCTTCAGAGAGCGCCGCGGTCTCTGCAAAGCCCCGTGCGGGCTGCTGCTGCCACCACGGTGAAGAGCAAGGACCCACAGAACCGGCGGGGCCGGACAGGAGGGCGATGGGCTCGGTGAGACTCCAGGGCTTGACAGGTAGTGACGAGCTACGGCTATCCCAGAATGAGCTTAAAATACTTGTTTTTTTTTTTTCATCGAAAGGTATCATTTTTTAAGCAGCCACTGAATGGCTGGGGCGTGGATATTACGTCGTTGAAGCGTCATTCCTTCACGAACGGAACTGCCGGCCACTGCTTGTGGCCCGGGGCGCCGGGGAAAACGACCGGGACGCCTCGGGTGCCGTGGGACCAGGGCGCCCGGGCGCCTCTGCACACCGCCGCTGCACTTCTGTGAGACCGTCCGGCAGGAGAGGCCCTTCAGACTGTCTGCACGTGTGAAGGGGGTTACGCTGCCGAGACGCAGTTCTGGCAAATCACACTTCAGTGCTCCTGTGCCCTCGGCACATTCTTCTGCGGTGACTTCTGATTCGGAAACAAGAGCTACCCTGGATGGAAATGTTTTTAAGGGAAGCTGCTTTACAAGGCAAGGAGACTCCTTTCTCCCTTGCCGGTGTCCTCCGCCGCCGCAGTGACAGAAGAGGACTCGGACCTGGTCTGGAAGGAAGGGAGCAGGGGGGGCGCGGAGAGCATGGGAAGCTCAGTTATTTCCCAAAGAAATGCACGAATAATTACAACTCGATGAAGTTTTATGCAAGAGAGAACCCCTAGGCCAGACCCGACCCTCCTGCGGAACCGTCCAGGGCTGGCCGGTGGGCTCAGGCTCTGCCCGGACCGAGGGGCTTGTCGCCTCCGGCTCACTGCTCCTGTCAAGCCTCCGTAAAGTCCACGTGTCATTTTTCTGTTGGAGATGCAGGCTTTCTTTTCAAATGCAGAATGAAACAGTCCAAGCGGGTTTCCATTTACTCTGGACGCAAGAGGGACATGACGCCGCCGCCGGCGAGAGCGCCAGCCCGCCCCTGAGGACAACGCCCTCCGCTTCTCCTCTCCCCGCCGACATCCACCCCTGAATGCCCCGAGCCCTGTCCCGCATCTGCGCCTCGCCGTCAGCATGCAGGGACCCCGAGTTCAGTCCGGAGGACAACCTCGCACTGCCATTTCAAATTTCAGCCGTGCTTGCCTCCCTTCGGGGAAACAAACTTAAAGGCGGGGGAGGAAACCCAAAAGTCATTGCTCTGGCCCTAAGGAAACACCCGTTAACGGACCAGAGCGAGGGGCTGCCTGTTTTAATTCCAAAGACTCTATTTTTGGTGATCTAAGGGGGGGAGGGGAAGATGGGTGGGGGCAGGAGACGGAGACAGGAGACAAGACGACACACAGCTCTTCCGAGCGCCCTTCAGGCTTCGGAAGGTCCTCTCGGTGGCCTCTGGCCCAGGCCGGGAGCACCCCCCCGCTCATTCACTGCTTCCAGTGGGCGAGACGGCACTGCAACTCTAAGGACATGGCTTTCCAAGACACTTTGGATCCTGAAACTGAAATCAAACAGAAAGAAACCTACGGCCTTGAGGAAAAGACCCCCCCTAATTTCCCTGTCATTCTCGTGTCCGAAGCAACGTGACAGAAGTCACTTCATCAGTCCTCACTGCAGATCCACCCAGAACTGTGGTTTCTTAAGCCTCGAGGGTCTGAAAGGGGGTGTTAAAAACTTTACTTGACAACGTGTGTTCCTGCTGGAGTTTTACGTTGTGAGACTCGGCGGGCCTGCCACGAGGGGCATGCGGCACGAGGGGGCGGGACGGCAGAGCAAGCCGGGGAGCAGAGCGGGCGCACCATGCAGACGCGGGGGGAGGGAGCGGGGGGAGGGGGCTTACTAATCCTGTGCGGCTGGGCTTGCTGCTCACGGAGGAGGCCACGGAGCTCAGAGAGCTGAGCGAGGACGCCGACGGGCTGCGCTTCAGGCTGGCGGGCGTGGTGGCCATCACGCGCCTCACGGCGGCGGCCTTGGCTTTGGCCGGCGTGGTGGACGGGAAGCCGATCTTGGTCACTTTGTGCACGGGAGCGAACAGGCCATATTTGGGCTGACACTGAAAGTACCTTGAGAGGACGACAGTAAGGACAATAACAGAAAACTCAATCACGAGAAACAACAGCTACGACGAGAAAGCCCTCCTAACCCGTCTGCCGGGACTGGTGTGCGGGCACGTGCGCCGATCGGCGGGCGCGGCACGCGGCACGCAGCACTCCTGCGGCGGCAGGCCGGCGCAGGGGCTCACGAACAGCAACATGACGCGCGGACACAGAATGACTCGTCTGTTAACGAGGTGACAGCGGGAACACACGTTCCTGCCCCCAGACGAACGCACAGCGGAGGAGTGCGGCAGTGCGGAGACCCCGCGGAGGAACACCCCGCGGAGGAACCTCGCGGAGGAACACTTCGCCGAAGGGAGGGGGAAGGAGCGCGGACGAGCACCAGCTCCGGGGCTCTGCGCGCTGCGCTCTTCGCGTCCCGGGACACATGGGGGGGGGGCTCTGCCTGAGCACCCGCGCGTGCGAGGGGGAGACCCACGCACCTCGTTCCGGCGACGGCCCCGTCGTTCTTGCCCAGAGGCTCGTCTAGCTCCACGCCGCACCACTCCCCCTTGGCAAAGTCCGTCTCCCCGAGGAACCGGACCACGCCGGCCTTGGTGCCGCCGACCTGGAAGAGAGAGGACGTGGGGAGGATGAAGAGGGGAATGCTGGGACGCAGGGGTGGGCGGGACCCGGCCGGGAACCAAGCACCGCCCCACCGTCCCAGTCGGCAGGCTCCGCCCCCTGCCCCACTCCCTCCCGACAGTGCCGTCACCCCCAGAGGCGGCCGGGCGGACCTGTGGGTGACCCACGCCACCGAAGCGCTTCAGTCCCCGTCCCGGCCCGGCAGTGAAACAGCCTCGGTAATGCGCAGCTATCATGGCTGCCCCCCCAAATCACTCTCCTCTTTAGAAAAACAGTTTATCCACCCAGGGCGACTTCCCTGTTCCGAAGTACACGCTGGCTGCAAAAACAGAACTCCCGCATCATCAGGGAAAACAAAGCTCACCCACACCCCACGGCAACGACTGCCTCGCCGGTTGCCTCATACCTCCCCTCGGCCTTGGATGTATGTACGGACGGACAGACACCAACCACGCACACGTGTTGGGGCATGCACAGATGCACACGCCTTTGTCTTCCGCCTCTCTAACTGTGCGCTGCGTGTAAATGCAAACTCTCTAACTTCCACTCTGGGGGCCTCCGTTTCTTCCCAACTATTAATTACGATTACTATTCTTCACATGCCGTTTTACACGAACCGTCCGAAGTGATCTTTTTAAAGGTCTGACTCTTAGTCCCAGCCCTGGTCTGAGATAGCACGTGAACACTGTTCCCAAAATTATCCCGCCGGCATTTCACTCGCTGCCCTCCCTTTGCCACTCCACCCTCCGCCACCGATTCCCTCGATTCCCTCGATTCCCTCGTCGCCTTCTCCCTCACGTGCATGCGCGCGCGCACTCGGAGGCGTCAGGCGGAGCCTCTCTCCCGGCTCCCCATGGGTGCGGCCACCCCGGGACCCCCGTCACTGCGGCTTTACAAGCCGGGTCCCCTTTGCTAGTGTCGGTTTCCCTTGCTGCTCCTGAATATGTGTTCGTTTTCTTTTTCTGAGCTTCTTTTCTCTTAATTTCTTTTTTTAATTCCTCCAGTTTTATTTTTTAAATTAATAGATGCCAAGAGCTCAACACAGTACTTATATTACATTTTTTGTGTTTTTTTAAGAGAGAGGAGGAGGAGGAGGGAGAAAGGGTATGGGTTGCCTGACCGGGAATCGAACTGTCAACCTTTCAGTTCGCAGGCCAGCGCTCAGTGCACTGAGCTACACCAGCCAGAGCCAACTCCGCCGGCTTTAAAAGAGGTGGATCACTGAAGGAAATTCAGGACAGTACAAACCAAAACTACATGTGGTGCCTGTGTTCTCACCCCCAGAGACAGTCGCCGCTGGCACTGGGCTTCCCCCACCCCCACCCCTGCTCTGCGACGGCTGTTCCGTGTTCCGCACACGGGGAGGGACCACCACAGGCACCAGCTCTTTTTTCATTTGGGATGTTCACCCTTTCCTTACTGATCTAAAACCTGCACATACTAAGTTTAAACTAATCCTCCAACAGCCAATACGTCCCAAAGGGTCAAACACGAACACGGGCGGCGGGAAGAGCACCCTTGCTCAACGCCGGCCCCCTCTGTGCCGTGTGCCCACCACCACGGACAGCCGTGACGGCACCAACTCCCAGCATGGACCCCTCCCGGCAGCCCTCCCTCACGCGTGCACACGGAAGCAGGCGTTCGTGTCCATGTTTCCCCTCCTCTTCATTTTCACGCGTGAGTCAGGGCATGATGCGCACGGCCCTGCACCTGGCTGGTGCGCTGCCCGTTCTGCGTGTGCACTCGGGGCCACCCTGCTGCACGGACGCTTCCCGGCTCACAACACCAGCCGGCCCCGACGGACAGGCAGTAACTCTGTGCGCGGCGCCCCTCCGACACCGGTCTGCTTACTCAGTACACTTAAATTTATCACTTCGGCCAATTCTCTGAAAAAGTCTGGTGACGCCCTGGCTGGCATAACTCAGTGGATTGAGCGCGGGCTGCGAACCAAAGCATCGCAGGTTCGATTCCCAGCCAGGGCACATGCCTGGGTTGCAGGCCACGGCCCCCAGCAACCGCACATTGATGTTTCTCTCTCTCTTTCTCCCTCACTTCCCTCTCTAAAAATAATTAAATAAAATCTTAAAAAAAAAAAAGCCCGGTGAGCTTGAGTTTAATGCAGATTAGCTCGGGAAGGTGATCTATGTTACCGATCTTCCCAAGGAACCAGCTTTTGCGTTTTCCCCTTTCGTTTTTACGCTCTTTATTTAATTCACTTTGTATCTTTCCTATTTCCTCTTTCCTGCTTCCTTCTGGTTTATTGCTCTGTACTTCCTAATGTCTTCAGACCAATGTGAAGTCATTTGTTGTCTTGCTTTTTAATACCGAAGGCATTTATTTATTTGAACCTTTTCTCTGAGTATTGCTCTTTATGAGTTTGGGACGACACACACATTGTCCCCCGGCTCTGTTTAACCCTTCGTTGGGGACAGAAGAAGTCAGAGCCTCAGAGCCTGGTCTCGGGAAGAGAAACTTCCTGTGACGCCACTCTAAGGGACGAAGGGGTTGTGGCTGAAGGCGCTCCAGGCGGAAAGGGTGGCGGAGGGCCGTTCTGGGGTCACGGAGGTGCCACACTGGGGGAGTCGGAGTCGGAGGGGACGCCGCCCAGGCCCCTGCGGCCCACACCGCCCGGCGGAGCAGGGTGGGCGTTCGACCAAGACGTCCTGAGTGGACAGAGGGGGACCCCTCAGTGGTGGCCCACGCGGAAGAGGCCACTGTCCCACGTGGCCCAACTGAAGGACAAGGTCAGCCCGCGGCTGCAGGTGCGCCAGCGGCTGCCTCAGAGCAGGCGAGGAAGGGCGACGCCCGCGGGAACTGGGAACTGGAAAGCCGGACAGATTCGAATGCCAGCTCTGTTAACTAGTCAAATTGCTTAATTTGTTTCCTCACAAGTAAAATGGGGGTAATTACAGGACTGTTAATTACAGGAGAATCAACTGAAACCACCCCCAGGACGCTGAGCACTGACAGATCGAGTCCACCGCCCGCCGGCAGCTGGTCCACCCACCCCCACGGGCCCCCCGGAGCTCCAGGCCCGGCCCCCCCCCCCCCGACCTCCCGCTGTCCTCACGGGTGTGGTGCACGGACTCTGCGGAGCACCCCCCATAAAGCTGGCCTCCATCTCCGCCCCTCCTGCCCCGTGGCTGCAGAGCAGCTGTCTGACTGACGTCACGCGGGCAGAGCACCGCACGTTGGCTCGGGGTGACGCGATCTCTGCAGACAGTCTGTCGAATTCTTCGAGGGCGATCTACGTCACCGTCACGACGACTGTTTCCCCGAGAGGCGTCCACCCAGCGGGCGGGCCGCGGGCAGTAACATCCCCGCGCAGACCACGGGCCTCGTCCGGATCAGAAGCGTATGAACAGCGGCCACGCGACAGAGGAGCAACTATTTCTCTGAGTGCAGGCCACGTAATACACATTGACCCCGGGGGGGAACGCCACGCCACTGAGTTTGTTCAGTTCCTAGGACAGGCAGCTTTCTTCCGCTGCCCCCCCGGCCGGAGCTGAAATCCTGGACTCAGAAAGCCGACGGGATGCTTTCCTTTTCCCCCTGAAAGGCCACCAGTGATCCTTCCGAGTGTCTCCAACGGACACAGAAAGTCACACCAAGTCCTGAAAATCACTCAAGTGTTTTCCTCCTTAAACATTCTACCGCCGACACCTCTTTCTGGGCATTTAAACACGATTTTACTTTACAGTCAGGCTCACTTCTCGCGTGTCCCAGCGAGCCCCAGTATGTATGCGCGTTCCCGTTAGGTACAGGCCACAACTTCCCAGTCTACGTTTCAGGGGCAGATGTCGAGACTGGCAAAGAGAAAACTGCCAACTCCAGAAGGAGACACAGATTCTCACGGCAAACGCCGGCCACCCCGTCCCTTCCCCTCGCCCTCGGAACACGGCCGTGTGATTCCTGGCGCTGTGGCCGCCTCGGCCGGAACCAGAGGTCGCCGCTGGGGACAAAGTGACTTTACACCAGAAAGGCCCCCTGACGGGGGACCCGGCTCTGTTCACGCGTCAGCAAACCTCAAGTGTTCACGTTCTCGCTCGCTCATTCGGCGTGTTGTGTCGTGAGGGCTGGGCCCTTTAGGACCCAAGGGTGAAAGCAGAATACAGTGTTGGCCACTGATGGAGGGACGGATTCAAGCAAACAGTTCCAGTAAAAAGTGATGGTAAGAGGCTGTGGGACTGGCTCAGGTCTGCACCCCCACCGTCGCACGGTCCCCAGGCCTGTGGGAAACTCGGGCAGTGCGGACACGGGGCCAACAGCCGTGGACAGAACACTGCCGAGGGTGTCCGCGGGGACAGCACCCGCCAACCTGCATCTCCCTGCATCTCCCTGCGAATGCGGAAGCTCAGGGCTGAGAAAAGGCCAGGCCGGCTGCAGGGACAACAGTCCGGGAGTCCGGGTGAAGGGGACGATGGCCCGATTCCAGGAAGGGCCCAATGCCAGGGCCAGTGGGGGGGGTCGGGTCAGGGGGGCGACCAAAGACTGGAGCCCACGGAGTGGCTGAGTGACCGCAGGCGTTCCGGAGCCTCAAAAGGCACAGTGGGAACACCCTTGCAGAGCTCAGTGGATCGAGCGCCGGCCAGCAAAGCAAGAGGTCACCAGTTCAATTCCCAGTCAGGGCACGTTCCTGGGTTGCCACCGGGTAACCAGTAGGGGGTGCATGACAAGCAGCCACGCACTGGTGTCTCTCTCCCTCCCTTCCTCTCTAGAAATAAATAAATAAGACCCTAAATATAAAAGAGTCTGCCATCTCCCTCTCCTATTTAGTCGTAAGCTAAGACTCCAGCGCAGAACACAGAGTTCCAGACTTGGAGACGTCCACGCGGAGACAGGACAGCTGAGAGTGAGTCACGCTTCTCAGGGGCCTGACGTCATATTCTCGAAACACCGTGCGCACCCCGGAAGTGCAGCCAAGGCCATCCCAGAAACACTCGGGGTAATGCGAGGCCCCGGGGAGCCCCAGTGCGGGAGGAGGGGTGTCTCTGAGAGTCACGTGACCCGTGGCCACAGCCCGGGGCAGCCCGTCACGCCGGGCAGAACACGGCAGCTTCGGCCCACGGGACCCACGGGGCATCCGCCGGAGCATCTGTTAGAAGGGGCTCTGACTGGCCCTCCTGCTGGGGTCTCCAGATGCTACTGAAGCCACACGACTCATGCACCCCCTCACTCACCGGGGACTCTGAGCACATGGTTGGGGAGCGGCAGGGGGACCTTCTCCGAGCCCTGACTGCCTTCCTCAAGACAGGAGCCCCTGCCTGACTGACCTGGCTCGGTGGGTGGGCGTCGTCCTGCGAAAGGTCTCGGGTCCTGTTCCCAGGCAGGGCGCCTGCCTGGGTTGCGGGCCAGGTACCTGGTTGGGGGCGTGGGAGAGGCAACCCATGGATGTTGCTCTCGCACATGGATGTTTCTCTCCCTCTTTCTCCCTCCCTTTCCCAGTCTCTAAAAATAAATATTACTTTCAAAAGCACAGGGTCACTAGGCTGAACATCACCCCTCATACAGAAGTCCCTGCCTGCTCCCCCGGGGCGGTCAGGGCGAGGGGTGTGGGGAAGGCAGGCCCGCCTCCGCCCCCTCGGTGCCGGTCCTGCGGCAGGGGCCCTGCAGCACTGGGGGTGGGCCTGGGAAATTCCACGCCAATTATCTCCTAACAGTGATCTAATAATCGGAGTTCCATTCGGATTTTGAGAATCAACAGAATTTTTCTTTGATCAGGTACATTTCAAATCGAACATTTTAGATTTCTAAATCTCATTTCCTTAATGAATTAAGTTTAAAGTACAGCTGTTTTATATTTCTAAATGAGAGATTTCCATTAAACAGAGCGGCATCAAGTGGGGAAAACACAGGGGCTGGGGAGAAGAGGAGCGGGGACGCATGAGGACACACGTCACACGGTCACATGACCAGGAGGTGAGTCGTCACCTTTCTCCTCTGGGCTGCAGTCTAACAGGTGAAAGGAGGTATCTGGCGACCCCACGAGACCCTCGCTGGCTCTGAGATACTCTGATGCCAGGGAACCCCTGTCCTCTCCCCTAGAAATACCACCCAAAGGCAGGAAACAATTTTACCGCCTCCAGTGACACACTCGTAAGACTTCAGACTCTCACGGATGCGGAAACAGTTCTGCACGCTCGTTTTGAACAGGTAATTAAGGTAATTAAAGTGTTCCTAGGAACACGCCACTCCAACCTCCCCAACCGCCGGCACCTGCAGAGCGGCCTCCTCCCGCCCTCGGCCTACAGAGGAAGTCGTCCTCCCCCGCACCCCCACCCCCCCACCCCGTCAAGGGCCCGCCCCTCCCCCCTCCCCAAAGGAGCTCTGTCACTGCTCCCACTGCCATGTCCCCACACTGTCCCTCTAGGCCACTCTGTCAGGAGACGGAACACTCTGGACTCGGCCATCTTCCAATACGTAAATCAATAAACCAGCCCAGTCTCCCCCAGCCCCATCACTCTTCCTGCATCAGCCCGAACCCCTGTTCTCCCCCACACCCACCGTCTTCCAGGAAGGGTCGCCCAAACCCAGACTCGCCCACCTGTCTGTCTATCTACAACCGGCCAGAGTGACCTTTCCAAACTGCGACCTCGTTGCACCCCTCATCCTGCTCCTGCTCCCGCTCCGAAGGACAGAACGAAAATCCCTCGCACGGCCCAGCCTCACAGGCCCCGGGCGGCCCGGGCACCGGCCCCTGCAGGCCCCAGCTGCTGGGTAGCGAGCGTCGCCTCCGACCGGGCGCTGGCTGCACCCGGGGAAGGAAGGGCCCTGGCCTCTCCCTCGACACGCCAGCCCCTCCTCATGTCGAGAGTCTGCCCTTTCCTCCGCTAGAACGTTCCCTCTCGCCACCGCCGCCGCCCTCGGCCTGGCCGAGTCCCCGTCCTCGGGGCCACCTGAGTCATGACGTCCTCGTGGAAGCCTTCGGTGGTGAGTTAGACCGGCCTGACCTTGTCACGCTTTCTGTTTCAGCAGCCCACCAGCGCCCTATGTGACTAGTGCTTTAATTAACTCTTCCTCACTTTAGTGGGTGGGAAGGAAGACATGCTTGTGCATTCTTAAAGCAAAAAGCCATTTGCAAAAAACTTATATAAAGACATCTAAGGCCTCTCCTGAAACCTAATGGTTATAAGTTATAAATTCACGATGCTTTTGGCCACCATGGTAGAGAAAACTAGAATCGAACAGTGCACACGTATGCTCTTCCTATGCTCAGACTACACGGCCAGGTTCTGATTTGTATCATGTTTACGTACACACTGAACAACTGGCAAAGCTGATTCACTTCTCCTTAAGTGGGAGGCTGTCCCTCCAGAACAGACCCTGAGCCTGCCTTCCAGCCCCTCCTCAGTGACTCCCCCTGCCCCGCCCCCCCTGCCCCAGTCCCATGGAAGGTCTCTGGACTCACCAGCACCCCATCTCCCCCTGACCCCCCTGTCCCGGTCCCACATGAAGACTCTCAAAGGCCTCTGGACTCACCAGCACCCTGTCTCCCCGACGCCCTCATCCCGGTCCCACAGAAGGTCTCCGGACTGACCAGCACCCCATCTCCCCCCAACCCCCGCCCTGGTCCCACGGAAGGTCTCTGGACTCACCAGCACCCTGTCCCCGATCCTGAGCTCCCGTTCTCCCTTCTTGACCGAGCCGGCCTCCGAGAGGTTGGAGGTAGACTCGCTGGCAGTCTTCGTGAGGTTGCTGATGGGCGGCGTGGCTGGGGCGTCCTTCGCTGCCGGCTGGGACGGCTTCAGGGGAGCACCGGCGGGGGGCGCCGGGGAGGGGGCCGTGGACACAGGAGATTGCGCCCGGCCGGCGGGCGCCGCCTGCAGGCCGTTGGCCTCATCCTCGGCCTGCAGCTTCCGCGCCAGCTTCGACGGCCGCGTGAAGATGCCCTTCAGGGGCCCGCACTGGAAGTACCGGACCCCCGCCACCGAGCCGTCGTTCTTGCCGATGGGCTCGTCCAGCACGATCCCGGCCCACTGGCCGGGGGCGAACTGGGTCTCCCCCAGGAACTGGATGAAGCCGGGCTTGTTGCCATTCACCCAGACGCGCTCCCCGACGCGGAAGTCGTCCACAAACTCCTCGGGCGCCTCGGCGGGGGGCGCACCGGGCGCCTTCTCGCTGGGCACCGGCTTTTCCGCGGGGGCTGCCACTGAAACAGAAGGGAGGGTCAGAAAAGGTCCACCCTCACTCTCGCGCGCACAGACGGCTCCCGGCTTCCAGGAAAACAAACCAGGGAAGGCCACGAGCAACAGGAATGGCGGCCGCTCTTGGAGGGGAGTTCTGCTTTTCCCCTTTCTTTTTCGGCAAGGAGGCAAACACCGCTCGGCCCATCACTACCGTTTTCCATGCTGCGGAAACTGGATGAGCTGGTGAGGTTTAGTCCTTGTTTGCAAGTAAGACAGGAAGCAGTCGAAACAAGCAAACCAACGAAAACCAGTCCTTTCCCCAGCGTTCACAACACAGGTCTGGCTTCACCCTGCACTCCAGCCCCACCCTGAGCGTCAGGAGCAAACACGCACACGGCCACGGAGACGGGCTCTGGTCGCGCTCGCCGGCGGCCCGTGAAAGCTGGTGAGACCCGGACCGTGTACCAGAGGCCAGCGGTGAGGTCTGACGCAGGAAGGAGGGGTTCCACGCTGCGGCCCCTGCATTGTCATTCCAGGACAACCATGTAGCCCCCCCGCCCCGCTGCCCTGTTTGCTCGGAGAGCTGGCGACCCAGCGAGGGGAACAGCACATCTGCATCTGGCCCGGGAAGGCGAGATAGCTGTGTCATCGCTACTCTGTGGCAAAGACAGACGCTAGACGTTGCCAGAAATGGGATGTTCTCCCCGGAAACGCATTCAAGCATTCACCCTGCAAGCGTTCAACAAGTATGTCGTAGGAGCTGGTGAGGAAGACCCACCTTCTTAACCCTTCTACACTGACTAGCGTGTCGTGACCTTAGGATGCCACACGGCCTCTCCGAGTTCCAGTGCCCCCTCTGTAAGGGGCAAGGGGTATCTGTCTCGAGGGTTTAGACTCATTTGTAAATGAGTCTTCAATGAGAAACCGTATTCATTCACGCCGCACGTGTCTCTTGAGCTCCCCCCATGCTGGGACCAGTCCCAGGCAGTGTTTTCTCTGGGGGACAGAGCCAGACAGCACGGCCTGGGCCCTCACGCGGCTCAGGCTAGCGATGTGGAGACGGGCGGTAGGGTCAGGCGGCCTAAGTGCAATGGAGGACACAGCGCCCTTGGGGGGAGCAGTCAGGGAAGGCCTCCTGGAGAAGGCGGCGCGTGGCCTGACACCTCACGAGCAGCCATCCACCACGCAAAGGCTGGGCAGCAGAGCGGCCTGGGGCTACGCCCCTTTACACCGCCCCACGGGAGACTGCGGAGTTTCCATCTGTGGAGGATTTTCTTTTCTTTTCTTTCTTTTTTTTTTTAAGAGGCGAGTCAATGCCCTCAGGTAGGACAGATAATAATCCATCAAAGGCAGGGGCCAGCCTGCGTGGCTTTTCAGAGCCGGCTCTAGCTTTGTACACCAGCAGCTCCTCTTCCCAGGGGGCTGCAAGCTCGGATTTCTGAAAAACGACCCACACAAGTGCCCCGAGTTCCTTGGCAATCCCTTCCTTTCAAGCTCGGAAGTTTCAGTGTTAGTGAGCTGCTTTCCTCTTTTAAAAGACCCAGGTGTGCCGGGCACTGCTGGGGACGTGGAGCTGAGCTCTCACGAGCCCTGGGCCCTGGGCCTTTGTGTGCGAAGGGGTCGTGCGGGGCGAGTGCCGCCGGGGAGGCAGTGGGCTCCGGAGCTGGGCCGAGCGCCACAGCGGGAGGCCTCTCGTGGGGCGTGACGGGGTCTTCCAGGGAGGAGGACGGGGCCCAGGGGAGGAGCACAGATGTCAGCTCGGACTGCTCTCCTCAAAGCTAAAGAGCCCTGGACCAAACCCATTCCTCCGCAAGTCTTCGCTCTGTCACAGCGAAGGTTTCCTGCCACCTAAACTGTTGTATGTCCTTTCTGACAAAAACCAGGCTATACCCGACACAGGGGATGTACAGAACTGGGGATCGCCATTCAATTGACAAACGTTTACTGAGCTCCTACCATGTGGCAGGCGAGGCTCCGGGTAATGTGGGCAGATGCAGCAGTGAAAAAACAAACGGACAGACAGACAGACACACACACACACACACACACCAAGACCCCCGCCGTCTGGACGGCCAACAAGCATCTTCCCAGAGGAGCGTACACAGTGCTGCGCTGGATGCATCACGGTGGGCCCCCGTCCGGAACGGCTGGTGACACGACACGTCTCGCTGCACGTGAGTCACGTAAAGAGACACGTAAAGAGACCACAGAAGCAAGCGTCAGAAGCCCTCCCTCCCGTGCCTCTCTCAGCAAAGACTTAGACGGATGGTCGTGAGCCACAGACCAAAACCGTGGAGAAGGAGGCGGAAAACAGACGAGGAAGGGGCTGCTGAAGGTCATCGGGGGCAGGGGGCCCATCCTCGAAGTGGGGACGGTCCCCTCAGCGGCTGGACTGGAGCCGCGGCCCCGCCTGCACCCACGACGGGTGCCAACGCCACCTCCCTTCAGCTGGCACCGCCTTCCAGTCCAGACTAGTCTCCGTCTGCTCCACGCACCCCCGCACCCACGGCCCTGAGGAACGCAGGAGACGCGTGGGGAGAGAGAGGGAGAAACCCAAGAACTGCCTGACCCCCGCGGGCACCAGCCACGAGGGCACCGGACGGTGTTCATCACCGCACACGGACCCGGCCGCACGCAAGGGGGACCGACCGCCTGCAACAAAGTCAGCTCCTGGCTGATCAAGACTTTCAGACACAAGAGGCTGTTCTGTTGACTACAACTTTTTCAAGCACTCTCAAGGATAAGAAGTTCTGTAAGAGACTGTCCTCTGAAGACCTTCACATGCAAGTCTTCCCAGGGGGCCACAATCTCCCCGCGGTTCGGGGAGACGGAGGGCCTTACCGGCGGCCGGCGCCTTCACGGCTGTGGCGCCGGGCTTGAGGATCTTGGTGGGCACCTTGAGCCCGCTGGGCCTCAGCATGCTTGTGCTCGGTGCGGCGGGGCCGCTGCTCTTCCGCGCCCGGTGCCACTATCTTCCCCGGACCATCGACACAGCTGCGGGGGGTTGCACCGTGGAGCCGGCCTCCAGGTGACGTCTGCACAGAGAGAAACACAACAGGGGTTCAGAATCGACGGGAGAAGGAAGGCAGGAGCAGCGGTTACTGTTCAAGGAGCTTTCACAGCCCGCACTTTTTCTTATTGTGTCAAACCACCTCTGCACCGAACCTAGGCACCCAGGAAACTGGGTGCTGAAGGCAGGATGTGCTGCGGAAACGGATTTGAGAGCCATGCCCCGACCGCCCTGAGGGCCAGCAGCCGACAGCAGCCAGGCGCTCGCTTTTCCTTGTGGCGTCCAGTAGCGCCGGCTCCGTGCAGCGCCGACACCCAGCAGCCCGCGGAAGAACACACGCCAGGCTTAACGGGGGCGGGGGGGGGGGGGCGCGGCCATCAGATGGACCCGAAGCGCAGGGAAGAACAGCTAAGTATTGAGATCACCTGCTCACACGGTAATTAAGCAGTGTACCAAAAAGAAGTAGATTTATGAGGAATGCAACCTCCACACAACAGACCTGAAATCTAACAAAAAATGATGCTGTTTCCTAATAACTGGTTATAAAAACAACACTGAACGCCAACATACGTAATGTTCCATTTCTTGGGCTGGCGGGTGGGGGGGGCGGTGTGCACGGCATTCAGGTCACTGTCCACCACGTGCACACGAGTCTCCGGGGTCTCGCGACACTGCAGGTTCTTACACACACGCGTGCCCACACCCACGCCGACGGGTAGAATTCAACATTTTTAAACGTAAAAGTACACCGAAATGAAGAGAGATGATCACGTTCTGCAAAACTGAGGAGGAGGAGGAGGACCCGAGAGGTCTTGATGAGGGGAGTTAAAAGGAAAGTGCCGGTCTCCCTGGCGCGGGAAGAGGGCTCCCTGGGGAACACGCATGGCGCCTGAAAGCAGGCGCGGTGGCTGGGTGGCTCGGGGACAGGGACAGGGATGGGTGGGTCCAAATGGCAGAGTCGGGAGGACACAGCACTGAGGACACCCATCACAGCGCCTCAGAACTCCAGGCTCGGGTTCCTGACAGCAACCAAAGGGGACGGCATGTCTCAGCATTTTTCTCATTACAGATACACAAAGTTCTACTCTGTGAACTTCGATTTTCCAAATCCGTCAGTGCGACTCAAGAGTCGACTCTTTGAGCGAACGGGTGAAGAAATGAGTCCTGGGCTGACACAGCCGAGGGTTGGATCGTGGGAGTGACCCAGAGATATGCCATCCCGCTGACCCCGACCCTGACCCCCGTTACAACACCCCCTGAGCTTCTCCAGGTGCGGCCCACGCACCTGGTGGCAGGGCTGCGATGCTGCCCGCCTCCTCCCACCACCCCACACGTGCACTGCCGGTGGGCGCGGACTGCGGCTGCCACGCCAAGGCCACGCACGGGACACTCTTCCCTGCGTCTCTGCCACTGGCGCCCGCCGGGGAAAGGAGCCACTCTCACAGGGGAACGCGATGAAGCAGAAGAATGAGTAATTTTATCGAATTCCAACCCTTGAGCAACACACGCCTCTTCAGCCCTCCCCGTAACAGGACGGGAAGGACACGGGGCGCTCCGGCTGGACACCGCGGGATGGCGAGGGCCCCGGAAAGGCAGGCGCGCACCCGCGGCACCCGCTGGGCCAGCCGCCCGGCTCACGGACGCCGCCTGTGCTGGGAGGATGACTACGGTCCCTGGGGCCCCGGCCGCGGCAGGTATGTCCTCGAACGTGAACTACGTGAGTCTGGCACTTCAAGGAGCACAACTCTGTGTTGACGATGACAAAATTTAAGCTTCCGCTGTGAGCTTGACAGCTTCCCCGTACGAAAGCCTTTTCTGATGAGATCGATGGTATGATGTGTGGTTTTTGATATCGTATAATGAAGTGTGCCAATAATCTTCCAATATTTGGAAGATCTCGTAACTCGGTGAATCAGTATTTTCCGACCAACAATGCAAGATGTTACAAGATCATTCATGGGTAAAGGATTCAGTTGGAGCACAAATTAGACCAATGGATTTTTATGTAACCATAAACGTTCGTTCATATAGTTTCAGATTCTTCCGTTAAGAAACTCCAACCTGTCAAGTTTTGGGGTCAAAGAAGAAAACCCATAATTATGTGAAAGTGCCCTTTTCCCCATTTCCTTCACGTACTTCGGCCAACGCAGTGTGTTGCTGCAGATTAAATGGAGAACCCTTGTCTCCTGTTAAGCTAGACACTACAGAGACGGGCAAGAATGTGAAGCAATGCCATCTTCTCACTAAACGTTTTTATTTTAGAAGGCAGTAAATCTTCATTTAAAATGTATACAATGCATAATGGGCCCGTTACTACTGCTAGTGAATTCATGTACTTTAAACCTTGTGTTTTCACCTCTAATCCATCAACAGCTCGAACCCCCCACACAGAGGCTCCCTGGAGACCTCGAGGTGCTGAAGCCGGTGACAGGGCCTGGGGAGCGGTCGGAGGCCACTGCGCTCGCTGCTGCCGCGCACCCTGAGGCTCGAGGGTTCCGAGCCCTCGTTCGGGAAGGCTGAGCTTCCAGACCGCGTGCTGACAGATCTGGCCGGCGTGTCCGCGATGGCAGTGCTGACGTCTGTCGCTGTTACAGCGCCAGCTGGGCGTTCACGACGCAGGGGGCCTGGACTTAGCACCCACGGAGAGACAAGCGTGTAACGCAGCAGGATCGCAGTGGTGCGCGGACACCGGGCACTTCTCCACCTAAAACGGGCGGTCGCCAGGGGGACTGGCGCTCTGCCATCGGTGGTTCCGAGTGCGCGGCATCGCCTGGGAAGCCTCAGGGCCCCCCACCCCCAAAGCCCGCTGGGGACAGCTCTGGCAGAGAGCCCCTCAGGGCCTGTCACTCAAGGCCTGCTGGGACGCTGGTGCTGGGGCTCTAAGACCACGGCCGGACGACGTTCATTTTCTCAACCACGCGCTCACAGACTGCCCAGCTGACCCGTGCCCCCAACAGCCCCGCAGAATCCTTGGTGCTTTCCGGTCTGCCCACGGCTGCTCCAGGACGCGCCCTCGACCCCGAAGGTCCTTTCCAAGTCCAGCTGCCTTCATCGGCTGAGACCCGACTCGCGGGCAAACCCAGGCACTCACCCGCCCCGCGACGCCTTCCGCAACCCCCGCCGAGGGAAAGGTGCCGGTCCTCACACCTCCCACGGGGCCCGAGACCGTGTCTCCGCCCTGACGCCCAGCACGCGCAGCTGCGTGTGCGGCATCTACGGGTCCCGCCAGCCTGCGATCGCCCCGAGGGGGGAGACCGCGCTCCACTCGGCGTCGGCTTTCCCGCGGTACTTCCCAGACAGCGCTCATCAAGTAGAACAGACGCGGGAAAAGGCCTCTGTTGTTTAAGGGGCCCACAAACCAGCAGCGGAGTGCGCCAGTGGTTTCAGAAGTCACACTTGCTGCAGGCGACGGGAAAAATACACAGCGCAGACTTACGCTCGAAAACATGTGCAATGCGGCTGGAGAGGGAAGACACACATACGTGGGGAAGAAAAATTAGAATGTGATGCAACTTGTGAGAAACAGCAAACCGTGGGGTGATCCTGGAGGGGGTCAGAAGGTGGGGGGTGGGGGGCAGCGTGGACGGGGGCAGAGAGAAAAGGCTCCCGGCCCAGGCAGGGTCTGAGCAGGGCCAAGGGAATGCCCCATCATCCTACAGGCGTCAGCAGCCAGGACTTCTGAAGAGAGGGAGAGGGAAAGGAAATCCAGAGTAGGCGGCGAAGGGAGAAGGGAGACAAGGATGAAGCGGGTGATGAGAAGGTGGGAAGCTCAGGTCGGCTGACGACATCCGAAGACCCTGGTAAGAAGTCGAGTTGGAGAAGCAGATTGCAAGGAGACTCCAAAGAGCCTCGGAGCTCCGTCGAAGAGCTGCTCTGCCCAGATTTTACTCGCCTCGCACGCAGGTGAAAGGCCGCCTTGACTCCGGGATTCTACGGGCACAGAATGAAAGGTGCCCCCCGCCCCCGCCCCCAGCCCTACACTTGTTTCCCGGGTCCGTTTCAGTCATGTGACCCTAACCACCAGCACCAGGCAAGGATTTAAGCCGAGGGCTGGCAGCCCCTCCCCAGCGGCATCGGAGTCTTTCTCCGCTCCAGCCACGGGCACCGGGGAATAGATGGGGGTGGGGGGGGGGTGCCAGGGCAGGTCTTCAGTGTCAGGGGAGAAGAGCCGTGGGCATCCGAAGTCGACGATTAAACGGACTGCACAGGAGGGTTCTCACCTAAAACCTGCAGACACCACCTTAGCAAGGATACCCTTCCAGAGGCCATAAGGATCCGACTCCCCCGAACACAAGGACAAACCCCAGACTGGTCCACGGCTCTGGGCCCCGGCGGAGGGGGGCTGTGGGGACAGACACCCCCCCGCGGCCTGCTCTGCCCGGTGACGTGGGCGGCCGTGCTGTGAGACGCTCGCCCCAGTCTGCAGGCCGGGCTGCGCGCTCCGCTTCCCAGGTCCGCCCCCTCCGACGGGGCAGCCAGCAGCCACAGGCGCTGTTTGAACTTCGAGTTTTTTCAAACGAAATAAAAGGAAGAATTCAGCTCAGTCACACCAGCCACACGTCCAGTGCTTGGGAGCCACCGTGCAACTTCCAGAACAGTCGCCACCACCGCGGGACGTTTTCCGGGACAGCACTGTTCTAGAACCTTCTCCGACCAGGGGCGGTCTGCTCGCCACCGAAGCGCCCTTCCGCGTGGTCACCTCAGGACACTGTACGCTTATTCGAATAATACTGCTTTGGTCAAAACACTTCTAGCCCCTCGTTTGCAGGTAAACTCAAGAGACACTCTGCAAGCTGCACGGTACCGGTGACCCAAGGGGGCAGGGGCCACGTCAGCCTCTTGATGCTCCGCTGATTTGGCTCTAAACTGCTACGAGCCGTTTCCAAAATCGGAATCACAAGCCCCCAAAACTGGAATAACACACGACGACGGACCACAGTGAAAATGGACCCAGGCACACCGGGTAACCCCGAGAGTTCTGGAAGGCAGTGCTGGCGGCGCTGCTGAGCCAAGCGGGCACACGGC